GTATTCTCTTCAGAGTTATTAGGATAGCGGGGAATGGTCTTTGTATATTCTATTGATGAAGAGTTAATATACGCTATCCTTAAGGGCCAGTTCGGTTCCGCGTTAGGGGTTTTCCCTTAACTGCCCTCTTAACACGCATGGTCCGCAGCTGCAATCATGCAACATTAAGGGTATGCCAAGACTATTGATGCACTTGAGGAGGTATAGAAGGCTCTCCTCCCACCTCCCTTCTTTTATCCTCTTTCTTCCTCCTTCAATCAACAAGTTCACCACCATCCATGAGCATTACCACCATTTATAAGCATCACCACCATTCATAAGTAAAGAGGTAGCAAAGGGAACTTTGGCGTTTAGAACCTCTCGGATATAAGTATCTATTCCGTTCACTTCGGAAAAAGGGAGCTTAGATAGTAGATCTCAATTGGGAATAGCCTCATCTGTTATCTTTTGCGACGGCGATCGCCTATATTTATAGGGGGTTAACCCTTATAGTTGCTCTGAAGAGTTGGTTGTTACTGCGCTACTACTCGATTTTGAGCAGTCTGGCAGTAAGGAATCGTAGTAAGAATTCCCAAGATTCTGGGCTTCTGATTGGTCAGATGAAGGATTTGGAGTAAGTGCAGGTGGTTGCAGGTGACTGCAGAGACTTGCATAAAAATAAGGTTTTTTTGCCGAACGCTACACGAGCGCAGTAAAGCAGCAACGCAGTAGAGGTCTTTTTATACCAAAACTCTTAACTATTTAACTTCTTAACGCGGATCCGAACTGGACCTAAGAATGTTCCGCCTCTTAATGTCTGTTTTGAAGTAATGTCCTCCGGCTCTTGGGTCGGTTTATAAAATCGGGCTTGATAAGGTTGAGCCTGTTAGTTTGTCAAGCCGTGGCTTTTCCCACAACCTCCGGAAGCTCAACGGATGAAGGCACCTCGTCTGCTTTCTTCACTAGTCTAGCACTATCCATATAGTTGTAGAGAATACCTAATAATGTTCTCCAATACATTTAAAACCTCTGTAACCTCGATGCTTGCTTTCTCGGCCTCCGCCTCCGATACCTCTTGACTTCCCTCTGATGATGTTTCATTCTCTCCTTTTCTAGTTAATACCTTACTTTTTTTTCTCTACAATCTTTGCCTTGAAGCTCTCCTGCTGACTAGGCGCTAATATCGCCAACTCTGTTGACTTCTCCTTTTCATAGAGGTAAAACGGAATGGTCTTTACCGTACCCTCCCTTCTATATACCGTAATCTGTTTCGTTCCCTAATCTTGGATAGCTCTAACACGCAACAACTACATTTGCGAAAAGATAAAGTCGTAGCAAGCTCCGCTTCCATATACTATCGCCACTATAGCGTACATTATTCCACCCATTATAACCTCCGCTATTTGCATTTTTCGCCGTAGTAATAGACTTAGTGAAGTCTGCTCTGATCCTAGGGGCAGCGTCAAAGAGTTATAAAATACCAATCGGGATCTTCATCTCAGCAAGGATCTAAGTGATGCGGGAAAGCCCGCTCAAGCAGGTGCCAGCCTTGACGCTGACTTTGTTAAGGTTGAGGTAGGCGCCTTGTGGTGCTCATCATCGTTGACGGCGAGTACAAGAGAACGTCGTTGACTTGCGTCAGCAAACCTCTCTTCTCCTCTCGATCATCATCATCATCTAAATCAATCAATAAGACTCTTAGTATCAACGCTGATCTACCGTGCCATTCCACGCATTACTAACCAAGATTGAAAGGCTCAATTTCGTAGTCCTCCAAACCTTGAATATGTGAGCGCGGGCGTCTCTGTTTCAAAATGGCCTCAGCTTTCTCTTGGACTTCCTTAGGCATCTCTTTAGTCTCTTAAATTAAGTCCTTAGTAATTAGAGTATCTAACAGGGCTGTAGCGGTAAGTACCTACTTATTTGCACTAGACGGACGGGGACGGAGAGCGGGAATCCTATGCTTATCATATTCCGTCACCACTAGCTCAGCCGGTTCTCCTTTGGAAACTAATTGTATAGAAGGATCTTTCTTCTCTAACGGGCGTTTGGAAATTCTTACTATTAGGTTAACGACTTTCTCCCGGTTCTTTTTCTTACTTTCCTTACTTCCAACCACCGGCGGAACTACATTAAAAACTTCCTTCAACTCGTCGGAAAATTCTTCCTCAAACAGATCGCCCATCTCAACATCGTTATAAATGTCGTCTTTTTGCTTCTCAATCTCTACTACTCACTTCTCTTACTCCTTCAACTTATTCACAACAACCTCTATAATAACAATTAAATTCTCGGTTGATCAGTATTGAGGCTTCCGATCTCCCATATCCCTCAGATTATCAAGTATCCGAGCATCGGCAATAGGATCTTTCTCTACAACTACAGCAGACTCCTTCTCAATCCTCAATGCTTTAGTACCCTCCGCTTTAGCCTTTGCCTCTAATTTATGGATCTCGGCCAAGGAACCTTCAACGTAATCGAAATTCATCCTCCAGCTGGTCATTATATACATGGCTCTTTGATAGTTCCTAGGGGCTTCACCGTCCTAGTGATTCTATTGGCCTAGTTTTATTGTTTCTAGTTTTACTGGTTTTGCGATCAGCGCTTCACACAAAGCAAATCAAATCTAATATAGGGTCAGATTTGATTTATTTGCGTAGTTTTGAGGTGAGATTTGCTTTGTTTACAATGATATTTGATTTACGTTGTTAGATTTGCTTCAGAACATTGAGGAGAGGGGAGGGGAGGCGAGGGTCAAAAACACCAAAATCCCATATCAAAAGCACTAAACATCACCATCTTATCTCATTGTCCGGTCAAAGTACAACATTTTCATTGTAAATGCACCTACAATCTACACCCGGATTTCTGCAATATATGGATCGGAGAGGTATATGCCAGCAAAACTCTTATGAAACAAATATACAAATATAACAAAGCAAATGTAGCCTCAGATTTGCGTTGATTTGACTGTCTTTTTACCCAAATTTGATTTGTTACGTTGGAGGTGGATTTGATTTGCTTTGCATACCATTTGCTTTGTGTGAAGCACTGTTTGCAACTATTGGGAATTATGGGCAGTTACTTCTTTTTCCATTAATCGCAAGCTCTTTCGACGGTTTACCAATCTAACCCATTCTTCAACCTTAGGGTGAGGGCAGTGTCTATCTATATGATCACCATAGCATTCTCCGCAGTTGTCACACCTGTAGCTAGTCTTCTGATGCGGGAAATCCCGCTCAGGCCACGAAGAAGGTGCCGTGCCTTTGACGCTCAAGCTCGAGGCAGGCACTCTTCAAGTGCTCGTCGGTGACGGGTACAAGAGAGCGTCGTTGACGCAAGTCTTCAGACCTCTCTTCCTCCCACGATCATCATCTGGAGATAGACGAATCAACAAGTCATCACATCTACGCTGGTTTCATTCATCATCTTCTCTCACCATTCCGTTCATCACAGCGCTTGCTGCCACCGAGCGAAGCTCCTAGGATTGCACACGCACGAATAGCTTTTCCGCCCTTCTCAAGTATTCATCGACTAATTCCTCAAACCTTTAACTCCTCCTCCTCATCTGCAAGAGATTAGAGATCAAGTTGCTATCCGTCGTAGTAGTCTTCCACTTCGCCCTTACTGCTGCTGTAATCACAGCTTTGCCAGTCTTCTAATCCTCAGCCAGCTCTGCGTCCCACCAACTCTTCGCATCCCCTCTCAAGTTTCTGCAAAACTGTATTTTGAAGATGGCGTTCCCTGCCTTCTCGTCAACGTTCACCAGGGCCAGTTGCGATTCAATCTCCTCGATATAATTATCAATCTTGTCGGTCCTTCGGCCAGCGAACGTCGGCCACATGTAGTGTGCCATGATGATTCTTCGTCTTGGGGGTATTCTCACGGGAGAGCTTTGGTTGGAAGATGGCTCTGAGCCGTATGCTGTGCTTGATCCGCCTGACGGTAATGAAATGTCCGCCGGTGTAGTCTCTGGTGAAGATAGAAGAGACGATCTTACATCCGAGGGAACAGCTACCTGGGAGCGAACGGGGACGACGCTCGCTGGAATTCCAGCGGGGGATGTCTCGGCCAACGTTGGAATAGCTGTTGATCCCGAAAGCGAGTTCGACAGCGAGGTTGCAATCAATGTCGTGATGGGAACAATTGACAGATCCTCAACAGCTTACAATTCCAGCGGGATTCCTTGAGAGGATGAGGTTGGCTCAGCCGAATCAATGTCTTCTTCGCTGGCGAGCGGGCGTTCCGTTTCGTTGTCTTTATTGTTCTCCAGGTTGGCGGTTTGCAGCGCGGCACCTGCAGTGTACACACGGAGCTCCAGCAGATAACGAGTAGAAAAGAAATAAAGTAAAGAAAACATTTTGGGTAGGTACTCTAAGCATTAGAAGGCCCTATAAATACAACGCCTTAGTACACTCATCGGAGGCAAACACTTGGGGGCTGATACTACAACACTTCTCAAGTCGGGGCCGGGTCTGTCCATGGTAAACTGCTGTCGGACAATGGCCAAAAATCTCGAGGAAGCAAAAAGGTACAAGGCCTCCGTAACCCTGGATGGTGTCACCTCAAAGAAGGCAACGCCAAGGCTGTGTTACAATAAAGATGCCGTCCTTCGTCCGATGTTTAAAGTTTCGTACCAGATTACCGGGCTTTCGTCCGATGTATCCAGCTGGACCAAGGGAAGAGGATGCTCAGTACAGGAGCTGGGGAATAGGAAACAACGGAGGGAGGAGTAATTGAGAGGCAGATGGAAAACGAATCGAAGAGGGGATGTAGATCGTCGGTTTTTGTCTAGCCGTATCGGAACTAGACGGAAAGCAATAGGATTAGTCAAACTTTAATAAAAAAAAAGGGAGGTAGAGTGCGTCGATGATATATTAATCGATTGTCGTGGAGTACGTCAAATAAGAAAACAACAAAGTCAGAAACAGTTGAAAAAAGCAGTTCGTTCTTTCGTTCAAGCAAGCATTAGGACATCCGGTAATGAAGTCTCGATCATCATCATCATTAGATACATACAACTCATCAAGTCTTGCGTTAACACTGATTCCATCCATCATCCTATCTTCATGCATCCTTCTTCTGCTTGAGTTTGTCTTTGTAAGCCTTATCAATCGCGGCCTTCTTGGCTTTGTACTCAGCCTCCTTCTCGGGATCTGCCTCAAACTCCTGCTTGAGTTTGGCTCTGTAAGCCTTACTGTCCGCGGCCTGCTTAGCTCTGTATTCAGCCAGCTTGTCGGGATCTGCCTCACGCTCTTGCTTTTGTTTGGTTCTGTAGGCCTTTTGGTACGCGGCCTTCTTGGCTTTGTCCTCGGCGTCCTCCTCCTCGGGATCTTCCTCACGCTTCTGCTTTCTCTTGACGTAGGAAGCCTTACTGTACGCGGCCTGCTTGGCTTTCTCCTCGGCCTGCTTCTCGGGATCTGCCTCAAGCTTCTGCTTCTTCCTGGTTCTTTTTTCAGCCCTCTTGGCTTTGTATTCAACCTGCTTCTCGGGATCTTCCTCACGCTCCTGCTTTCTCTTAACGTAGGAAGCCTTATCGTACGCGGCCTGCTTGGCTTTCTCCTCGGCCTGCTTTTCGGGATCTGCCTCAAGCTTCTGCTTCTTCCTGGCTCTTTTTTCAGCCATCTTGTCGGGATTGTTGGCTATGTAAACCCTCTCTTGCGCGGCCTTCTTGGCTCTGAATTCAGCCAGCTTATCGGGATCTTGCTCAAGCTCCTTCTTTCTGTTGACGTACCAAGCCTTATGTTGCGCGGCCGCCTTAGCTTTCTCCTCGGCCTCCTTCTCGGGATCTGCCTCGAGCTCCTGCTTTTTGATGACTCTCCGAGCCCTATTTTTCGCGTTCTTGTTGGTTCTCTCCTCGGCCACCCTCTCGGGACCTTTCCTCTCGTTTCTCGCCCTTTCTAGCTCTTTCCGCCTCTTCTTGTCCGCCGATGGCCGTAACTTGCCCTTAGCCCGTTCCTGCGCGTATCTCTCCGGGTCGTTTGCTTTGATCCAGGCATTCTTGGCCCGTACTGCTGCATTATCTGCGGCTCTCTGTTCCGGCGTCCAGTTGTCCCTTTTCATCTTGCTCCGCTGTGTTTTCGATTCCCTCTGGTCTTTCTCCAATTGACGCTGGGCGGCATCAAGTTGATCTTTGGACATGGTTGGGTCAAAGCATGTGGCCATTCTTAACCCCTCTGTCCATGCTTCGCGTGAGCATAAACCTTCATACAAGGGGACCCACGAGGTATTCGTAAGGATAGCGTTCGTCTGGCTACGGTCTTTATATGCACATAATGCATACGTAATCGTAGTCTCCAGAATCAAAAACAGGGCACGGCTAGGTAGCTGGAGAGAGGCTTTGGTTGGGCGTGGTGCTTTGACTAAAATCCTCTTGCGCGTGATGCGATAGCCATTGTCGATGGCTTCGCCCGTGTGCCTTGACAAGGCTTCCCCGTCATCGTATTGCTGGAGTCTGTGAAGAGTGCCCGTTCCTCTGTGCGTCCCACTCCCGATATACACCATTGTCGGTGCATCCTTCTTCTCCAATAACAGCATATAGATAGACCATATGAGGCCTTGGTCGCGGGAGAAATCTGGTAGAGATGCTAAAGCATCTGAAGTCGGTGCATGCGGGGCGTCGAGCATGTCCAGGAAACCTGGCGCCCATTGGAGCCCTAGGTTGGTGACGGTGTCGAAGAGCGACGTGGTGTCCGGCAATGCTTTGGCCACTTGCAGCTTTCGCCCACCCGCATAGGCACAGTAGCACCCATATGCCTTGAGGATGAATCGTGACTCCGGGTCTCTTTGCGTGACGATTTCATTCTCATCGTCAACGGGGTCTTCGGAATCATAGTCGGTAGTGTCGTCCAAGTCGAAAGCATCAGAATCATCGTCAACGACAGGGTCTTCGGGATCGGAGTCGGTGGTGTCGTCCTAATCAAAGGCATCAGAGTGATCGTCAACGGGGTCTTCGGGATCGGTAGCGTTTGAGATTTGGGCAAAGCATCGCTTGCTGCGAGTCTGAACCATGGTTGCCAGTACGTATACGACGACGACGATTGAAACAAGGAAGGAGATGGCCACTGAGAGAAGGAGGGTATCTCTGCTGCTGTTGCTGCTCCAGGATTTTCTAAAACATCATGGAAGAAAAGATCCAGGAGCAGCAACAGACGTATAGCAGCAGCAACAGCAGCAGAGTTTTACCTCCTTCCTGAGGAAGGAACACTTCGTCTCTGTCGGTTTCATGGTTAGCTCCTTCCTAAATAAAAACCGGATAGAACGGCGGCGGGAGGCAGAAAAAGAGGAAAGAACGAACCGGCTCGCTGGCCAGTATAACATGGCACCGAACTTGGAGGCCTTTACTACCGCCCTGGGCGCTACTGCCAAAATGAACGACACCATTCATCTGGGGCTATCGAATGGTCGGATTAACAGAATGGTCATGCCATGTCCCGCTGTCGGAATGGCGATGCAAGGTACATGAGCCAAAGTGAGATACAGTGGTGCTAGACGTTGTCTAAAAATTAAAACCTACGAGGGACAACGAGACTGACATCCTCCATGACAGTGACCTCAGGACGGGAGGGGTTTCCAAGTCGAGCAAATTGATGCTATCAATTCTCTGACTCCCTCCAAGTTGAGCAAATTGATGCTATCAATTCTCTAACTCCCTCCAACTCCTTGTCGGCCTCAGGTGAGATTGTGACGCCGCTTTCGAGCGCGCGGCCATTGACCTTGTTCATCGCTGCTGACGGGGGTGGAGCGTTCTCCTCGTCTGGTTGATAAGCGGCAAAAGCCATCGCATCTGCGTGGAAATCCTCCTCGACCTCGCCCACATGGGCCGTTGGATCAAAGCTGTTGATGTGTCCGACGGTTGTGTTCTTTGCGATGGTGAGGGGGCGATTTCCTGGGTTAGACAGGAAGACGTGGTGCAAATGGCAGTTCGTCTGTTGAGCCCAGGACTACTCGATGCTTTTGGACTGCGAGAGCAAAAGGATGCGCTGATCGGAACGCCGATTCGCAAGGGAATCAGTGGTGGCCAGAAGAGGAGAGCGGGCGTGGCGAGTCAGCTGATTACCTGCCCGAGGATTTTGTTTCTGGATGAGCCGACGAGTGGGTTGGATAGTAAGGCTGGGTGGGAGGTGGTCAAGTATTTGAAGGGGGTTGCTAGGAGGAATAATGTGAGTCTTCCTTCCCTCTATGTTCTTACATGTAGCAGGTATTTGGCACCAGGGTGAAGTCGTGGTTAACAGAAGCGAAACAGTTAATCGTCATTGCCTCGATCCACCAACCCTCCACAGCAACTTTCAATCTCTTCGACAAGCTCATGCTTCTCTCCGCTGGCAAGACGCACTACTTCGGCCCTGTTGCGGGCGTCACGGAGCACTACGAGTCCTTGGGACACGAGGTGCCATTGCACGTCAACCCGGCCGAGTTCTTGCTGGACTTGGTCAACATCGACTTTGCTTCCGAGCGCGAGGAGGCAGTCAAGGCTCTGGATGACATGCAGACTGCTTGGCAAGGGTCCGAGAAATCGAAACAGCTGACGGCTGCGGTAGCAGAGGCTGAAGCAAGAGGTGGTGAGCAAGTCGACACCGCCGGGCAAGGAACGAAGCCGGGTCTGGTCAGCAGTACGGTAACACTACTCCATCGGAGTTTCGTCAAGAGCTATCGAGACGTAGTGGCATACGGCATCAGAGCGGCGATGTACTTCGGTCTCGCCATCATGGTCGGCACTGTCTGGGTGAGACTGGACGCTGCTCAAGAGTCTATCATTCCTTTCATCAACGCTCTTTTCTTGTAAGTCTCCTCCCCCTTCTACTACCCATTTCATTTCAAGAACAACCTGCTGACACCCACATCACCAACAGCGGCTGTGCCTTCATGTCCTTCATGGCCGTCGTGTACTGCCCCGCGTGGCTCGAAGACTACTTCCAATACATCAAAGAACGTCGCAACGGGCTCTACGGCCCCACGGCCCTGATCATCTCCAACTTCCTCATCGGCATCCCCTACCTCTTTCTCTTCTCGTTGCTGTTCTCCGTCATCTCCTACTGGCTCGTCAACTTCCAGCCCACGGGCACCGCCTTCTTCACCTGGGTCTTCTGGCTCTTCTGCGACCTTTTGGCGGCAGAAGGTCTGGTAGTATTCATGGCCTCGCTCTTCCCCTCCTTCGTTATTTCCCTTGCCCTGGTCGCCTTCGCCAACGGCCTGTGGATGAGCGTCGATGGGTTCATGGTGCAGCCTACGATCCTCAACGTGTTTTACAAATACGTGTTCCATTATTGGGATTACCAGAAGTATGTGTTTGAGAACATGATGATTAACGAGTTCAAGGATCGGGTGTATACGTGTGGGAAACTGCCGGCGGGGATGACGGGGGTTAATGGGAGTGATTGTCAGTGCATGTTCCAGACCGATTTGGCGGATCAGTGTCTGATTAGGGGACAGGGCGTGTTGGATCAGTATGGGTATAAGCCGGGCAAGCAGGGGAGGGATATTGGGATTATGTTTTGCATTATTGTTGGTTGGAGGCTGGCTGCTTGGGTGGTGCTGAAGTTGAAGAAGTGAGTACCTAAGTTCCATGGGGTTTTGCGGATGAGTGGGATGGATATCATGGTTGGGGTTTGGCAAGTTGTGGTTTTAGGGACAGCCTTTTATTCTGGTTTTATGTTTGCAAAGATAACTTTGGAGCCGATTGAGGATTATCTTCTTTTTACGTACTATATACCTAATGATTGAAGATAGTAACAGCTATTTGAAGCCGCGTACGATCTGAGCCAGTCTGAGGATGTTCCTTTTCAAACCAAGAGGAAAACTTGTTTTCAACGACGAAGATGAAGTGAAATCTGAGCATTTAGTAAAGATAAACAAAGAAGGGTATTTAGCTGGTATATCCAGTCGTTCTCATTCATAGTCCTTCAGTCCCACCCACGATGTGCTATCCTTTCCTTCACCACGAAAGTCTTTCCCAAGTGCAAATGCCCCTTTGCCAATCCAAAGGAACCCCCAGTGGGCATATTTCCAACCCAAACTCCTGAATACCAGCCCATTGCATCCATCCCACACCATCCCAAAATCTAGTACCGTATCTACAACCCTCATCATCATCCCGTCTCCGTATCCCCACTCAACCCCCCCTCACTCCCATCATGCAAAACCGCATCCTCCCTAACCGCCATATACCACCCGGGCGTCCAGCCCGGTTTTCCCAATCGACTCTTCAACCAACAAATCTGCTTCCCATCATAATACCCCCAACCGGCGCCCACACAATTATCCACCTCGGCGCACCGATCAATGCACGTCTCGATCGAATCGGCCTCCCGGTTCGTGATGTCGTCGGCCCCCGCTAGCGCGTTGTAGTCCCGGCCGCAGAGCAACAAATAACCCTTCCCACGGCTGGAGGAGGATAGGATGGTATCGTTGGAGGGCGTGTAGAGGGTCAAGTTGTTGGAGGGACAGATGATGGATGTTGAGGGGGTGATGGTGGCGTAGGCGGTGGGTGGGGGGAGGTTGGCTGTGTGTGTCCAGGAGGGGTGGGCGGTGGTTGATGTTGGGGTTGCGGTTGAGGAGCTGGGGAGATGATGTTAGCTGGGACTGATGAATGTGAATTTCGGTGTTGGGGAACGTGTGAAATGGCTGAACGGGATAGGCCGGGATCGGGACTCCACCACGCCGGCTCCGACCCGGGCCGGAAGGCCAAGGCCGGAGAGGTGGAGTAAGTCACCCCGGACTCCAGGAGTCATCCCGGCCGTCCAACTTTTATGAACTTCCCCTCAACCGCATCAAGCCCAAAAGAGAGAAAGAACAACTCACCTATTCCCAGACTTCTTCCCACCGCCCTTCCCAGCACTAACACCCACACCCACCCCCACCGCGACTCCAACCACGATCAGGAAAATCCCAATCGCCAACAACGACCAAGCCACCTGTCTCTTAGTCCCCAGGCCAAAACAGTACCGCTTATTTTTGCCGTTGTCATCCCCGTCACCATTACCAGCTTCCTTATCACCTATCCCCCCGCCGGCTGCGGTTGATCCGGCAATCGTACTCGTTCCGGGTACCGACCCAATGTTCCCATGTTGTGAATACCCGTACGGCTGTGGGAGGACGTACGCTGGGTATGGGGAGGTGCTCGAGATAGTGGACGTTGGGCCATAGGAGGATAGCTTATCGTCTTGGACTTGGTGAGGGCTGACTTCGAGGGTGGAATGGGGAGCGGGTTCTAGGCCTGGTTGGCCTTCTGGATGGTGTAGTTGTTGTAATGAAGGTTGATGTTGAGGAGAGGGAGCTCGTTCGATGCCTTGGTGAGTATGTTCCCAGGCTGCTAGCTCGGGGGCGTTGGTGGCCGCCCGGGTGGATTTGTCTTCCATGTTGTTTTAGAGGAGGGGTTGACAATGTTGTTGTTCGTGACACAGACTCAGAGTGATCGTCAACTAGGCAAAGGTAATGTCGCTGTTGTCGCCAAGCCAAAACTAGAACTGGATGCTATCGGCTTTGCTTCATCCTTCAAAACGAAAGCCTGTTTGAGATTGTTCGGAGACAGAAGATGGATGGATGGGAAAGGGGAAGAAAGATATCCTCAGGGCTCAAGGTAGTGAGTGCGAAGGACAGGCGGAAAGTCCGAGGATCTACTACTCGCCATGGTTGTACTCGGCTGCGATTCAAGCCCAGCCGAGTACAACCATTGAGATTGTAGGCAGGCAGTACGGTAGATACAGAGCGACATATCGTGTGGCTGGGTGAGCGCTTGAGCTACTGCACCCAATTTCCATTTGGAGGAGCGGCTGAATCTGTTTAAGACAAAATGTGGTAGTGGTGACTGACCAGGGCCTATCATAACAAGCTTTTTGGTCGATCCCGCTATTCAATCCTCCTTGCAGGGCTCACTGAGGCCCAGGTGGTGTTTTGGTTACAGTGGTTGTGGTTCAGGAGTCAGCTTACACGACAACAAGTGTCTCTCCGGTTGATGATCCTTCCGGTAATGGGCCATGGTGCTGACATATGATCCACCTGTTGATAATCGAAAAGGAATCCCCGACTCGACGATGGTTTTCTTTCCTTGATCATTGGGTTTGGCATCAACAATGCCAAAACTCGCCTGGACAGCCAAAAATGACCACAACGGTCCACTATACGATCGATCCTACAACAGGCACACTTCCCTGCCTCAAAATACTACCTTAACCAGTAGGGTGTTAGCGGACCACTAAAGCTGTAACAAGCGCTGAACGGTTACCAATGATACGAGTGCTTTGCCGCGCCAACGCTTCTTCGTCCAGGGCAACCGATCCAGCGAGCGCATCAATGGAAACCTCGATCGACTTGAAATGACAAAGTTCCCTCGATTATGCTCTGGCGAAGACGATGAGGTAGAGATGATGACTTGGCGAAAAGGGGTTCTGAATAATCATCTCGCTAATCTGGTATTATCCTCCTCCAAAGTGCGGCTGACTAGACTTGTGTGCACCGTCAACCATGTTGTGCACCGCAAGACGGGTGTTGCTCGGTGGCATACAAGGTATGTACACCATTGAGGGCAGAAGAGGAAGAATCCTTCGATCTTGCTTCTCTGGGCCTTCGAGGTGCGTTTTGCAGTGCGGCACAGCAGGCTTTTTCTTTCGTCATGTTCCAGGTGATATAACCGGTGTTGAATATCGTTGATATGAGGAATTTGACCCCTTTCCTAGCACAGTCAATCGCCTCAGACAAATATCGCCAACTCCCTCACTGAAGTTGACAATGACTTTCAACACTTCGAACCGCCTTTTCCCAGTGGCTTTACCCCTCTCGGATCTAGCGATGCATGTCGCTATAACTACCCTTTTAAGTCGAGGGAGCGCCACCAATAACCTCGAGGTTTTGGATGATTGGTGGTATGAGTGATGCCTTATCTCCGATGACCTTGAGAGACTGCTTGCCGATGGCAATGCAATGCTCTCAACATCCATACTCGGCAGGCAGTCATAGGTCGTTTGCTGGTATCGTGAATCGAGGGAAGACGCCAACCGAACATTCAGTACCGGGACCGACACGGCTTCCACCTTGGACCCCGGAAGGTCCTTTCTGCGCACAGCCCTCCGGCCAGCTCGGGACGGCGCCGCTGTTTTCTCTCCCATCGCGTGTTGTTCTCAATGGCCTCGGTTGGGAAAAGCGGGTACGTTTCCCCAACTTACTCCTCCTCGCCTTGCCTTCCCCAAATCGTGCTGCGGAGGAAGGAGGAGGAGGAGAACAGGGAGAAATATTTAGGCTAAAAACATCGAGATTTGACCCCAATGTTACTTCGTCCTTCCGTCATTGAGTTGACTCGGTGGTTGTAAGTGAGGAGAAGTTCCAGAATCTTGACTGACCAGCTTTACCTGGATTGGCTCTCTCGGTCCCCTCCCGGCAGTACGGCCCACGATAGCTTCACCGGGTGACCGGCTACGACTGTGGTCGGTTGGCTAACCCCAGGTTATTTCCCCAGATTTCAACCACACTAACTAGCTGGTAGTCCAGGCCTGGAACGAACGTTTTGGTAACGATGATGTCGATCGTATCCGGGAAGATGGTGATCCGGGTAGCTGGGACGGTTGTATTTAAGAAAGCTTGTTCCCGTTAGCACAACCACGAGGTTACTCTTTTCCACTCACCTTCTTCTCTTCTCTCATCTGTGCTGTACGCGTCTGTTTGGCGTGATAGGTAATCACAGAGAGCGAGCAGGCCAAGATGGTGACCACTTCTTCCCTCCGGGGAGCCATCCTCTCAGCCCTCCTCTCCTCGGTCTCTCTCACCGCAGCGGCTAGCAACAGCTCACCCTCTCCCAACACCCTCGACTCCGATCTCACTATCATTGTCAACAACGATCTCCAAGGTATTCTCACTTTTCCTCTTGGACCCAGCCAGACTTGACGCTGACGAAGTACAGGCCCGTCCAGCCCCTCCGCCAACGCCTCCGTCCTCCTCCTCTCCAACTCGCTTCCCTTCTCCCAAGCTTCCCAATCCTGCTCTTCCTTGGGCGAATCGCTTTACTCTCCCGAGCTCGTTTCCACGGCAGCAATCAAGTCCAACCTCGATTACCTCCTTTACCGCTCCGGAAAGTGCCCATCGCTCGGAACAACCTTTTGGATCGCCCCTTCGTCAGAAAACCCGTCCGTGCCGAGGGTGATTGACGTTTCCCCGTCTGGCCGGATTTCTATCTCCAATGTGAGAAGTGGCAAAGGGAAGACAGCGGAGTATCCGGTCCTGTGCACGCAAACTGCGCCGTTTTCCAACAACCAGGCACAAGACAAGAGTGAAAAGTGGCAAGTTGGTGTACAGGGAGTGAATGGGAATGAGAAGGTGACTGGTTTCCGGGATCGGCTTTCTTTCCGGTTTCTGGGGTTGCGGTACGCTCCCAAGCCGGAGAGATTCACTTACTCTACCCTGTACCGTGGAGATGGAGGAAAGGGGAAGCAAAAGGAGGTGAGCGGGTTGGAGTACGGTAGCCAATGCGTGCAGGGCGGTGGAGGAGCTGGACAAAGTGAGGACTGTCTGTTTCTGAATGTTTGGACTCCTTACCTCCCCGCCGCTGCGGATGGTGGAAACAAAGGAAAGGGTAAGGGTGGTGACAAGAAGAAGAAGGATTTGAGGCCGGTAGCTGTTTGGATCCATGGTGGTGCCTTCACTAGTGGAACTTCTTCCGATTCCACCTTTGACGGCGGCAACATGGCTTCGCGGGGAGACGTAGTGGTTGTTGCTATCAACTACCGCCTCTCCACGCTTGGCTTCCTTGCACTCGCGGATGGAAAGACCAACGGCAACTACGGCCTTGCTGACCAGGTCACCGCTCTGCAATGGGTGCGCGAAAACATCGCCAAGTTCGGCGGTGACCCCGATCAAGTGACCATCTTCGGCCAATCTGCCGGCGCTGGCTCCGTTCGCGCGCTGCTGGCCAGCCCCAAGGCCAAGGGCTTGTTTAAGGGTGCCATCCCGTTGAGCAACCTCGGCGGTATCAACTACGGCACCACCTACAGCCGGTACTACACCATTGCCGAGGAGATGGCCGTAGCCGGCAACGCCATCCTCGCTGCCACCAACTGCACCGACGTGGCCTGCCTGCGTCAACTCCCCGCTGAGAAGCTTACCAGCGGCACCGCAGCCCGCTACCTCGTCGTCGACGGCACCTACCTCGTCTCCCCCGAGCTCGACCTCTCCCGCAGCACCGGCCCCAGCGGCATCGACCTAATGATGGGCATCATCCACGACGACGGCGCGCCCTTCATCAGCTACCCATCCACCGCCAACCAAACCGCCTACCTGCTCTCCCAAGGCTTCTCGCCCTCCCTCGCCTCACCATCCCTCTTCCCCCTCCCGCCAACCCCCAACGCCACCCTCGCCCTCTTCAATTCCTCCTCCCGCCTCGCAACCGACGGCATCTTCCGCTGCATCGACCAAGCCACCGTGCAAGCCGGGCTGGCCAACAACCGCTTCTCGCGCGTTTTTTATTACGAGTTCGACCGGACCTACCAGACCGGCGGCTGGCCCAACCTGGACGTGTGCGAGCCTCCCAAGACGGCGTCGCACCCGTTTGGGGACCCGAGCAAGCCGTATCTGCGGTGCCACTCGGGCGAGCTGTACTATGTCTTTGGCAACTTGGCCAGACAGGGGCTACCCGTGCGGGACGAGAAGGATCTGCCGTTTGAGCAGTTCGTGCTGGATAGCTTTGCGAGCTTCATCCGGACGGGAGATCCGAATCCTGACGAGGGGTTCTTGAGGGCGAGGGGCTTTGAGAGTACGAGGAGGGAGGTGCAGAGGGGTGAGTGGGTGGCTAGTAGCAGGAGAGCGGGAGTCATGTTGAAGGTGTTGGATTGGCCTAGTCGGTTGGAGAGTGGATGGAGGGAGGTGCAGCAGTGTAAGGGGATTGGGTTGGGGGTGGATTATTACTTGTGAGAGGAGCACGATGGTGAGGTAGGTGGTGAGGATGCCGAAGTATGTAGGCCAAGTGATGAGTCCAAATAAGGCAGTCAACCATGCGCCTGAAAGTAAATATGAAGCACAATCTTGATCTTCGAAGAACCTCTCATTCTCAATGAGCGGCCACTCCATGGAGTGTTCATTCAAGGCCAAGGGCATGATGTTGCCAATGTGATGAACCGTGATGACCTCTATCGCGCTGCGTCCCACCATCGCTATCTTATCGCGCCCTCCCAATCCAACACCCCACCAAGAATTTCACCGCGCCAGCTGCCACCACCTGTCTCCACCCCAAACACCACAACTCCGCCAAGCCCTAGCCCCACCAGCCCCAAACATTTCCCACCCATATAAAAAAGCCTTCTGCTCCCCTCCTTTCCGATTCCTTTTCTCTTTTTTTTCTTCAGTGGCAAGGACGCTCTCTCTACACCGCCATGTGTTGGGGAGTGGCCTTGTTTACTAACTACATTAAAAATGGCGGCTCCGCATAGCGGCTTGCTGAGGGTTACTCTTGTACCATACTCCCGATGGGTCTTCCTCCGTTCCCGGCCTCCTAAAGTAATGCTTCTCCATCTCTTCCCTTTACACTAGTCGCGGACGTCGAACATTCTAGGTCCGTGATCGTGGGGTGGTTTCGACATTTCTTTTTTTGAAACAATTTTTTTTTTTTTCGCTGTGTTCGCTCCTTGAGGGGGGCGACGTGGGGAAGAAGTGTGAAGTTCTTGTCATGGATGAATGTGTGGCAGTTTGATCTTGAATGGATGAGCTTTGGAGACGGATCGCTTCCTGTCACTTTGATGTGTGTTTGTGTGCGCTGTGTGCAAAATGCGTTTCGAAACTCGAGAGAGAATTAAGCACTCGCGCTTTTGCGGTTATCACCAGTTGTGTGTCTGTTCAGATGTTGTTGCTCCGTGAGAAGGACTGCATGTCGGTTTGGGAAAGACGCGAACCGCCAACGTTACAATGTCGATTCGAGTTGAAGGTCGTCCATCTGTCTCGTTCTCACCCAACGTAGACTGTGAGAACCGACATGATGAGAAAGTGCAATGCGTTTAAGATATGCCAGTGCCATTATACACAGCCACCTAGCCAACGAGAACTGGTGCAGGCGACTCTTAACTGTTCCCAAGGAATTCATAAAGTCTATTCTATGTATGCAAAACCCATCTAAGAGAACTCGCTCTCGACACCCAACAAAACCCATCTCACCACTTCAAATCTTCGGCATAGTCCACCACCCCTCCACCACCGCATTGATCAACCGATTCGCAATAGCCGTCTGCGGCGGCAATCTCAACGCGCCCTCCACGTATCCCTCCGGCGCCGGGTCTCCCAGAGCACTCGCCCCCGTAAGCAGCGCCTCCTTGGCCTCCTCCAGCGGGAACCACTTCGCATCCTCCAGCTCCGCATCGTGACCCAAGAAGATCTTCTCTCCATCACCGGGCAATGCCTGGCCAATGGCTCCAATCATCAAACTAGCCGGGAACGGCCACGGCTGCGAGCTGTGCAGCACCACTCGTCCAACGGTAACACCGCTCTCCTCCCAGACCTCACGGCGGACCGCCTCCTCGATCGACTCTCCCTGCTCCTGGAACCCGGCGAGGGTGCTGTACCAGTACTGAGGCCAGCGCCGGTTGCGGCCGAGCAGGACCTTGGTGCCGTCGGCGCTGACGATGGCCATGATCACGGTCGGGTCGGTTCGCGGGAAGGACAGGTTCGAGAGGGTGCCCCGAGTGGCGCAGGGAGCGCGGTCCTTGCTCTTGTCCGTCGGGGGACACACGCGCTTGGTGCCGGAGTGCACGGAGACGGTGCGCTGGCCGCATTGGGCGCAGAAAGGGTTGCGGGCGTTCCAGTCGATTAGGGAGCGGGCTTGGGCGTACATGGCAGCTGTTCGTTCCTCTCATCAGTATTCACCCCCCCTTCAAAAAGTCCTGGTAGGTAGGATCATAAAGCCGTAAGTAAACTCACCATGCCCAGCCTCCAACGCCATCCCCCTAGGACTAGCGCTCAAAAACGCATGTCCCTTCTCCTCCTCCATCTTCCTAATCAACTCCTCCGCCTTTGCCTTCTTTCCCTCCGGCCCGGCATCCCCTTCACGCGGCGTAACATCAACAGCAAAATACGGCTGTCCCCTAAACTGCTTCCACTCAAACACATCCTTCTCTTCACCAGGGGCAGCATCCAAAAGATCCACGCCCAAAAACACCACCACCCTCTCCCCTGCAGCCCTCTCACTATCAAACCCACCCACAACCTCCTCCTCACTCTTAAACACCTCCTCCGCCCCACCCAACAACCCCCTCACATCTTCCGGTCCCGCAAACCCCAACCGCGACCCATCCTCCTTGCTCTCCACCATGGGCCCGAGGCTGTTCAGCAACACAAACTTGGCACTGTGATGGGAAAATGCGGCCCTCAGAAAAAGGTGGTCGGATCGCAACCAGGAGAGCCGGTTGAGAGGGGAGCCGGAGAAGTAGTTGGCTGTTTCGGGACCGAATTTGCGGGCGAGAGCTGAGGTGGTGCCCCCGGAGGAGGAGAGGTAGGGGAGGATTGGGAGGGCTGGTGAGGGCATGGCGGCTGGTTGTTCAGTAGGTGGTTTGGTGGGTGCGTGGTGTTGTATTATGGTGGTGGTGGTTGGGTGGTGATGAGGTTGAGAGTGGGATACCGCCAGATGAGTTGACTGTACGTAGGTAGAGGTATGTATGCGGTGCAGGTGTCGGACTCTGCAGAACGAGATGAGATGAACAGGTGGTGATTTTACGACGATTCTGGGCCCCATGAGATGTTCTGAGCGGGTGTTTGTTCAAGCGGAAAAGAATTCTACTACGACATAAAAAGCAAAGGGGATTCGATTCGCCATCAACGACCGAGGTCGCGATTGACTAAGCCGATGCCGGATTTCCAATCCCTCGGGCAGGGCGGGGCGGGGGCACAGCGGGGCAAAACTCGCGCCAAACTCGCGCCAGCACAGCGATCGGGAACCGGAGATGTGGACGTGGTGCTGTTGATGAGTAATTTGATCTTTGTCGCCGCGATGTAACAACATGCGATCCTTGATAACGATATCCCCTCCAGGAGATGTACGGGATGTCCCCAGATCAGTTCCCCGGATATCGCGGGTTCCGTTGTCCGTTGAAACCGAATGTTGTCGGAAGTGCGCCGGACATGCCTGTCCAAAGCATAATCATACAAATCACCGGGCAATTCACATAGCACAGAAGCAAAAGAACCAAATATGGACCGCAATTCCTTTAGATTTTAACCCTTCAGAACTACGGAGCTCCTCATGTAGACCGTCCAACAGCGACACCCATTATCTCTCGCAGCTGCCCAATTACAGAAACCAGTATGACCTAATCAAAGGCTGACTAGTAACTGTACCCCAACAAACGAGAGGCAAGAAGCAATCGCTGCCTTAGCAGACGATGACCACATTTAGTAGAGGCGCTTGGGGGGAGACATGGTAGCCTTGATGGTAAGGCTACCAACGTTCTGCCAGCCCTTCTTGAGGAGGGAGACGAGGTAGTTGATGGCCAACATGATGTTACCAACGAGCTGCTCCTGGGTCATGCCAACGTTGCCGACGGCGACACCCATGCAGAGAACCTTCTTGAGCTGGAACTTGATGGTGGACTTGACCTCGTTGAGCTTGCCGGTAAGGTCGTCGGAGTGAGAGACGGGGGTGGGGAACTTGCCAGCTGTAGTAGTGCCAACGTTAGCATTTTGTTTCTCTCGTCAATCGGGAACTCGAGAAAAACACATACCCTTGGAAAGACCGGGACCGAGCAGACGGGGGATCTGCTTGATGAGGGCCTCGGAGGCGACGAAGGCATCGTACTTGCGAGCAAGCTTCTTGATGAGCTTCTTGTTCTTGTTGAGCTTCTTGAGATCGTCGACGGACATGGCGTCAACACCGCCGTGCTTGGCACGATCGATATCGTGCTGGTCACCGAGAATGCAGATGCTCATGTTGGGGCGGGGGATGCTGGGCAGGCGGATGGTGCCAGAGAAACGCTTGTCACGCTGGGGATCATAGTTCTTGAGGCCGATCTGGAGCTCGACGGTCTCGAGGAAGTTGCGCTTCTTGGTCTCGTTAGAGTACTCAAGAAGGTCAGTAACGTGCTGACGCACAGCGGCTGTCGAGGGTCAATATAATCAGCGATTTATTTCATTTTGGTGTCGTCGTCATCGCGAAATCGCGAAATGACGATTCCTATCAATTGCGAAAACGTACCGACGGAAATCTTGGACATCTTGGCCGTCTTCCTGTAGAATTTCTTCTATAGGTATGCTATGTTGCGTCTGTCGACTTGAACGAAGGGATCAGGAAAGGATTTTGTTGCAGTGGATGGTGGATTTTTGTGTCTTGTGCGGAGTCAGTTGCCGGAGAACTGCGCTAAACCTAATTTGGTTCACCGGCTGGCCGGCAGATAGGTGGTCTGTGCATTTTGCCGTCGTCAATGCCGTCACCCCATTCGCGCCCCCGGCCCCTGAATTCACTTGTCATATCACCACCAAGTCGCACGGCGTAAAGGTTCACCAAGGCAAAGATGGGTAGCAGGCCATACGATAACTCCATTGCTTGGTCCCTTCCGACCATTCGGGGTGTAACAGCCAGCTACACAAGCACATACTCATTAACAGTATAAGCAGACAATTACTTCGCTTGACTTTCGTAGAACCAACAAACTCCACCCTTGATACATCATGTCCTCCCATCCATACCCGTTGAAGCGTCCATATAAATCCGTCCCTCCTCTTGCTGGAGCCATGCTTTTCCGGTAGGGTGTGTTCCATCAAATTCACCCTTATACATCATCTACTTCTCGACAGCAAAGCCCTCCGCCGCCTCCAACCGACTTAGCCGCTCTCCCAATACATCCAAGTCGAACTGCAACGACCCCAACTCTCGGCCCTCAACCTCGCCGCTGTCTACGGCCTTCTTCACCTTCGCGACCGCATCCTTAAGCGGGGCAAACCAGCGCTCCTTGACCGTCGCATCCAAGTTCGGAGGCAACACCCTCCTCCACTTGTCTGCCGAACTCCACAAGAATAAGGCAAAGTTCACAGCCTGGAGAAAGAAGGGGGCATTGGTGCCCAAGTTTTGCACCAGCTCCTGGAGATCCAGTTCCTTGAGGGAGTCCATGTTGGGGAATACCACGTACTGAACCGTCTCGAGTGCCTGAGGACCAGCGAAGACGTTCATGTTTGTTCCAGCTCTCGATCTCGTGCCAGGTGTCGCAGCGCCCGGCTGCAGGGTTGGTGATGGGAGGGGAGCTTGGTTGTTCGGAGCCGCCAGGTTTTGAGGTGCTGCTTGCGCATTGGGGGCGGCAGCAATAAGTTCCTCGCGGAGCCATGTGATTGCGCACGCCTTGAGTGATGCGTAGTCGCAGTTTTCGAGAAGATCGTACAGAATCTTGAGACGGTCGTCGTCGGCTGGATCAGCGTGCAATACCAGCCCGGCAAGACAGCTCGCGGCATTGCGCACGTGTAGTTGTGGGTGGAAGACGGCAATGAGCGTTACGCAAAGGATGTAGCTCATGTAGTCCGAGGTAGGCCCATCGGGCGACGTCGTTTGGTTGACGAGCGATGCCTTGGGAATTTCTGAAATAAGACCCTTGTCGTGAAGCCAAAGGCCGATGGTAACCAGGGCTTGTACCGTGCCTGGTGCTTTTAGAATCTGATCCTCGGCATCGTCTTGAAGGAACTTCTCGAGCATGGCGAGGTGATTGGGGAAGATGTGCATATCGGGGACCGGGTGGTCGGAGTCGAACACTGTTGTCGAGAACACCCAATATGCCAATAGGATAACGCACCCGCCCGTCAACAATCCAATGTCTTCCGGCTTGGATATGTCTTCTGATTTGGATAGGGGATCGGTATGGAGTGGGCCCTCGCTGACCTGGCTGAGGAAGGTCTTGTCGCAAGAGGACAAACCAAGGTCGGCGATCAATGCCTGTGGTATCCTTAGGTTAGCACACTCGACGATATTTCATTCACGGGGGACAGAGAGTCAAACATACCACCAACTGTCCAACGGCGCCATCTTTCTCCGACAACTCCTTCTCTTCACGAAATCTCGCCATGAGGGTCTTGCGCCCAGGGACAATCTTCTCCGGGTTGTAAAACTCCAACAGCCTTGGTGCCCACGCCACGTCGTTCTTGTTAACGAAAGACTCGAGAATGCATGTCGCAAAGCTCAAGAGCAACCTTTCCTGTATCGCCGTCTCTGTGGGATCCTCGGTTACCTTGTCTGCCTCGGGATCGGGGGCATTCTTAGTGGCATCCCCATGCTGATCTGGATTCGCGACATTGACGCTCGACTTGCGGGTGGGGAGAGGTGGCCTCTTGTTGCCAGCCAAGCTGCGCACGAGATTGATGACGGCCGCGGTCATCTCATGGTTGGGCCGGTAGGTGCTGTAGATGGTCTGTAGGGATGTTGCGAGGAATCGGCTCGGGTATTTTGTCTTGATGCGCTTGTGCAGGATGGATAGCATGTTGACGAGGGTGATGAACTTTTGCTTAAACGGCACCGACTTTTCGCCGTTTGTCTCGCCCGCCTCGCTTTCATCGTCGCTCTGATAGCCGTCATCCTGGCTGAGGAGTTCGAGTGTCTCGAGGACCTTGAGAATAACTTCACGGGGGTTGCCCAGTCGCGCAATCGTCTCCAAGCACTCGTCGGAGCCGGGGAGATTGACTAGGTTATAAACCAGATCCCAGCCGATTTCCTGGGTGAGCTCTGCATCCTGGAGCACCTCATTAAGGGTCGGCAGGACGGCCGGGGAGATGTTCGTCTCGACAATGGTGAGGTATGTGAAGCGGTCAGTGGCAGGGGGCTTGGCCTCTTTGATGGCCGCGATGGCCTTTTCGGAATCCATTGTTGCTGCCTAAGGGGTATTATCGCGGTTGTGGGATGCCGTTGTGGTGATAGTGTGGAAGCGGTATTCGTACAGTCGGTGGTGTCGTGTAGCAAACGAGTGATGGACACGGCGCGCGAAGGGAATGTTGGGATTGTATCTGAATGACGGGAGCTCCTGATCCAAGTTGTTGCGTTGCAATCGTCGGTGGTGGTTGCGAGGCTGTGCACACAGACAGGGAGAGCTGAAAGTCTAGTGGTTCCTTGTTTGGGAATGGAGGATTGACATCAAGGTGCAGCACCACAAGCGAACAAGCTCAATGTTACCCCGCACTCCACCCTGTCGCCAAGCTGGGGTCCGCGACCAGTAGCTCTGGGCGCCTGTTTTAGGCTATGCAGACTATGTCGCTAACTGCCCTATACCGGAGATGGGTTGAGAAGACTTGAAGATGGTTCGAAATCAGCGACTCAGTGGCATTCAACGCAGAATTTATTTCAGTTTTTTTCCTCTCGTCAAGAGCCGGATGACCGGGTGGTTATGGATACCTCGTACTGTGGTTAGTAAACGACCTGAAACGATCCACTGATGACGTCCTGATAGTACCGCCTTCCCTGCTGTGTTCAGGTACCCGAACATCAGGGCCCGGGGAGAGGAATCGAGACCTGAGCGCTGGATTACCAACCTTCCTCGTCCTCATCCTCACCATCACTCCCATCCTCGACCCCAAAACACTCCGGCCTCTCATCACCTTCTATCCAATCCTCCCCTTCGTCTTCCTCCCCATACCCTCCGCTCTTCCGACTCCTCCAACTCCCATGACCCCACGGATCCCTCGCCAACTCCTTCATCTCCCTAACCTCCTCATCCCCTTCCCCCAACACCATCGCCCCAAACTCTACCGCCAATTCCGCCCACTTCATCGCCATCCACGCCTCTCCCACTATACTATACTCCCTCGCCGCGATCGCATATGCCTCAAATATCATCCCCCATAACCCCTCCATTTCATACAAGTTAACCAACGACTCCGCCATCTTCGTTCTATCCCCTTGCCCTCTGCTCCCAGTCATCCATCCTTCCTCCTCCTCTCCCCTACCTACTTTGCTTCCATCATCTTTCCCTTCTTCCCTAAGCAGTCTCCGAAGTTCTTTTATTAGCCGAATCCTCCGATCCGACTCCTCCACCATTCCCCTCGAGCGCGAGCAAAGCTCACAAGAGCAATTAAATCCCCACACCGTCCTCAAGTGTTTCTGCCTCGCCTGACGGGATTTGAGCGGGTTGATGTAGGAGATGGTGATTTCTTCCCCAGGCAAAATGTCTCGCACGGCAGTTATCACTTGAACTAGACCGGGACCATCTTTGTTGCTGTTCCAATCAAAACGGTAATCGGCGTTGGGACGGCAGTCGTGATTGAGGCGGGAGATGGGGGAGGCGAAGACTGTGTACCAGAGGTCGTCGGCTGGGTCGCCTGGTTCTTGGGGAGAGGCGTAGGGGTGAGAAGGAGGCGGAGATGGCCGGGGTGGAGGGATGTCAAAGGCGTTAGTGGTGATGATGGTGTCGGTCAAGGCTATTCGTGAGAGACCGTCGGTGACGTTGGCATTCTTCGATTGCGTGGAGAGGTTGAAAAAGGCCGAGCGGTGGGCCTGTGGGAGAGAGGAGATGGCGGCCGCTTCAAGTGAGATGTAATCGGTGCGCAAAAGCTCGTCGAAGACGCGGTAGTCGATCATAAGCGTCGGATGAGAGGAGAGGATGAGGGAACCGCGAGGGATACGGGTGGTGGCGATGAGGCCGAGGCCTTTGCCGGGGATGGAGCTGATGGTGTACTTTGCAGGATTGGGTTTGGTAGTCGTAGAGGGCGAAGTGAAGGTTGGAAGGGAAGCAAGGTAAGCGGCTCGTTGAGCGGTGGTGATGAAAGAGATTCCGTGGCCATCGGCGTAGGAAGTGTCTGTGAAGACGCAGAATGCATCATTGGAGCTGATGCGGTTGAAGCAGGATGTGGTATGACTCCAGTTGTGCCCTGATGGCGGGGTGAGATCTTCTCGAGGATGCGATCTGGTGTTATTCCCGACGTAGTAAGTCAACGCATCGGTGTCGCCAGTCCCGAAAATATCGGCAGCAGATAACCGGAGGGAGCCGTCTCCTAGCCCCTCTGGTCCACACGCTTTGTGATCATAGGCATGACTATGACTCTCGTCGACATCCGGATATACATTCTCATGTGCCAACACTATCGATGCGGCTCCGGCCAGCAGGAGCTCGGAGAGCTTCATGCTTTCATGGTATCTTGGAGATGTAAGTGAAGCATAGACGACAAGTGGACTAACTGACTGGAAACAAAACCTCTCACAACTTTCTCCGTCAAAAATGTGAGCTACTTGTGTTTGCCATTGCCATTTCCTAAAAGAGGTCTGAACAACTTTCTTTCATTCAATTTCATTCCAACAGTCTAGGCCCCTTGCCCCAACCCGACAATCAGGTCGACCCGAAGGACAAAGAAGATCATTTGGGCGTGGCGGCTAGAAACGCGCCGAGTTTCCCAGGTTGGCAAATATCATTCTCCTCTTAACCTACCAAAACCACACAATTTTCAGATAGATTGAAACGTTTGGTTGTGTTTGGTTGTTCTTGATGATACCCGGAAAGTCAAAAAAACAGAGATGAAGTTCCATTGCACAACGAGCATAGTCAAGTTAATAAGCCAACGGAACACACGAGTTTTCCCAAAGGGGGTTTTGAATTGGCGCCACCATTTCAGTGGTCCATTTTCCAACTCTATACCAATAAAAGTAAAGTCAAATGCTTCTTGTCCACAGCAGATCTTTAGGTACTATGTATAGAAAGAATCAAAGTGAAGGCCAGTTCTTTGGTAAGGGGACGACGACCAGTCACCAGTGTTGCATTCTACCCTTTCCCCCAGGTTTTCCCCGGATATTAACCATAATTTCAGATGTTTTGGTACGGATAAAACCAGACCCCCCAAGTAGTAAAGAGTGCGGGTTGCATTGACGCCCGTATGCTTGCTTCATCTGTTGCTGTTGGACGCTCCTAATTTTAGCATGGAAACCTTTTTTGTTTATTTTTATTTTTTATTTTTTTATTTTTACCAGCTCAGGTATCCTCGACTCTTTGGGGGGTTCAGAGCAGTTTGCACTTCTTTGCTTGACTCTAGAGGTACCTAACTTGTTGGTACTGGGATTTACATCCCCTCTCGAACCTATGCTCGCTCGCTACGTCTTTCCCAGCTTCAAACATCATCAGCCTCATATTCATAAGGTACCTTGGAAAACAGAAGTACCCTATTTCTCTACCGACCTCCCTACCTTACCTGACCTACCCGAAGCTCAGTACTTTCTTTCAGTCTTCTCCTCTTCTTCTTTTCTATCTCCCTCCCTGCCCAAACGACGGAAATAAGCCTCGCCTCGCGATAAGGTGGGAAAATGTCTCACCTGCCTTAAAATTGGCGTGGCGTGCGGTGGGTGTACTTTCGACTTTCTGTTTCGACTTTTCGGCTTTCTTTGTTTCGACTTTGTTTGCCTGTGACCTCCTTGGCTCCAGTCCTTCCTTGACATGAGGCTTCTACATCGATAGAGCACGTGGTAGAAGTGCCTATTCCTTGCAAGGATGTTAGGATGTGTGTGTGAAACATGTTGTCTCAACCTGAGGGGGGGATTTTCATAGGGCCAACAACGAAGTTAGGTAGGTATGTTGTTAGTACTTCTGGAGAACCGAAGAAGGTTTCTCCTTTACCTAGTCACGACTGCGTACTTACCTTGAGTAGAGAGCCCGTATGCAATCGTTTGGATTTGCTCCCCTTTTTTTGGGTATCTCAGCTGCCCATGGATATTGCTGCGCTGGTCCAGTTCGATATACCTCGGGATCTTCGTCTTGTGTAAATTGGTCTGGTTCAACCTCGACCTGCATTGTCTTCTGTTGCTAGACCGCCTGCCAGTCTCACTGACAGCCTGTCAGCCTGTCAGTCAGTCAGTCAGTCAATCAAGTCTGATAGACCTGCTGCACTGCAGCTGACAACTATGTGTCATTTGCCTGAGCCAAGCTCTCGAAGTACAGACACACCGTCCGCCCAGTCCTTTGCCCTCACCAACCACCGTTGTGAAAATTCCGAGACAGGAACAGTCAGTCGGGTATGTATGTTGGTTGCCTTTTGACAGGGAAAGTATGTCGCAAGCTGAGACAAGTGAAGCTGAGACAACATGAGAAAGAGGCGTGGGTGTGATATCTGGCGCGCGTATGCGAGGAAGCGGAAAACGTGATGAGGCGGGTAAAATTTAAGACACACATGCATGCCACGGACAAGTACGGTACCAAATGAACTAGGGACATGGATGAGGTGGGTGGAGGAAAGTACGGTACTGTATTAGAGGAGGGTTCTAGAAGCAAAGATAAGGGAAAATAGATGAGGAAAGGGAACAAATGGTTGAAAATCACAATAGCCGCCTCCCGTTTTGTCTTTCCATCTTTCCTTCCTTCCTTCTTTAACAGGTACTTCTCAGCACATCAGGGTTTCCCCAATAAGCATCACCATCTCTCGAGAATCTAAGCCATGACAAGACGGTCCATTATCGGGGGGAAAACATGCAAAACAAAACCATGAAATCTTTTGTAGCGGTGTAGGGGTACAGTATGTAAGCCAAAAAAGAACTTCGTGCGAAAGAGACGGGACGATCCATAGATGCAGGAAGAACAGAGACAGAGAGAAAAGCAGGTGACCTTCCGTCATCAAGTCGTGATCCCTTATATAACTGAAGCAGCAGCCTGGTGTCACTGAGACGTGAATGTCTCAAAATGACTCTGGTCGGGACTTTGGGACAGGGTCCCCGTGGCTTGTCAAAAGCATGTTGACATGTGTCTCGTAGCCGGATGTATCTTATTCAGGGTGGATGTCAGCATTCATCCTGACATAACGATGAGTGGCTATTTGGGGAAAGAAAATGGTCACTCACTGGTCTATTTCTTGGGAGGAGGTTTCCTTGACCCTCCAATTTCACTATCTCCATAAAGGATGATGCCAAAGAAGTGTCTGTGAGGCTCTTCGGCTTGGTGAGGGTCCTCATCATCTGGTCCATACTGAATGGTGCCTTTGGCCTGCTTGGCAGTCTTGGGGTCCGGATCATCGGGGCCGTCCATCTTGGTCGGGCTTTTCCAATCGTGTTGAGTAAAATCGGCGAAGGACATGTAGTTGTTGATCATGTTTTCGGTAGTGAGAAGGCTGGAGCCACAGTCAATGGTCGATCTGATCATGCTGAAGTGTTGATAGCCGGTTGAATGCAGATAAAGAACAGTGTATATCCTAGGTGGGTATGTAAGTATCGTTTATGAGGCACATAAAGGGAAGATATGATGCTTCTGTTGGATTCCTGGTGTCGAGTGTCCAAGATACCTCACCATCTCTGCCGACAAAAGGGCTTATATATCTCAGCCGTCCAAACGGAGAACGCTTTGGCCCAACATCGTGACTGCCATGTTGGGACATCATTTCAGGATACACACAACGCTTACCTGAGGGCTATCTCCTTGGCTCAGCCGACAATCCTGATCACGATCAACCTCTCTCATCATCAAAGCCACCATGACCTTGGTAGTCAACACCGATGCCAAGGTTCACAGCCCAAGTCAAGCTCGCACTTCCACCTCTCCGCAGACTCCTATCAGCCCGAAGGCAATACAGAATGTCAACACACGGTTGAAGAAGACGATCCGTACGACTTTGGCCTACCGCGTCACAAGTTGATAGTTTGCTGCGGTCTTCCGTACGTTATTTCTCACAGTAAGCGGGTAAGCTGAAGAGGGGGAAGGAGTCAGACCGGGGAAATATTCCTATTCCTCGGTATATTGTCCATTGCGGCGGCATATGGCACGTTGTCTTGGTGATGGTTACCATGGAGGCCATGAGGGGGAAAACTGCCAGTGTTTCGTGATGCCGTGAAAGCAAGAGGATACGGTACACTGCTTCCTGGGCAGGACGATGTCTCTGACCGCCAGTTCCGGTAGTGGTTCACAACTGGCAGTGAAGGGGAGGTGTGAAGCGGGCAGAGCCGCATTCAACGGAGCAACCGGCATAACTGGTCTCGGGAAGTGGCTGCTGGAGCCGAGCCCAAACCGGCCAACGTCGGACAAATGGTTGAAAAGAGAAGCAAATCTCTCGTCCCTCGGGTGGAACTTCCTTGAGCCCCGGTGGGAGGCGCCTGAGTTGGTAGTCACTCCCGTGTTCAGCGAGTCCAGGGGCTTGGAGTCTATACTTGACCGGGCATGGTACAGGCCACAGAGCAACCCAACTCGATTGCGGTTCCGCCTCTGATTGCTGAGTCGGGCGGTTATCGAGTCGGACAAGGGATGTAGGATAAGATGCTGTAGTGTTCTAATGCCCGACATGGCATGACGAAGCAAGGTTTGATTGACGGATATGCGCACCGTGGTTTTGTTTTCAGAGGTGATTTCAGGTGCTCAAGACCACCAGATTAGACCCTTTGCATATCTGTAACTCGAGATTTGCGCCTTGGTTGCTGGGTGTCTCAGTTGCGAGAGGGGTCCGGAGCAGGGAGGTGAGGCTATCGCCAACCACAAACTTGCATACTTTTCGTTTACCCATACCCATGAGTGACCCATTTGGTCGTTTATTCCGACCCCCACTGACTGTAGCTGTCCGTGAAGTTTAGGAAGACAAGACTCAGAGGGGCACTTCCCAGATACACAGAGGAGCTTCTCAGGTGGGACCATGTCGGCAACTCCTTCCACGGAGAGTATCTCGATTTAGGCGTGGAGCAGCTTGACAGCCCGGACGGACGGACGGCGAAGACGGCAGAGATGGCGTACGGCAGCGGTTCGTCAAGCTGTAGCCAAATACGAGCACGGTACTGATCCACGAGGCATCCTAGACCTGTCTTGCTCTGTTACGTGGTACGGAATCTATCACCTACACACACGGTGAGGATCTGGGATGAGATGCCTTACAGTTATTGCGCCTCTGTGGCCATCCGTATTTGACATATTGGTTCAACGGAACCGAAGGGTGTCATTGTATTGTGTACAGGTAGTTCATTGCCGTTCACATGCTGCATCTTGTTTTGGGATTGGACATGTAGAGAACCCCCCGCCGACCGGTCTCAGAGCCATTGGGAAATGAACGCGCTGATGCCGTGTTGATAGCGGGAAGGAGACTCAAGTTACTCTTGCACTCTTATTGACCGACAGCGAGTGGAGGAGTCAGTCAGTCTCGGTTGATTTAAGGTGCGTTTATAAGTGTTTAATGAAGAAAAAAAGAGAAAGTGGAAAAAGTGCGGTTGCGACGACTTGGTTTTGTTCCTTGCATTGCGGGCAGGCAGGCAGCGCACAGGCCATCTGCCATCTGTCTCGGACCGACACTGCCGCCCCTCCGCCCAAACAGCGGGCGCAATTCATGGTGGGGTAAAGAGAGTGCACGGGCCATATGGAACTGTCAAGACAAAACAGCGCCGAGAATTTGAAATTTCTGATCCCTTTCCTCCTTTTCACAGCACAAGCACAATTCCAGCCTTCACAACCAACAACGACATTTCTCTTTCTCAATTCTTCCAAACTCTGCACAACGTCGCAAGAGATCCCCGTCGGCCGACCTCAACTACGTTTGGCTGTCATGTTCAACATGCGCCGGGTGTCACTCGAGAGCTGTTATTCGTGTCCTCCTGCTCCCCGATGCAGTTGCTCCGGCAGCCAAACAACGCTTTGACGGCGGCGACACTTTTTTGGACTGACCTAATCCACCCCCCTTGACAGCATCACATCACAAGATTCAGATTACAAACACAAGCACATACACACAAAACCCACAACTTGCCTGCCTCTGCGCTATCTCTCTGTGCGCTCTAGGTTAACTTGATTTTATCGTTCGCGTGGAAGAAAAACCCCAAGGCCTAGACAGCCGGTCTAATCCACCCCGCTGCTGCTGAGTGTTCTGTCCTATGATCACTCATGTGCAGTCGCGGGACTAAAAAGGACAAACATCTCACCCCCCCTAGCATAGCTTCTTTTTGCCTGACTGTTTTGCGTAACACACTCGTATCCGTGTCGATCACTGAGTGAACTCGCCGTAGTAGAAGCGATTGAGCTGAGGCTGAGTGTCTGGTGTCAAGATCCGTACGTGCGGTTCCTTGACATAACTTCTCTCCATGCGTACCCTTCAATGGATTTTATGCGTGCGTAGTCCCTGCGGCTGACTTTCTCGGACTTCATCCACGGTGTTGCGTCAACTTGGAAGGAATAAAGCGAGCAGCATCGTACCATACCGTACCATGTTCCTTGACCCTGAATAGCACGAGCAAAACTCTCCTTGGATGTTGATGCTTGGTGCTACGAGCAGAGACCGAGGAACGAGGTATGCGCAACGTTTCCTGCCATCTGATGAGAGACGGGGGAATCACAGAACACAATCTTACGGTGACCTTAACATATTAGAAGCATCACTCAAGTGAGAAGAAATACGATGTGCTCATCATCATTACACTGTCAGCTCAAGAGACTCAGCCTCAAGTTCTGTCCAACTCCAAGGACCTCTGCAAGGTTTTGGTGTCAGCCAGTCGGCCTTGATGCCGCCGACGCGCCGAGATCTGGTGATACCATCATCGACAGATTGGTATGAGATGGCAACTGCTTTCAATTGCGACATGTCCAGCTCTATCCAAACTGGCATGAAGGAGATTCAATCAAAGGCCTCTGGGAGGGCAAGTTCGGTATTCAGCTCTTCCAACATGAACTGTACCATCAAGCGATGAAGGATCACAACCAAACACGAGTGTTTGTACGCACAGTTCGTTTTATTTTGTTTTGTCTCTTTCTTGTTTACACTACCCCGATTAAGCTCTAACGTGACATGATCACTTTTACATTGTACCCACCCTATAACAACACTCAACCCATTCACAACCACCCCAACCTCTTCCACAAAAAGCTTCCCCCTCCCACCAACGCCGTCACCCCCGTAAACGCAATCAACCCTCCATACCCGCTCCCATACCCAGCCAATGCCCTCCCCTGCCACGGCAACCCCTTAACCAGCACCTCGCTCAACGGCCCACTAACCACGTTTCCCACTCCCCTCCCCAGCGCCAGAAACGCAAACACCATGGTCGGATCAACCGGCTTACTCCCGTATTCATTTCCAGTCTCACCAGAACCCTGATGACCCAACTTCGCAACCTCCCTCATCATCCCCGGCCACGTACTCACAAAGCTGCCCGCAAAGAACCCATACACCACACAGAAAACATACAAAACCGCCAAGTTGGTGCCGAAACCCCAGAGAAAGAAAGTCCCCAGCACGGTGCCGGCTGTCGACAACATGATGCAGGTGGTGACGTCCAGCCGGTCGATGAACCAGCCCATGGCGACGCAGCCGAAGACGGAGGCGACGTTGAGCAGTAACAAAGTCAAGGAGGTAAGGAACCCCTGGGCTTGCAGGACGGAGCGCGCGTAGGAGGGCAGGTAAATCCCCGGAAGAAAGAAGCCGGCGGCTTCGATTATGTTGAAGAGTTGGTAGAAGAGGAAGGGGCGGGTGAAGACGAAGGATAGGGAGGGGCTGTAGGGCGTTTGACTTGGAGGAGGAGTATGGTCGTGTGTGTTGGTGTTCGTTGGGGTGGTTGTCCCAGACGTAAAGGCAGAAGAAGTTGCTTCGCTTGCCGCAACCTTGCCTCCTCCAACAGAAACCCTAGGCTTCAAAAACCACGCCAACGGGGCACTCAACACAAACACCGTCACCGCCCAGATGCGGAGCGTAGTCTGATACCCGTACTTGGACAAAAAATGTTCCAGCAACGGCGGCAACACCACGCCCGCCAAACCAGTGCCGGACCACATGATCCCGTAAGCCAATCCCTTCTTCTTGACGAACCACTCATCCAGGTAGAGGATACAAGGGGAGTAAGCGATCGAGCCCCCGACACCGTACAAGATCCCCTGGGTGACGATCAGGTGGGTGACAGTCTTAGAAAAGGACGACATGGCAAGGGCGAAACACATGACCAGCAAACCCACGATGGGAGACCATCGCGCGAACCGGGGGAAACGCCGGAAGAAGGCCATGATTAAGGGAGTGTCGAGGTACATGATGCCCATGGCGCAGGTGCCGATGACGGCGAGGTTGCTGGAGGCGGAGAAGGGCGGGTGGGTGCTGTAGTAGTCCTGGAAGACGCCGAAGGAGTAGGGGAAGCCTAGTGGAGGGGGTTTAAGGTTAGCATCTGGGTTTCCTTGGCTGATGTACCTGAATAGAGGTAAGTGATGGGTAAACGTACCCCAGACTAATGCTTCGACAACGAAACATGCGGCTAAAAAGAGCCAGGCGTCCTTGCCGCCGTCGACTGGCGGTAGCTGGGAGAACTCATGTCTTGCAGGTTCTTGGATATCTTGGGGCTCCGGAGTGCCGGTTTCAGCTCGACGGATGGGGTCGAGGTCCGTCTTGCTTATGGTGGTTCGATGGGATGGAGGTAGTGAGTCCAGTGGTATATCGAAAGTTGATTGGGAAGCCATCTTGAGGGTTGTTTCTGGTTACCCGCCGAGCTTTGGTGGAATACGTCGTCTTGTATGGCAGACCCGAACCTATCTCTTCCTAATTGAGGAAATCAATCTGGAGCAATGGAGGTTAATGGAAGTACCAACATCTAACGGGACACTTCCATCTTTTATCTTCCTGCCAAACCATAGGACTCAAATCTCAATGTAAAAGATTTCGGATCATAAAAATGGCGATATCAACACTTGTTCTCCATAAGCTCCACAGGGTCCACAACAAATGACAAGCGTGCGCCCTTCGTTAACACTAGTTGACAGTTCAACGCAACTCTGCGCTGCAGTCAACTTGGAGGCTCATTCTTTTGAGGGAAGGATTCCCGCCGCCTTGAATGACAGGGGACCGGTTGCTGATGACTTTTCCCTTCGTTTCGAGAATGGAACAGTTGAGCCTCTGATGGCTGCCTTTGCCGGGGATAAGGCACCGACGAGGAGAAAAGTTAGCCGTGGACGCTCCTATCGCGGAGGCAAGACCGACCAGGACCCTGATTGTTGCGATTGGTACCCTAACATCGAGTTGGAGCTTCGTCCTATCGTGTATAGTGATCCGTTATTTGAGCGAGTATCCCATTTTTTCATTACGCGGTAAATTTCAGCTCTTACTGACGGTCAGCGGTTCCGTCAGAATGGCCGTCAGGTTCAGCATTTTTTCATTACCCTGACAGCTATTACCGTCCCTAACCCCCTGACGGTTCTGACAGATGGATCACTAATCGTGTAAGAGCGTAATCCGAGGTATGAGATTTAGGCTTTTCAAGTGACTTGAATTCTGAGAGGAGTGGAAACCAATGTGGTGATTTTGATGGATCGATTGGTCTGAAGAAAGGAAGAGGAAGCGGTCTGCAATCTTCCGCCAAATACCCAACAACGAAAACCCAGGCAGGGGACGACTTATTCTAGAGTGGATAGTACAATCCTTCGACCTCAAAACCCAACCTCTTTCTGACCACCATTCCCCGTGAGCAAGAACGTCGCTTCGGAATTATGTTGTGAGGGGATTTGAAACAGAGAAGAGCAAAAAGAAAAAGGTGAAGAGAGGAAAATGACCATGTCTTATAGGGCAACAGTGGATAGCCGAGGCATGATCGTCTCCACCTCCGCATTGTGGGGAACACCCCCGCGTAAGCAGGGGTTCGTCTCATTCTCGGCATCCGGGGAAAGCAATTCCATCTTGTGAATCTTACATATCAAGATCTTTCATTCCTTTGATTTCACTCTTGAATACAACTTCAGTCAAGAGTGTTGAACCCATTTGCACCAATACGATAGACACCATGGCGGAACCATCAGTCATCAACGTCGAGTACAAGGGCCGACTGGCCATCATCACCATCAACAATGAAAAGAAACTCAACGCCCTCACCCAGATGCAATACTACGATCTGGCTCAACGGCTACGCGAGGTCGCTACCCACGATGAGGTTTACATTACCTTGATCATTGGCACTGGCCGTTACTTTTCTGCGTAAGTCAAGTTCTACTGCCTAATACCCCTTACCCTGACCTGCACCACAACCGGCACCATGTAGCACAGCATCAAGCCCTCTTTACCCCAATAACAAAAAACTGACATTTATTCCAATACATAGCGGCGCCGACGTCTCCATCTCCAAATCCAACATTTCCCCCTCCGAAGGTCTCTCCTCCCAAGACGCCATCCACAACCACTGGCTCCGCAACTTCGTCGCCAACAACCTCAACATCACCCAAGCCTTCTACACGCACCCCAAGATCCTCATCGTCGGTCTCAACGGGCCCGTCATCGGCCTCTCCGCCGCTTTGGTCTCCTTCGCCGACTTCATCTACTGCGTGCCCACCACTTTCCTTCTCACTCCCTTCTCCTCTTTGGGGCTAGTAGCCGAGGGAGGCGCCTCCCGCGGTCTTGTTCAGCGATTGGGCTTGCCCAAGGCTAACGAGGCGTTGATCATGAGTAAGAGGATTACGAAGGAGGAACTGGTGCAGACGGGGTTTGTGACCAAGTGCTTTGAGGAAGTGGGCAAGGGGGAGACGGAAAAGTTTAAGGGGTTGGTGTTGAAGGAGATTGAGGAAAGGCTGGGAGAGCATTTGGTCGGGGATAGTTTGTTGGGGATCAAGAAGTTGGTTAGGAGGCCCGAGAGGGATGTGTATGATGCGCAGAATGTGGCGGAGGTGATGGCGGGGTTGGACAGGTTTGTTAGTGGAGTGCCGCAGGGGGAGTTTGAGAAGATTGCGAGTGGGAAGAAGAGGCATAAGCTTTAGAGTAGGGGTACGTGTGTGTCCTATGTGTGTAGGAGCAGAAGGGAGATGAGAGGAATGGTTTTGTATGTAAATCGTTTATGCGAGAAAGAAGAGATCCAAAGTTGAATAATCCAAAATGTCATCCTAAACGCTCATATATGCCCACTCATTTTCCGTTCCATTTTGCGTCATATTCGTCAAACATTTTTCAACCCAAATCCATAGAGAATCCATCACTTCATATCCTCCCACTCTCACTTACACCACCCTTCTCCTCCGATCCCTCATCTCATCCTCATCCAACTTACTCCTCTCATCATCACTATCCCACCCCCTCCCATCACTTTCCTGGCCCTGCTCACCCCCTTCTTCTCCATCCTCACTAACCCTTCCACTCCGCTCACTAATCACACTACTCCCACTTCCACTCCCACTCTCACTATCCCACTCACTCTCATCATCCTCATCCCCCCAAACCTCCTCCTTATTATACAAAAAGAACTGCATAAAAATCGCCCCATCTAACAACAACGTCCCCGCGCTGCCCGCCAACCAGCTCCCATTCACCAGCACATAGCGCCAGTAAATCTTTCCTTCCTCGCCGGCTTCGCAGTCGCCCGGTCCGGCGGCGCATTCGGACGAGCCGTCGTAGGCCAGGATGGACAAGACATAGGTCAAGTTGCCCAGGCAAGCGAACAGGAAGAACAACATTGATACCCCCTCGGTGGACTTGCGCCGGAAGTTAAGCAGCAGCTGAGGCAGCCGCGAGCCGAGGTAGAGGATGGCGGAGAGGTAGCCGTAGATTTGGCCCCAGAAGGAGAATTCGACTCCTGTTTTGGGGAGGTCGCCGTCCTTGGGATCGGAAGAGGGAAGTTCGGTTGAAGGCTGCTGCTGTGGGTAATACTCCCTGGACAGAAACCAGCCCATGACGCCGGCTGCGCAAACCATTAAGATGGCGAGCATATTGAACAAGAAGGATTGCAGCTTCGTGGGACCACCGGAACTGGCAGACGTTCGCGATCGGTTGCCGTTGCGCCCGCGCCGTCGGTGCAGGATGTCGGCTTCGAGTTCGGCGGGGTCGACTAGAGGTACGGCGGGCGAGAGGTGCGACCAGGACCCGCGACGTTCACGGGTGCCGTCGTAGGGGCCGAGGTGGTGGCCGTGGTGAGGAGTCAGCGTGGTGTTAGTGGTAGCGCTGGCCGCCGAGGACGCCACGCCCGCGTTTCCTCTTTCTCCTCCAGCTCCTCCTAGCAAAGCGGTGCGTTCATCCGGCCCAGATCCAGATCCCAAGTTCTCTCCTTCCCTTCTGCTTCCATCACCCCTACCCTTGCGCTTATTCTTCCGGCTGTCGCCATCACTTTCCACTACCTCATCAACGATGGCGACCTCATCCCGCCAGGTAAACCCCCGATAATAGAAGCATTGCCCTAGAAGCACCACGTCGGCAATGGTGTAGTAAATAGCCAGGATGAGCATGGTCGGTAGGACACCCTGAAGAACGGCGCCCAGGATGTTGAAGACATCGCCGGTTAGCCAGATGATGATGAATTGGATGGATAGCCCGTCGGCGGATGAGCGGCGGAAGTTTTCGATGATTTGCGGGGAGAAGACGACGACCCAGCATGCTATTGATACGGAGCTGTTGAGAGAGTTTTAGCAACATGGCCCGGGGGAAGCAGAAGGGGGGAAGTGAAGGGAAATGATGGAAGTGAAGTGAGACATACCCGAGGATCCCCGATATGGCCTCGACGTCGAGGTGGAGGAGTTCGGTCGGGGGCGCCAGAGGCATGGTGGCTGCTGTCGTCCGTGGGACTGAACGCTATGCTGTTTCACTTTTTGTGCGTCCTTCTCTTTAGCCTTCTCTTTAAGTAAGTTGGTGATGCTTGTGGGTTGAGGCGTAATTGAATAGTTGTTCGTGTGGTTTGTTGGAAATCAGCCCGCCTCACTCGCTCTTTGTTTTGTGTATCCGGTAGAGGTACGTCACTTCAATTGAGAGCCCACAGAGGATTCATGAGCTGTCGTCCCAAGGGAAAGAGCACAGATTGAAGTGAAGCTCAAGATAATGATGCAAAATGAAAGTAAACAAAAAGGACCGAGCAAAAGAAAGACTCGATTTGGTTGCTAGTCAATTGGAGTCATACATAAAAAAAAGTCTGAAGGTGGCATGACTCCTTTGCCTCCTCATCCACATACCGGTTGCCCCCAAATCCGGGAACACTCAAGTTTGACCCGCCATTAATGCATCTCGGCGGCGGCAAAAGAGCCCTAGAACATGCACGTCTCAGGCGGCTCAAGCCCCCCGTACTGTGGAGATTGTGGGGTACGTCAACCGCTGGATGAAACTCGAGTACAGGATTGTCCCTTGCAATGGAATGCAACCCCCCGTTCTGTGAATCCCATACAAATGTCCCCGATAAGTGCAAGACTTTTGGCGGCCCGAGTTCTCAGATTTGTATGGGAGTGAGGCGCCATTGAGGGCAAAACCCCCTTTAAGTGCAAACTTTTTGACCGCCTCCCATAGTGCCGCATTTACTAGGGACATTCCTGTATGACAACATCCAACACCGGCATGAGAACAACGGAATGCCGGTACCGGCGACCTCCGGTACACATATCACGGATTTTGTATCTTGAGAGAGGTACCGAGTGTGTTCAAGAAACATGATGCCATTGCCATGTGCAAGCCCCCCTTTTCCATTTCCGTAGAGGCCATGATTATCGACAACCCAAAAATCTATACATGCATGATATACCCAGAGTACTACAAACCAGTCCAACAACCACGACAACCAAATCCCAATCAAGAAAGTTTGACACTCTTGACCAAGCCGGTCTTGATACCCGACAGTTCTCCCTGGTATCCGCCCTTGCCCTCGCCGCCCTTGTACACGGCCTTGACGCTCTTGAGCTTCTTCTGCTTCTCCGCGTACATCATCCTCTTCTTGACACGCGGGTTGCGGTTCTCCTTCTTGCGATGCGGCGTGAGGCCCTTGTTCTTCTGGATCTGGTAGTTGATTTGGCGCTTGCCGTCGGGGCCGACCGTCGTTTCCTCCACGACCCGGGCGCCCTTGGCCGCCGCCAAAGCCTCGTACTTGGCCGCCTTGTCCCCCTTCTTCTTGGCCGCGTTGTGCGCCACCATGTCGTAGTACTCGTCCTCCTCGCCGCGCACCTGCTTGGCAACGGCCTTGTCCTCGTCGTCGCTGTCGCCCTCGCCCAGTGCGGCGCCGTGCTTGCTGCCCTTCTTGCCGCGCTTCTCGGCCTCGGCGTTGAGGCGTGCTTGCCTGTCTCTCTGTGGAAAAGTTAGTGGATGCTGACACACAATGGCTGAGCGATGGCCGACTTACAAGTCTCTCACGGTAAGGAATATCGTCATCACCACCGGCGTTGCGACCCGCATCCGCACGCTTGGCGGACTTGGACACGATCTGGGAGGTGTAGAACTTGAGACTCTTCTTGCGAGCAGCCTTCTCCTTGGCCACGTGAGCCTCAAGGATCTCCTCGTCACCGAAGTCGGAGCGCTCATCATCATCGCGCTTGTCGACCTTGGCAGACTTCTTGCTGGCCTTGGTTGCCGTCTTGGTGGTCTCGAGCAAGTTGGAAAGATCGGCAAGAGACTGCTCGACAGCCCTGGCCTTCTTGGCCTTCTCAGCCTCCTTCTTTGCTTTGGCCTTGAGCTCGGCCTTGGACTCGCGCTTGTTCTTCTTGAGCATCTGCTTGAAGTCCTCCATATCGTCGTCAGACAGGTCATCGAACTCGCCCTCGTCTTCAGGTGGCGAAAGCATGCCGCTGGTCGAGGAGACGCTCTTGAGTGGCTTGAGTTCCTTGACCTTGAGCCAAGCCTCGCGACAGCTCATTAATGTGCCCATAACCTCGTGGTCTCTGAGTTCCGTAGGGCTGATCGTCTTGGAAACACCTTGGCTGTCTCTTGCTGGCGAAGTGAGGATGGCGAAATAGCTGGCAAGAGAAGCGACGTAGCACCCAAGAGTCCAAAACTTGACCATCTCCAGAGACTTGGCGGGCTTGCCCTCGGCCTCCTTCTGGAAAGTTGTGAGAATCGGCTGCAGCTCCCTAAACTCCTCCGCCAGGTAATTGAATTCGGGATATCGGCTTTGTAGAAGCTTGTACCTCTCCTCCGGCCCCATGTCCTCTGTTATTTCGACTTCGTTGAGCTTTTCGGTAATGACGTCCTCCTCTCCCTCGGCCTCCTCCTTAGTTCCTAGCCACTCGCTCTCGTCGAACGCGAAATCGGCCTCAGACATCTTGGCCAACTTCTTGGCCTGGAGCCTCTTTGCCTCAGCCTCTTCCTCCAAGGCATCGGCCTCGGTCTCGATCTGATCGGCATTGTAGTAGTCCTTCCTGGAGGAACCCCACCATCCTTCGTCGCCTTCTTCCTCCTCTTCACCGCCCATCTCTTCATCGGACAGGACTGTTGTCTTGACCTTCTTTCCCTTCGCGGGTGCGGCATCTTCTTGTTCGCTCTCCTCGTCAGATTCCTCCTCTTCGAAAACCTCTTCGTCAGAAGCCTCTAGGAACTCCTCCTCCTTGTTCTGGCGCCTGCGCTTAGATTGTCTGCCATCGTCGCTGTCGTCAAAGTCGATGCGATCCTGGTTCTCCCAGTACTCGTCTTCCGAGTTGGCGACATCTTTGTAGGTCTTGACGGTAAGACGGGCGTCCTTGGCGTCGACCTCGCGAGGCTCGGCGGGGCCGGTCGGTCTCGGGGCCTTTCTCTTCTTGGCCATTTTTGCAATTGTGTCGCGCTGATCGGTACTGATGACTTGGAAGGTTTCTCACGCGATTGTGAGATATGTCGTGGCGAAAGCGCTGTCAAAAGGCACCTGGAGATGCTCGTTCAATGTGCTGTGGTGGGTTTGTTTGCTAGGCGGGCAACAAATGTTGAAGCGGCAGAATTTTTTTGCCCTTGTCGATTTGCGATCCATTCCCAGCGGAACCTCGACCGCCTAGCTCCACTCCCCATGCAGCCCGCCGAACCCCACAATTGGAGATGCTCCACTCTTACATCTGAAAATGGTCAAAGCTTCCTCAGGGTCGGGTCGACGGGATGCTCCAAGATGACTTCCCAGAGTTACGTTGACGTGACCTCAATGGGATATGGCAGTTGATAAAAGTGTCTTATAAAGACTCCAAGAAGAAGACTTTGTTTACCATTGTCCCCAAAGACTTTGTTATTTTCTGAACTGAGCGCGAAAGCTCGATCGAATCAACTTTCGGTACCAAGTCACTTACACCTCACAGACAGGGGTGGAAGCTCCAGTGCTGACCGCTGACAGCATCCACTAAATTTACGCCGTAGAGGTACAACAGCTCTGGCGCGCTGCGTCAACAGTTCCTTCGAGTCCGATCTTACTTCCAGAATCCGCGGATGAATCATTCTGTTATCACGGAGCCTTTAATGGAACAGTTACAAACCCTCAGCACCTCCTGGTCTCTCCCGGTTGCAGCTATCGTCGCGGCCATCGGCATATTCGCAACAATGGGTCTCTTCAGCTCCAAAAACCACATGCCAGTCGAGGGCCGGGTATGCGCCCCGAAGCCCAACCTAACCTGACCTGACTTCAACCAAACACTAACTCCACCCTGACAAACCTCCAGACCGTCCTCCTAACCGGTGCCTCCGAAGGCATGGGCCGCTCAGCGGCCATCCAACTCTCGCAAAAGGGCGCCAACGTCATCCTCGTCTCGCGCAACGTCGGGCGCCTCGAGGAAGCCCTCGCCGACGTCCGCGCCGCCGCCAAGAACCCCTCCACGCAACGCTTCACTTACATCTCAGCCGACGTTTCCGAGCACGACTACGCCGCGGTGGTGATTGCCGAAGCCATTGCCTGGAACGGCGGGCGCTCCCCGGACATCGTCTGGTGCGTGGCCGGCATGTCGACACCTCTGCTGTGGACGGACGACGACAGCATGGCTGCCGCGCGCCGCAACATGGACGTCAACTACTTTGGATCGGCCGAAATGTCGCGGGCGATATTGAGGGAGTGGCTGGCGCCCGAGAACAGCACGGGGCCGAAGGGGGAGCCGAAGCACTTGGTGTTTACGGCGTCGATGTTGGCGCTTTTTGCGATTTTGGGTTATGGCCCGTACACCCCGACCAAGTGGGCGCTGAGAGGACTGGCGGATACCCTGGCGATGGAGGTCAATTACTACCCGGATAACCCGGTCAAGGTGCATATTGTGTTCCCCGGCACGATTGTGTCGCCGGGCTACGAGAGGGAGAATCAGACGAAGCCGGACATCACGGTGGAGCTGGAGAAGGACGAGCCGGCGGAGAGCCCGGATACGGTAGCGAGGAGGGCGATTGCCGGGCTGGAGGCGGGCAAGTACTTTGTCGATGTGTCGTTCCTGGGCAGGCTGATGCAGTGCGGGATCATGGGCGGGTCGCCGAGGAATAACTGGGTGTTGGACACGATGATGGGGTGGTTCATACCCATCATTTACTTCTTCGTTTTGAGGGGGATGAACTCGACGGTTGTGAAGTGGGCGAGGGAAAAGGGGCATCCTTTTACGCATCCGAAGAAGAAGTGATGTGACGGCTGGATCTGTTCTTCTGGAGGTCCCCCCGTCTTCTATGTACGACATTCACCTCGAAGTCAAACTAACATCTCTTTCGCAGTCTGAATAGGTTTTGAAACCGTTTGAATGTTCTGGTAAAGCCTGCTCTTATTGTATACTACAGATTGTGTCAAAGGAAGGCGTGAGCTCGGTTCAGGGCTTTGGACCTAAGCTCGAGGTGCAGTTCATGAAGTGGGATGTTGGAGGACGGCAGCTGCTGTCGAGAAGCTGCAAGATGCCCCATTCGATCAGCTTGAACCCTAACCCTCCCCTTTCCATTTGGTGGACATATAAGCAGGCAGTGTAGGTACCAGCTGGTGTTGACTGTCCAGAACTCGGAACTTCATCCGCTTCCCATTTTCCGTTTCTGCTGTTATCCAGCACCGCGAACAGAAACACATCATATCGATACTGTATCAAGCATCCCCATTCCATCTGAATTCTCTCTTACACTCCATTTCTAGACTTTGGGTTTTTACTGACATCTCTGATGACACTGCTCTGGTTGGTGCAAGGGACGTGGTAGGTACTCACCAATTCCGGCCAATTGACCATCAACGAGGATCGAGGGAGGAGGGGCAGAAGCACGGATAACACTCGGTGATTGGACAATCGTCTCCGTTGTCAGTGTTTTGTGGCTCGTGCGCCCTTCTAACAGTCGGGCGTCTGTGTACACGGCAGTTGCACAAGCCGGAGTTTTGATGGACACTGGCACGCAGTTGCCGCCACCTTCTGGCTGCTGGTTGCCTGCCGGTGACTGCCCGCCAGCTAAAATGTCGCGTCCGTCGAGCGGTGTCTCGCCGATCCAGCAGTTCCCTGGACACACATTTCTCTCCTCTCCTCCCCAAACTTGTCGCCCGACTTTGGAACACCAGCTGACGACAGCTGCTCAACACCAACTCACCCTACCAAGCGCCATTACCAGCCCATACAGCGACGAGCAGCTCGCGACACCTGGTAACCGCCTGTCATTGCTGCCAACTGGTACCAGCAACCCGGACCCCAAGCGGAGTATGAAACCATCGCCAATCCGCCCTGTCGCTGGCCCCGGATCCGGTGTCCAGCGCGGTGCTGTCGGTGCTGTCGGTCAGATTCCCGGAGCTGTCGGCCAGGTCCAGGTCGGCTCCGTTGGACTCCAGGTCGGCCCTGCCCCCGGCCAAGGCCAAGTCCCAGCCTCGCGACTCACTCCGGGCCCCGGCCCGGCCAAGGTGACCAAGCCGACCACCCCGGCACGTCCCCGCGCTGTCGCCAGTCCTCACTCGCTGGTCCGAAACAGCCAACTTGTCCAGCAACTTGCTGCTCACGAAGCCCAGCTCCAGCAGTTTCAACAGCAACAGCAACAGCAGCTGCAACAACAGCAACAGCAGCTGCAACAACAGCAGCAACAACAACAACATCAACATCAACAACACCAACAGCAACAAAACGTGGCTACCAACCTGAGCCCCGACCAGGACCCTAACAACGTTGGCCATATCCATCCCCAACTTCAGGCCCAGCTTCAACTCCAGCATCAGCAGGCTCAGGAACACGACCTCCACAACCATCACCTGCAACAGCATCAGCAAGATCAAAACCAGGATCATCTTCAGCACCAACAGGAGCAACACCAGGAGCCTGATATTGACCAGGATTCCCTCAAGCAAGACCCATCCGCCTTCGACGACCCTACGGCCAGGATGGGCACTGAAGAGTATGCTGCCGCAGCTGCTGCTGCCGTCATGGAGACTGGTCTTGGTCAGCCCGGTTCCCTGAATGATGGCACTGGCGAGCCGGATGTTGACGCCGAGATGGAGGACCAAGATGCCTCTGCCGCTGCAAACTCGGGACTCGGCGGCCATGTTGATCTTACTGGTGCCAACATGCTAGGTAACCCAGGTGGCCCTGGTGGTGTGCCTCAACCCTCTCCTCAGGACCACTCTCAACATCAACAACACCAGCACCAGCAGCAGCAACATCAACACCATCAGCAACAACAGCAGCAGCATCAACAGCAACAACAGCAGCAAGCTGATATGCTTCAGGGCCTTGGACAACCTCAGGCCCATCCTCATCAACATCAGCACCAACCCCCTGTTGCCCCCATGGGCCAGCCCCAGCAGATGCAGCCGTCCCCCCATCAGCACTCGATGGACCCTCAGCTGTCCAAGAGCACGGAGGATATGGCTCATGAATCCGGCTATGGCCAGCTAAACGTCGAGAGTGCCCTTGCCAAGAGGTTGGCTCGTGAGCCAGGTCATCGTCTTGCCCAGCAGAGGCGCCCTGAGCAGGTGCTGAACCTGGCACGTAGAAGCAATGTTGAAGCTTTGTTCGCTCACATTGCTGGTGAGCCGGCTCGCGTTCCCTGTAAGAATTGCCACAAGGGCCACGGTCCATGGACCAGCTGCATAGTGGTGGACGGCCAGATGTGCGGCAGTTGTGCCAATTGCTGGTTTAATGCCAGTGGTGCCAGGTGCAGTTTCCACGGTAAGCTTTCCCCGATTGTTTTGTGTGTGTGAGAACCAGCTACAGTTCTAACATCCCGGTTATAGAAACGCGCAATCCCCAAAATGCTCAGCAGCAGCAGCACAACACGGCGATCCTGCCGAACGGGGCAAACGGTGGGATCAATATTCCGTCTGACCCCAATGCTTTCCGCTTTGGCACTCCTCACCCGCTCGGCACCCATGCTGCCCTTGCTGCTCCGGCTCCCGTGAGCGCTATCGCTCCAGCAGCTCCCTCGATGAGCAATCCAATGCTTCAGCACATGTTGAATCGGGCCATGTCCGAGGTACGGAGCGCGGACAAGGCTACTCGGCAACTTATTCTCATCGAATGCACTGCCAAGAAACTGGCGTTGCAGATGGTCGACTATGAGGAGCTTATTAGCTCCCAGGAGCAGTCAGGCAACGCCGGAGGACCTGGCCAGCAGGGCTTGGGTGAAGATGCGGGTGCATAGGAAGAAAACGCTCCTGATCTACTTTTGGAGAACTTCTCACCCGTTCCGGACCTAGAGGACTTTATGGATATGCACATGGCTCCGTCGGCTTCATCATGATTATTCGGCTTTTCACGACGCGAAAATCTTCCCGTTTTGCAACTCGACCATCAATCCTAGACCCAGCATGGGTCATTACTGTCCGCACCACAACTACACAGTCGCCTGGATATACTATTGCTACCCGATTTGCATGCGAAAGTATCATCACCCCATATTTTACCTTTCGACATATCACACAGAATTTTGGTTTCTTTCGACGGACCAAGGATCATGAAAGCATTATCCACATAACACTACTACCGACACTTTTTTTGTTCTTCGCTTGGGGCTTCCTAGAGGATTTATCATCAGGCTGACTGGATGGAATGGGGGAAAAGACAAATTTTAGCCGGGACAGATACCTTTGATCTTTTTTCTTCAGACTTGTATGTCATGATAGTGGCACGGATGCAAATCTACCAGCGATACCCAATCCCAACACCAACCCTCCTCTTCAAGGCAGGAAGCGATTTGATTCTGCCTCCAGGCTAGTTTTGGCCTTTACCTTTTTTGCTTTCTTTTCCCTCCTATGGCCTTGTTTACCATAGCTTAACCTTTTATTTCTTGACCGTGTTGTTTAATTCACAGGTATTTCAGTTCCTGATAGTATCACTTTTGGGATATGCGGGTTCCTTTCTGTCAAGCGTCGTTGATGGCGTGTTTTAGTCGGGGTTTGGTTAAGTGCCCGGCCGCCATGGTAATTTCACGTTCTATGTGCTGTTCCTGAACGGAGATGGGAATTTGGACTGAGGACACGCCAACTCAAGTACGAGCAAAGAAAAGCAGACTAGTAGGACAAATGGTGAAGACAAGAAATGGGCATCTGAGGTGTAGAGTGAGAAAAGAAAAGGGGGAAAACGGCACTTCGAAAAGTCAACGGAAAAGGTTTTTAACTGCGTGAACGTTTACAAGGGTGCATAGACTACAGACTGTTAGGTCACATAAGTCCGTTTAGCTTCTCATTCCTCACTTTGTACCTGGCATGATGTGTGCTAATGTTTTTATTCGTTCGCGCTTTCCTTGTGCGTACATACGAACTCAAGATGGTAAACCGGCTTGACAATAAGTTGTTAGGTATACTCGTCAGGCCTACCAAATCGGCTGCTGACTAGGAGGAATAGGGGCCTGACGAGTATACGATGCAAGTGTTGATATGGCAAGTTAAACCCTCTCCGAAATTCCTTATCATCTCTGCTACTACTCTCCCATCTTCTGTCCCACAAGCATTGGCTCGCAACAATGGTATCTCTTGAAACCCTCCCTCAAAACAGGATATCCAGCCATCCATTCAACCGCGCAAAATTGCTTTTTGAACTCGCTCGCTCATCTCAAGATCATTACCATCAAATCCAGCATTATCCAACATATCCGACGTCATTACCCAACATTAAACCCAAACCCGTAACTCGTAACCCCCAAAGCCATCCACCATCCGCCATAACACCCCTCACATAACAACACAGCACTTCTTGAAACAAGCCCCCAACAAATCCGCCCAAATATCGTCCTCCTGCTGGTTGTTCTGCTGCTGCCCTTGCTGGTGGTGTTGCTGTCCCTGTTGCTGTTGATGATGTCCCTGCTGCTGCTGCTGCCCCGGATACCCTCCCCCTCCCCCTCCATGATACTGATTCGGCCTTCCCTCTGACTGATACCCCCCTCCCCCTCCCCCTCCAGGCTGATACCCCGCCGGCTGCTGCGGCAGTCCCGGCAGGCCATCGACCCTACCGCCCGTCAAATCAACATAGATCCGCCCCTCATTCTCCTCCGCCGCAAAGTTGAGTCCCATCTCGCGACACACCTGCTCCACACGGGGGGCGATCTTCCTGACCCCGCCCGCCGAGTGGTTTCCCTTTCCGACGATGACGTGCAGGTGCGTCTGCCCGCGGGCTTGGGCGTCGCGGATGCGCGCCTCGAGAATGTCTTCGGCTTCTTCGACGTAGAGACCGTGCAGGTCGATGGTGTCGGCTGCGACTCGTTCGACGTGGTTGTTCTCCCGGAAGATGAAGTCGGCTGCTTGTTTGTTTAAAGCGTCCCGCTTGGCTTTGTGCTTCTTGCCGAGGTTGGAGAGGTTTTTGGCTTCGGCGCCGTCGCCGCGTTCGTAGGCTTGGTGGGCCTGGAGGGGGGGTTAGTGAGGTGCACTGGGAGAGGGGAGAGGGGGGGATGTGATGAGGTGTGTTGTTGCTGTGTATGTGACATTGGATGAACCAGCAGGTTGAGATGAGATGAGATGAGATGAGATGAGATGAGATGAAATGGGTGAAGGTGAACAAACATACCTCGTCATAGTATCTCTTCATCTTATCACCCTCCGCCCGGGCCTCAGCGCGCAAGCGGTCATATTCACTCTCAATCTCTACACTCGTTCTGTGGTTGAAGGCTGTGGATGTGGACAACTTGGTGAGCTCATGTTCTTTCCTCAATCACGATGAATGGGACACATACCTCTATCGCCTAACCTTTCCATAGGAATCGCCATTTTGCTGGATAAGGCGGTCTAGCTCAGACCCGAACTCGGCTCTGGTAACTTGAGAGAGGAACGTAGACAACAAACAACGTCTGGAAGCGGTACTCGGGCGGTTTCTGTACAAACGAACGACCGTTCCGTGGTTCCCCAGGGAGGATAATAGGCTTCTCACAATGCGCTCAACGAAACGAAAATGGTATCTCAAGCAACAAAAAGCCAGAAACACGAAAAACTCCGACGATGAAGTCGTTTAAGAGTTTAAGAACTACAACAAAAAGCAAAAACCTCTAGTTCGCCGAGTGTACGGACTAAGGTACAGGGGCCATCCTACCGTGACTGTTATGCGCGCGGATGCGTGTGTGTACAGGGGGTCGGGGGACCATGCTCCCGGACCAGCTGAAGGGTCGCTGTTTGGTGGCTGGGAACGTGTTGTTCTAGGCGCAGCGCAATTGACCAATCATAGCTTGCTAAAGTGGCCGCGGCAGTGGGAACTGGGAACCACTTCGCTCATCGCTGGTCCCCTCTTCTTCACCGAAGCCAAGCTTTGGAACTTTCATCAACACACACATGTTGGACAGCAAATGCTATTCTGTGTGACAGCTTGAGGTATCAGATCACGTTTCTCCTGTCGACATCATTTTACTTTCTTTTTATCGCTATCTTTTTCGTTATCACTTCCCGTCTTCACTGTGGTGCTTTTCATCGTCTTCGGCTTCGCTCAAAGTCATTGCAGGTCGACTTCAACACGATCTTCATCTCGAGGTATATACAACTGTCAGCCCCGTGGACTCGACTCCCCTCTCTCACCCGGGCCGAACGCCTGAATTTACTGAGCGTCCTCTGGCTTCTGCGCCCACACATATTTCCAATGGTAGTATCCATGAATGCTCTTGTCCTTCAGCTCGCGGCGCATATGAGCCCCAAACACACTGATCTCCTCTGGCGTCCAACCCATGACGTTACCGAAAAAGTACTGGACGACGCCTTCGACATCTGCCGAGAGTGTGGAATAAGCACACAGCCCGACCTCCTTCAACTTCTTGTCATCTGACCAGGGAGATAACGGCATATGTGTTAACAAGTCAGCTAAATCCCGGCTGATTAAGTGGGTGTAGTGATTGAAGCATAATGCGCGAAAGAAAGCGTTCGGTCCTTATTGTCAATCATCTGGCTGACAGGGTATTCAACTTACTTTCATCCTTTTCGACTGGATGTTAACAAAACCAGCCGCCTTCAATCCTTCCTCCATAATATTGTCGTCGGCAAGCGTAACTGATCTTCCAATTCTTCGGGCAGCCTCCGCGAGCACCTTGCCATACGTATCCATAGCAGACCCCGGGACCACGCTTCCGTCGTCAGAAGTTACAACGGGCGAATGGTCGTAATGTTCAATCCAGCCACCCGGTTTGCAGACTTTGAACGCCTCTCTATAGAAGGCGTTCCAGTCCTCAATGGCGCCCACAAAAAAACGAATGTGAACAAGGTCGAAATAGTTCGGCTTATAAGTCCACTCTTTCGAGGCATCATTGATCTCGAAGCGTAGATTGGGCGGCACCCAGCTGGGTTGCACGGGCGAGATATCGGTGCCAATCACCTCACAGTTGGGATACTTGTCAGCGAAATCAATCGCCCAGATGCCTGCGCCCGTACCGATGTCGATAACGTATTCGATATCGTCTTTCAGCGGCGACATGTGTAGCTGATGATCGTTGAGCAGCTCGACGCCATGATAGTAAATCTCCAAGCTGTCGAGATGCTTCTCGTCGTTGGGCGCCCAGTATTCTATGTCCGTTACGGCGTCGCTGTGATAGGTACGGCCATTGAAAATACGGTAGTTGAAAATGCTCGAGGCGACGGAAGCAGTTGAACTTTCGACATCGCTACCCAGCAGGCTGGAGTCCGCGTCTTCGGAATCCTCTTCTGGCATTCCCTGTTGAAGCCAATGCGCACCGGTGAGGGCATTATCTGTGTTGGCTGGTGCGGCCGGCGACAATGCCTTTCTCTTCGCTGGGGTACTCATGGTTGGAAGTTGGCTCGCAGGTAAGACAGAGAAATGTTGAGGAGTCCTAAGAAAAAAAGAGTCGATTGAGTGTTAGCCCACCGAAATAGTTGTCACACGGCGGTAGCGTCCTACGGCGTCCAGAACCATTGCGACTTAATATGTAGCGACGCAACCCTGGGATATCAACTAAGCAGTCATACGACTTATTCCATTTGTCCTATCAGTATCGCTTCATTCTATCAACCTCCTGTAGCTGGAAAGAGATGTGGTGTTTTCTTATCTATAAGCATCATCATATCTTGCCAGTCACTGTCGGTCTCACTCTCCCTCGTCGTTTGGGGCATGTGAATCATGCCGTCTCTGGGCAAACTTAACTCGTGAGGGAGTCAACTCGAGACTTGTTGCCATGAAAAGAGGATCCAAAGTGAACGAGATCGAAAAGCACATTGAGATAAGAGTCTTGGGTCCTCCCGCCCCGCTCGTTACCCCGACGTGCCCCGTCAATCCCCGGCTACGCCAACCGGCTGTGTGGCAGCATCGGGAGCGGTTCCGTAGATGTGGGGCCCCCGCACTGGACCGCGGCATTGATCTCGCAACTCTGACGTCCCACACGCTCCCACGGCATTTCTAGTTCAACGCTGATCAGTAATCACACACGTTCTCGGCCTGAATACAGAGAATGACCTCACTGATGTGGAATCCGCGAAGCTAATTTTGGTAGTAGGTAGTTAAGATACCAATAATAAAGTCAATCAAGATACCTTTCCTTCAAAACAATGTGCATATCTATCCATCAACTTCCCTCTTCTGATTCTGCTCTTTCTCTGTCATTTCAGCTTCAGTATACCAAAAGAATCACTCCAAGTCCAACATAATTTTAACGTCTCAACATCATGGCTCCCTCAATAGACGACAAGCCAGTAGCGACCTCCCCCATAGACAAGCCAGTAGCCCTCGTCATCGGTGCCTCACGCGGAATAGGCCGTCAAGTAGCCATCGACCTAGCCAAGAAGGGATACGCCGGTAAGCATTTCACTCACTCACTCCCTTCGCTGCATGCACCATCATAGCACCTCCACTAAAACCACCTCAAAAACAGTCGTCGTCTCCGCAAAATCCACCACCTCCCCCTCCGCCCTCCGCACCCTCTCCCCCTTCCCCCCCGACCCCAACTCCTCCCTCTCCACCATCACCACCGTCGCCCACGAAATCACCACTTTGCATCACGGCACCGCCCTCGCCATCCCGTGCGACACCAGCGACCCCACCGGCACCTCCCTCAAGACCCTCATCTCCTCCACCATCAAAGCCTACGGCCACCTCGACGTCCTCATCTACAACTCCGGCGCAATCTGGTGGTCCTCCGTCTCCAACACACCTTTAAAGCGGTACCAGCTCATGCAGCGCGTCAACGCCGACGGGCTTTATGCTGCGGTTCAGTACAGCTTGCCGTACCTTCATGAGTCTACCTACGGTGGGAGGATCGTGGTGGTTTGTCCGCCTATTTACAGCCGGTTTTTTAGAGGAAAGACGGCGTACGCGATGGGGAAAGTGGGCATGAGCGTGCTCGTCAAGGGACTAGCGATGGATTTTGAGCGGGAAGCGGTGGTTTCCCCCAAGACGGCGACGGGGGAGGGGGATGGAGTGGTGACGAGGAAGAGGGGGATGGCGGTGAGTGGGATTTGGCCGGCTGTGGCTGTTGAGAGCGCTGCTACTGCTGCCAGGCAGAGGGAATATGAGAATCCGGAGGAGTTGAGGAGGGATTTGAGAAGGGCGACGATTTTTGCGGATGCGATACTGGGGATTTTGGAAAGCCCTGCGGAAAAGGTCAATGGGGAGTTGTTGCTTGATGAGGATTTCCTGAGGGAGCAGTGTGGGGTGAAGGATTTTGACAAGTATAGTGTTGTGCAGGGAAGTAGGCCGCGGAGGATCATGCCGAGAGTGTTGCCGGATTTGAGGGTGGAGGAACAGGATGATGAGGGGGCTAGGTATGATAGTGCGAAGGAGAGGAGGAAGGGGGCGAAGCTTTAGAATGGGGGTTGCTGGATGAGAGTCAAGTGGTTACCTGGTGGCTGGTTGAAGGTTTCGTGGATGTGATGTACTGGTAACGACTTTCTTTGGATACCTATAATATAAAGAAGTTCTCATGACCTCCAACCACATTCCCACCCTCCATCGGCCAGAATTACATATGACCATAGGCACTGGGCCAAAAACTCGGGATCCCGTCCGCTCTCCCCTAGATAAGCCAGTGACCGCCAGGCTAGTAGTCGGATCGGTGACGACCGGTGAATAACCTGGTGTTGTATGTCTCTTTCCTTTTTTTCTTCTTTGTCTTCTTCTTTGATATTGGTTCCTTCCGTTTCGCGATCATGATTCCTTCCGCTTCTCGTCTTCTGGGCAACTCTGGGAAAGAACGGTCGCTTGTCGAAGTGGGAAAGTGTGTGTTGGTAGCACCTTCTCACCTCCGCCTCTCCGCGGAGCTCGTTAGTCCGGATTCCGGAAACGTCGTCAAAGGCAAGTGTGCGCGATGCTGACGAAAGAAATCAGTCCCTTGATATCTGCAGACGTGATCATTGACAGGGCGAAGTATCGTAGACTGGGGCAACGGGAGGTAAAGTGGCTCATTCAATGCAAGGCAATGCCAGGCAATGTTAATCAGTAATGAATGCATGACAGAAGCAGGCAGGCGCGTATGCATCCGGAACGAGTGCATACTTGTGCATGTGCTTCGCCTCTTGCCTCTTGCTTTATGATGTACTATGCCGTTTTAAGCGGTCTTCTGCTGCGCCCCATAATGTTCGATCTCGGTGGCTTGTCTGAAGGCTAGTTCCGGCTGCATAAGGGGCGTTCTCATATCTCTACGTACATAGGGATCGGATCTCGTGAGGATCGGCGAGAATACTCACATCGCGGGAACTCTTCATTCTGTCATTAAACCAAAACATGACATGTTCAACAAAACCATGACCAAACTGAATATGTAAAGTGGGTATATTCTCCAAAACTACCTATCCATCGCCAATTTTGTGTGTGTTCGCTAGCCTCCTTTTCCTTCTATAACCCACTAACCATCTATATGTTCATATGTTCCGCTCGCATGGATCCAATCATGCGGCCAAGTTGGTATCGTATACAAAAAAAGAAGATAAAAATATTAAAACCCAAGATAAAAAGCTCGTAAAACGCGTTTCGCCATGCATGTAATGAATCATGCCATCCATCCAAAACCCAAGTGGTATATCCAAATGCAAATAATATGCAAAAAGTGAATGTAAGAAGACAAGACAAGAAGTGAAGTGAGGTTAAAAAGGGGATGAGATGAAATGAGATGAGATGAGATGATGGGAGGATGTGAGGTGGAGGAGATCAAGAAGTCAGTGTCCCTCCACTCAAACTCAAACCCTCTTCTCACCCTTCTCCTCCTCCATTTCCGTCGTATTCCCCGACCCGTTTACCGTCCTCTCATCATCGCTCATGACCAACATCACAGGGATTTTGGCATAAGCCTCCTTCGTCTCCAACACCTCCTCGTTCTCCTCCGCGACACCGGCAGGAACAGCAACCTGCGGCTGCTGCTGTGCAGCAGCTCCGCTCCTGCCCTCTTGCTGCTCCTGTCTCGTCTTGGCAGCCGCCATCATCTTCGCGAGCGCCTGCGCCGCCTCAGCAGCGTACTTGCACTTCATCCTGACCAAGTGGCCATACTTCCAGAAGAGGAAGGGGAACGGCACACAAGCGAGCGCCAAAAAGGCAGGGATGGTCGAAGCCCAGTGGATGCCGAGGTTTTTATACATGTAGGTGGTGAAGAGCGGGAAGGCGGCGCCGAAGAGGGAGCGGAGAACCGAGTTGGCGGCCAGCACGGAGGCGGCGAAAATGGTGTACGAGTCGATCAGGTAGCCCATGAGACTGAGGAAGACCATGACCAGGCCGCCGGCGAAGAAGCCGGACGCAATGATGGGCACGATCCAGTGCACTTCGGGGCCATTGGTCCACGCGAACCAGAAGAGACCGACGGGCAGGAGGATGGAGCCGACGATGGCGAGGGGCAGGCGTGCCTCTGGAGGCGCCATGCCGCCGTGCTTGTCGGCGACGCGCGCGTAGCGCTTGTTGTCGAACATGGAGTAGCCGACCGAGAGCATCATGCCGACGGCGACACCGACGAAGGCGAGGCCGCCGATGCCAGGGCTCCAGCCGCGGATCTGCTGGAAGACGATGGGGAAGGCGGCGAACATCATGTAGAGGGTGCCGTAGACGATGGCCATGTAAAGCGAGGTGAGAAGGACGATGGGCTCGGTGAAGAGCAAGATCCAGGGGCGAAGGAGCGAGATCTTGATCTGTTGTCCGAAGCTTTGGTGGCGAGTTTGCAGGTCGAGGCGGGAGACGTAGAGTTTGCCGGTCTCCTTGGTAAGGTTCTTGGCACGGCGACGGAGGATAACGGGGGCGTAGGTCTCGGGGACAGTGAGGGAGCAGGCAATCCAGAGGACGCCGGTAAAGATGGCCATAACACCTTCAACCCAGCGCCAGCCCTCGGCTTGTCCCAAAAAGCCACCGACAATGGGGCCGATCGAGGGACCCAGGAAGGGAGCCATGGCGAAGACACCGGAAGCAATACCACGCTCTGTTGAGAGTTAGTATGATAAGCAATATAGAAGGGAGGAGGCAGACATACCCTTGGCAGTAAACATGTCAGCAATAACACCACCCGAGTTGGTCAAGGGCGAGGCACCAAAGGTACCGGCGAGAAATCGAAGGACGATGAGGGTCCCGATGTTCTGGGCACCAGCAGCGCCAGCGTTGAATGCTGTCAAGGCCATGTAGGTGAGGAAGAAGAGAATCTGGCGACCGTAAAACTCGCTGAGGGGCGCCCATAGTACCGGTCCGACGGCGAAACCAAGGACGAAAAGAGAAACACCCAAGATGGCGACCTCTGTGCTGACCCCGAACCCAATGATGATCTCCCTGATGCCTCCAGAAAACGCGGTACTGACGAAGGCAACGGCCAAGGTGGCAACGGCTTGTAGGATGGTGATGGTCCACTTCTTCCAGTTGGGATATTGCATGGCGTTGTGTCCGTCGACGGGTAAGAAGTCGACGATGTAGGGCTTCTCGTGTGTGCCCTCGCCCTCATAGTGGTGGTTGCGGACGGCATCGGTGACGCCGCCAGGATTGAGTAGGAGGTACCAATGCGAAACTCTGCTGACTTGGGTGTTTTGAGATTCGATATCCATTGCCATCGGCGTCGATGACCCCGAGGACTGTGGTGTGCCGGCAGCCATGATGACTGATGGTTAGGCCGGTATTAGGGAGTATGTTCGAATAGGTAGAGGCTAATACAACAACGACAAAGAGGATATAATGTATACACGAAGTGATCGACTGCCAAAAAAGGGAAAGTGAACTAGATGTGTTAGAGCCTCAGTAACGGGCCATGCATGTGTTGATCAACGCTTGGACTAATATCTCTCTTCTCCCTCCTTGGGCAAGACGAGCCGAGGACACACAGCCTTATATTTAGTCGAGACAGCAACGAGCAGGCATAATAGCCAGCCCGGTACTGGATGGTCCCGATGTGCGTCAACTCCACCTTGTGGCTCCTCGTGGGCCTGGTTCGTGAATTTCATCCAAACAGGTTACGGAAAGTTGCGTGTAAGGCTTTAAGGCTCCATCATGCCGGTACCAGATCCACGAAACGATCACCGGTAAACAGCCAATAGCCCTGTATTTGTCAGTAACAGGGGGCGGATGCCGTATGGATGGACCCATAGTCGGGCCAAAACCCGCCGGTACCTCGGCACGCTAATGACAAAAATGCTGGCAGTTTTGGGTGGTGGTGGCCCGGACGAGATACTGCCACTTGTTTTGTCATCAGCGTGCTCGGGTCTGGCGATATCTGATTAGCAACCGAGCGGTGACACCTCGTAGTAACTTTGTGACTACCGAACAAGACGGACACCATGACGAGAAAGGGGGCGCCGAGAGGCTCTTCGCCGTTCAGTTCGTTCTGTTGGTGGAGTGGCACGTCATTCCCTACGACGTGCCCAGGTGGTGCGGTGCAGTCACTGCGGTGGGGGCGGTACGGCCACGGGTGAATAGCCAAGCTCCGTGATCCGTGGAGGAGTCTAGTTTAGAGTGTTCAAGTTGTCCCAGCATCACATCCAGATACCTAGTAGGCATCCTAGAATAGCAGATTCTAGAAGGCCATATGACTTTCAACATGTTATCTGATAGTCTGGACAAAGGCGGATATCAAGGTCGTGGTACTCGGGACCTGAGAATGGGGGTTTGAGGAGGAGACACAACGGGATGAACGACGGGCGGAAAACCTGCGTACGAGTCGCGAACTCCCATGAGACCCCAGACAGGTATGCGCTGGTCACTCACGGCCGTCCTGCTGTGCGACTGGGAACATCTTGATTGGGTTGCCATGTCGACGGTTTGAGAAAGTGGCCTGACAAGGCTGCCGGGCGTCGCACCAATGACGAGAACAAGCTGAAAGGGAATAGGCCGGAAGAGGCAGTGTTCATTGCGGTGTTGGTGTTGTGCAGCTGGACGGCATTTGCTGACGTTATCGTGACAGACCCGACCAATATCAACAACACTTAAGGTTCAGAGGGGTCGAGACTCGAGAGGGTGTATCGGGTCTTTCATTATCGCTGACGAGGGGTAATCGAAACCCCATGCGTCGAGGTGTCCGTCTCATGTTGTTGCTGGTGGTGATGGATGAGCATGGGGTTGGGCGGAGAAGTGGATCTCAGGCGAAAGCAAGTCGTCGAGGTTGACCGGTGCCCGGTGATGTTTGATGTTGACGATGGAAGTTGCAAGAGGGGAGGCAGGGGCCGGTTGCCGGGCTACGTCCGATGTGCTTATCTTATCTAGCGTGCACATTGGATAAAATCCGATCCGGGACTTAAGCACCGACATGCCGACCATGGCCCCACCACGACCCACTTGACCTCCCCTCAAACCCACCAAAAACCCACGAGACTGGTCCACCTGCAAATTTATGCTTATCGCAAGATGGATCTAGACGGGCGGGGCCCGGAGTTTTCCATCCTTGAAATCTTCACGAGCCGAGGCTCAGCGGCTGCTGGTCCATGATTCGCTGTTAACCCGAGAAATCGGAATATTGACCGGCCAATTCTCCGGGATCAGTCACGATGCGGTGAGATCGATCACCATGGTGGTCGATGGCAATGGTGATGGCAATGACAATCCGGGATGCCTCCGGATCTTCGGTACTTCGATACCACGGCCTCGGGTCGCCGTTGGATCTTTTCGAAAGATCCGGTCAGCAACGGATCATTCATCTGGCGATTTATCCCCGAATATAAAACAGGAATCCGACGAGCGGGTTTCAAGGACCGACGCATCCCGGACATAAGGTTATCATCAGCCCACTGGACATTATCAGTATCATCAGTGCTTACCCGCGCACGCTAATGACAAAAAAGCTGGCAGTTTTGGGTGGTGGTGGCCCGGACGAAATACTGCCACTTCTTTTGTCATCAGCGTGCCGAGATATCCGACATCTGCCAGATCGTGTCAACTGACATGATATGACGGCACCAGCGTTATATTAGTATCTGTGTTTGATTGTAACTTTGGCGTCATGATTGAACCAACGGCCCCATAGGGTTGACAACAGGATGTCAAAGGATCTAAGTAATGAGGCGTGAGCTGCTCAAGAGGTTGATTTACAAGTCGTGAATAACCTCCTGTCAATGACAACAGCATACGTTTGGCAGATTCCCGCTTTAAAATAGGGTTGGCTCGAGATGGGATTTAGTGGGTTTGCTCCGGCTGTACACAGTACACCTCTGGCGTAAAACTGCGGAGAATCATCACTGAAATGACCAAGGTATACTGGTGTTCGTCACGCAGATGGGCTTTCTTTATATTTCCTTAAACAGCCTTAATGGTTTTCGCCGTCAACAAAGCTTCAGGTTCCGCGTCCATTCTACCCCCCTACAAGTCTAATCATTAAAACCACCCCATTCACCGTCATCCTCCTCACTGCTCTCCTCCTTGCTCTCACTCTCACCCTCACCACTCACTTCCTCCTCTTTTTGCCCCTTTCCCCCCTTAACGACCTTCCACCTCCTCCCCTCCTTCAAAACCGGCAACCCCTCCTCATCCCTCACAATCTGCCCTTCCTCATCCCTCTGATACGGCTCCTCCTTTCCGGCCCCCTCCTCTTGCCCCTCGACCCTATACTCCACCGAACTCTCATCCTCTCCCTGCAACTCCTTCAAATCGACCGCCTTCTTCCCCGTGCTCTTCAACGTAGGAATACCATTTACGTCTCTGACAATCCGCCCCTGCTCGTCCCTCACAAATGGTCCTTCCGGGTCTTCTTTTTCCTCCTCATCATCCTCTGGCTGCGCAGCACCAGTGCCAGTGCCGTTGGTATAGATCGGATCGTCCACAGTACCGTCTCTAACGAAACCAGCCACAAAAAAACCCATAACCCCCATCCCATCATCACGATAATAAGCTCTAATAACCGCATCCCTGACCTCCTCCTTCTCTTTCTCGTCCATCTTTTCCTTCACCCCCTCTCCCTCCGTAACCCCCTCCAAATCCATCGCTCCTTGCTCCCCCCTAACATCCCACCTCCTCATCCCCTCCACCTGCTCTTCCCGTTTCAACACCCTCCACCCTCTCCTTTTCGCAACGTCCGACGCAAGCGCGCGCAAAACGACGTGCTCGTTTTCGCCGGCGTGGATCGAGCAAGTGCTGTAGGTGATGCGCTTGGCAGCAGGAAAAGACATGGCGTGTTGCAGCAAGGTAAGCTGGAAGGAGGCGAGCGAAGCGATGCGGGCTTCGAGGTCGGCTTGGGAGGAGATGGGGATGGCGACGCCGTCGTCGTCTATGAGGACTTTGGTTGGGGGTTCTTTGGCCTCTGTGGAGGAGGAGGTAGGGGGGGATTTGCGCTTGTTGTTGTTTTGTTTGCCTTTGGGGTTGGCTTTGGTGGAAGGGACAGAAGAAGGGGTAGAGGAAGAGGAGGGGGCAGAAGGGAGGTGGAGGGTGGGTGCGTCGTCACGACCGACGATGCCTGAGCCGGAGCAGGAAGGATCAAGAAGCAAGGCGCCGACGGTTCGGTACTTGGCATCCAAAGGGTTCACCTTGAGGAAGTCTTTACCGGCGTTGACGACGGTGAAGGAATCGGAGCCGGCGGTTTTGACCATTTTCTGGAGGGTTTTGGCGCGGTGGGGGTCTTTTTCGAAGGCGAATATCGTCGTTGTTGTCGTTCCCTTTCCACCACCTTTCTTTCCCTTCTTAGAGGTACTACCATCGAAAACAACCGCCTTCCCATCCTCCACCCTTGATGCCACAATCGCCGCCAAATGCGTCGTCTTATTCCCCGGCGCCGCGCACGTATCCATGACATCTCCGTCCCTCTCCGGCCGTGGATCCAGCAAATAAGCGGGAAAACACGACGCCTTATCCTGCAGTATGATCTTGCCCGCTTTGTAGGCCTCCGTCTTGGTGAAATCTGCCACGCCCGGGCAGGCAGCAATCAGGTTGGGAATGTGTCCATCGATGTGAATCACCTTCTTCCCCCGCTTTCCCTGGCCTTGTTGAGAATCAAAAGCATCTGCAGCCTTGATAACCTCCGCCACGGACTCAACAACCTCCCACCCTTTGAACGTCGTGGCCAACTGCTCTTCCACCGTCGACTTCAAAGTGTTCACCCTAATCCACCTTGGATGCACCGGACACCCGCCGCGGGCTTCAATCTCTACCTGGGTCCGCAGCGCGTCCAGCGTGGCACATCTGCGCCGTATGCGAGCGCGGACGAACTCCGAGTTGAGCCGGGCCTTGTGCCGCTCGATGGAAACCCTCAAGCCGTGGGTGGCGGGCAGGGCGATGCCCGATTTGGAGAGCAACAGGTCGTGTGTCAACAGAAGGGAGAGAGCCGGGGTGAGTTTTCGCTCGTGCTTGAGCAGGTCCGAGGCCTCGACGACTTCTTTCAAGATGGCGCTCCATTTGCTGGTCTCCAAGGCTAAAGCGTAGACTTGGGCTGGGGGACTTTTGAGGGATTTGTCTTTGAAGATGCGGGATTTGAGACTGCCGCCGTGGGTGGCGGTGGGACCAGCGGCCGTGAGGATGGCGGCTGTCTCGTGGTAGAGGGACATGGTGGGTTGCCGTGGTGGTGGTGGTCTCTCAGTTGGTGTTGGGTTGTGTTTGTTGACTTGTATGTGTCGAAAATAAAGGGGAAGAGAGATGTTTCGGAATAAGAGACGGTTTTCCTCAATGCTCAGTCTCAGAATGCCGTTGCGAGATTTCGGATTGTCGTCAAGTTCATCTGAAGTTTCGAGTGAAGAAACGATTAAACTATTTTATGCAGACGTTCACAAATCTGTCACTTGTGCAGTTGTCTCCACCCTCTAAACGCAAAACTTTCCCCCACGGTTCCTCTTTTTCAGCACAGACCCTCTGTTTTCTTCGCTGTAACTTGACCCCTGAAGGTGAACCAACAGGCCGGTACAACACAACACCACGACCCTCGTTCGTTCCTTGCTTTGGATCATCACGAACCCTGAATGTTTGTTTGACAAGCACAACAGTTTCTATTCTTGCTTCATCCATGGGAGCAAAAAAAGCTTGAGTCGTCTTAAGGTCCGTTATGTGTGAACGTACCACGTACCACGTACCACGTCCCAGTACCACACCATCAACTCATGACCAACGCAAACAATGTTCTTGTCCCAGCTAAACACTTCACACAAGCATACATATCACGAAAGTTACTGTAATCAAAAGTCTGTGTGTGTGATCTCTCAAATGGGTCCTCTTCACAAGAGGAAGAGGCCGCTAATCAATTTCCTTTCAAAAGAATCCTCTCGGAAACTCAAAGCTAAAATATGTGTTGGGGTATCGAGAACCCCAACTAAGCGAGGGTAAAGAAGTGAAAAGTAACATGTACAAAAGGCCGAAAACAAAAAGGTATCTTTTGCGAAGTGAAAAAAAAAAATTGCGCCCCTTCCTTTCTACACCATGCATGGGCGCTGTTCCTCCTCTTTTCGAAAAGATGTGGTCATTTCATATCGTCATCAAGATGGTTTGCAGACCCTGAGCCCTGTATCCCAAGTTTGTTTTGGTGTGTGTAGAAAGGCATTTGCTTTCCAGGTAATTCATACCAAATGCGCCCCTTTCTTTTCCCCTTTCTGGTAGATATCCCTAATCCATGGAGGTTCTGCATGGAAACCTCCGCTCAAAGTGTAAATGTGAAAGAAATGAACCCGAACATTTTTTGTCTATGTCCAAAAAGACATTTACCTGCGGAGCCTTCCAGCAGGAGTGCGACGGTGGTGCATGTAGTGGTTATGAACATGGCGACGGTGGTGGCTCTCCTCGTGAACATCACGGGCCGAGACCTTGCCGCTCTTGGTGTAGACAGACAAGGCCCAGTCGCCACCGCACTTGTCGGCGCCGTCGCCCTCGCAAGTCATGCTGCACTTAGAGTCATCCAACTTCTCGACCTTGGAGAGCTCATTGCCGCAGTAGCATTCGCCGCCGTACTCGGTACCGGCAACGCTGAAGCCCTTGGAGCTGCAGTGAGAAACACAGGCGGTGTTGTTGACCCGGCCGAGGTTGGCGCGGATCACTCCGCTGAGAACACGGTCCGAGGCGTCCTTGTAGCAGCCGGCATACTTGAAGTCGCCAACGGCCTTGCCGTCAGTGGCAGCATCAGTAGGCTTAGCACCAACAGCAGAGATGTAGACGGTCGTGGTTGACTGGACAGTGGTCGTCTGGACGACAGTAGTGGTCTGGGCCTGGCTGGTAACGGCCTGCTTGACGACATTGGTGGGGCTGGGCGCAGCAGACTCGATATCCACGGCCAGGTTGTTACCGCTGCTGCTACTGCTGCTTCCACCGGTACCGTACTTCCAGCCCTTAATGGGGTTGTTGCCGGGAAGCTTGTCCAGCTTGCCGTCAACCGTCTCCTTGATAGGGCACTCAATCTTGCAAGACTTGCTCTCATCGTTGACACCGCCAATCAGACCAGGGCAGGTGTGAATACCAGCATGACCAGCGTCGCAGTTGTCGATGATCTGCTGAAGGGCCTTCTCATCCCAACCGGAAACAAAGTCACCGTGGACGGAGAAGCCAGTAGCATCACCGTTGGCAAAGACGAAGGGGCTCTCCTTGCCAACAAGGTCCTTGAAGCGATCGACAAATCCGTGAGTGTTCCAATAGGTCTCAAAGAAGATGTGAGGGGTGTGAATCCATCCCTTGGGACAGTCCTGCTTGCCGTGGCCGTCATCGCTGGGGAAGGCCATGTTGTTCTTGTAGTCGTCAAGACCAGCCTTGGGGTTGTAGCACGACGGGAAGTGGACATCGGCTCTCATGGGCGAAGCATACCCATCGCAGTCCTCGAAGGGGAAACCCCAACCTTCACCATCCTGGTTGGACTTGATGCCAGCCATGGAGCCATCAGAGTCTTTGGGCCAGCTTGGTGGGTTGAAGTTGGCACGGGGGCAGGTGATGGAAGCGGCAGTGATGGGTCCCTTCGAAGGGTCCATATTTGAGCCCTTGCCGTAAGCAGCACCCGGGGGAGGAGTCCGCAACATGGCATCACCGCTCACCATCTTCAAACCCAGAGGGAAAGCCTTGATCGGATCGTTGGTGGGCTCGAAGCTGCTTCGTGTTAGTATCGAAACGACCCATATGGGGTAGTATAATGGGATACTCACAAGTAGTAGACGTTCATGTAGAAGAAAGGAACCTGTTCGAGCTTGCCATCCTTGGGGTCCTTGAAGTAGAGAGTCGGGAACCAGTAGTTGCTCATATCGGCCTTGGGCAGGGCCGTCGTGCACTCGGACTGTCTGAGGTGCTCTCCGGTAACGTTAAGACCGAAGTTGCTGGCTCCCATGACAGTATGAACGTGAGCGGAAGCGGTACCGGGGGAGATGATCGGGTCGGCACGGCAAGTGGTAAGGGGTCCATTGCCGTAGTGACGCAAAACGACAAAGGTGCGGGAACCCTTTGCGGCAACCGAGGCGACGAGAGCCGCAAGGGCGGCAGTGGTGAAGATCATGTTGAAATCGTTGTCGTTGTCGTAAAAGTGGTATGTGTCGAAGAAGTGGTAAAGGTGGAGTCTCGTCTATCTGTCTCTAGGACCGACCGTCTTGACTCAAAGTTGATATTGGCTCTGTGGAACCGTAGGTGCTAAGACCGGAGCACCGAGAGGAATGGATTTAGTTGTCGGGTGATGTTCTCGATGTCGTGCTTGAACAATGCCAGTTGTTGTATCCAGCTCAGCGGATAAAGCACACAAAGGGCCAAGAAGAAGGGGTTTGTGGTTGAAGAAAGGATAGGACGCGCTAAGCAGGCTCAGCAGCTTGTGGTCAAAGGAAGGTGAGGGAGAACGGGCAAGGAAGGGAACGACAAAGCCAACGATAGTCGAGGATGAGTAAGGGGAAGACCAGATGAGAAGATGAGGAGGGGGAGGGCATCGTGGGCTTATTATAAGACGGCCCATCCATTGACTGTGTGCCTGAATAGGACATGGGGTGTGGTATCCACCCACACATCGGAACAGGATGCGGGCTGGGCGCAAAGAGGTGGAAGTGAAGGGGAGGAGAGGCAAACAGCTGGGGTTTGCCGGCGCAGGGCTGGCCGGACAGTGGTGGGTGTATTTACCACACAGTACCATGCCAGTGACTTTTTGACTTTCAGATTATCCATGTTTTTTGTTCCGCCTCCGATGAGAGGTTTGGCTTTTTCATCACCTTGTCACGGCGTCGGCTCTCATAACCTGTTTGACACCCCGCAGGCAGCTTGGCCAACCGAGATTTTCAGGTACTGATGAAGGTCTCGACCCAGCCATGTGCTGACTGCTGGTGTTGATCACTCGTGGCCGGAAACAGGAACAAATGTTCCATTCCACACCTTCGTCGCTTCTTCTGGACCCGCCATAACCCCTCCCATTAACGCGATGGAATGGCTGCCGAGGACATGGAACCGCCACACTAAGCGTATCGCGGTTAGTTCATGGTCAAGCGCAGCTGGGCAAGTGTCAAATATCAGCTTGACACAAGACTAGTGTCGGGGCTTTCTTTGTGACTGAGAAACAGATGGAATGAGAGGAAACATGACGGCGTCATCATGGGCTGGCCGGCGGTTCAGTTGGGCAGTAAAACAAGAAGAAACAAGAGGCGGGCTGACAATATTCTCTCTCCCATGTCACGTCCACCTCACGCCTGGAAGATGAGTTCAAACACTGGCAAGAGCAAATGCACGACAGAGGGGGGACAAGCCAAGGTCGTACCTGCATCTTGCAGCCGCCACTAGACATTGATTGGGCGGTTGGTGGACATTTCCCCTGGATTGCGACGACTTGGTTGCAACCTGCGGGTATTCGGACACCATCCATCACGAAAAGGGTGTGTTGGCACGATTGGGAGAGGAGAAGAGAGGGAGAGGGAGGTCGTGGGAGGTTGTCCTCGGCTGGAGTGGACGGACGTTCATGAAGTCACTGGAAGGTGGTGGTTTGGCTGAATACGGTATCAGAGCAGTTTCTAGCGAGAGAGCATTTGCTCACAGATCCAATCATATTCGCCACCCCGCTCCGTACCAAGTCCCGCCAAGGTCACTGTCCAGATCTTTGCTTTCTCGGCCTCTTTTGCCCAGGGAGGAAAAAGCTCCAGTCAAAGTTTTTCACTGTGCAGCTAGCTGCATGGAAAATTTCTGGTGTTCTAGCGTGCGTGGTCCAGTCTCTGGCTCGCTGCCGTGTTCAGTCCGTCTGTGCCGTACCAATATCCAGATATTAACGGTTTGCGCGAGTGCAACAGCGGACGGCGCAGTCATCGGCCCCGTCAAGGTAGAGAGGTTCCAGAAGCAAGAGGAGGGGAAAACGGTGTCAATCGAGGCCCGGAATATCTCGTGGCTGATGATGGCTGACGTGAGGATGTATTTTAGCTTCAGAGGTTGTATTGTTTCGCCAAATACCGAGACCATTTTTCTCATGATGACCTGTAACCCGACTTTGTGATTGTTCGTCGCTTCCCCAAACAGTTCATCTCAACTTTGATAGAGGAAACAGCGCCCCAGGGGTAAAAAGGGCTGGACAAATCTGACAAGAGCGGTTCCTGGGCGGAATTGGCCGGATCGCCCTCCAATCCCGTCCAGTCGGAGCCGCGAAAAGAGGGGTGCAAAGTTTGAAACGCGCTAAGGCAGCTGAATGACACGAGCCACCACTGGGCGCTAGGCTATTCTGAGGCTAAGGTAGTGGTGGGGCTATGGGGGGGTTTGTGCCTGGACCTGTTGAACACTTTTTGAGAAACAGTCTGCTCGTCCTTTCCCTTCATTGTTGACGATGGCCTCCTTCCTGGCGTTTACAGCGATACACTGCATCGGGAAAGTAGTCGTTCGCAACGGCAAGATGCATCATGTGTGTGGGATAAACTCCCGATTCCGCTCAGTCAACTGAACATACAGTGTGCCAACTTTTCTGAGTGAATGATCTTTTGTCGTTTGGCGACGTTGACCACTGCAGTCGGCGGGCGTTGACGGAAACGAACTTGCATCTATCTGTTTCAACCAACGCCAAACCTGCAATGACGCCGGCACGAAAACACCATGGCCTGTTGGTGACGGTGACATCGTGGGCTTCAAATCAGTTCACCTTGTCTGTGGACCCGGTCGATGATCCTTCATTTTCCGGTCTCTCCCCAAGCGCTTTTTGACACGATGCGCGCGCTTGTTAACGCCGTCTGAACTTCCTCCACAGCATCCCCGCTAGCCACACGCTACACTACGCTAAATCGCCCTTTGACAGCGGCACTGGCAATCACTGACAGTATGACAGCTTTCTTGGCACGGGCTTGACGTCAACATCCAGAGTCAAAACCACTTTTAGACATCACAACTCCTATTTTTTTCATTTCACTATCACCACCTGATGGTTTCCAACGGGAAAACGAACGCCTCCATGCGTGGTGATGCCCATCCGTCTGCTTGCTTACCCTTCTTGGACACCAGATCGACACGATCCCCCACCACCACGGTCACCACCACCTCCGAGTCCGACGACTGGTTTCAGACCTCGCAAACTCTTCATCGGACGGCAGTGCAACTGCTTGTTTTCTCCTCGATTGGGCACCCTACCCGAGTTTCCCCTCCCTCATCGGAGCCGCGGTCCTCCTCCGCCCGTTCCGACCACCCATCAACTTCCTCTCTGTCCGCTGCCGAGTCTGGAACGGACAGTGGCGGTGTTGACTGTTGGATATCCGGAAGGTATAGGAGGGCTTAAGCTACAAGAAAAAGTCCGATGTGCGGCCACCGGCAGGACAAACTCAATCCTGCTTCGTCAGCTATCGGATATCTCTTGTCATCCTCTTCAATTCGCCCCATCAAGATTCCTCATGTCTATTTGGCACCTGATGACGTGGTCTGGGCAAAGAGCCCTCGCTGCAATACTGCAATATCCAAGTCCAAATGCCTTTTCCGGCGCTGTCTCCCGTCCGGTGAGGAATCAGGAACTGCAAAATCCAGCACGGCCGGCAGCTTCAATATTGATGATCAACATGCCATTGACGCAGTGATCAAAGGCCTGGACCCGAATCACGGGCTGTTGGTAAGGCCGGTCTGCCTTTTCACCAGCTGTATCTTGCAGACAAGCCCGTGACGTGGCTTTGAATCTTCTCGAGGTTATTCGTCCCTGCTGGGCCATCCCGCTTCTCTGCCGTCTTACTTGCCTCTGCCCCGCTCCCTCGATTCAGGCACACTGACACCCAACAAGGCATAATCAGGAACATCTTCTGTTGGGGTCGAATCCAGGGACATTCCGTCTCATTGACCACAGAGGTAACTCGCGCCCTGCCCTATCGGGTAACCCTCCTGCTGTTGGGATTCAAGTGACATCACTGCGGCTGAAGTTGGTTGAAAAATATTTTCCATCAGGTCAAACCCTACCAACCTCAGCTCCAAAAAATCAGATCAAGTGATTAATCCCAACAGTCAAATGACAGTAAGTTGGCGCCATGGCAGATAAACGCCATGAACATGACCTCGGCATAACTTGCTATATAAACCCAACGACTCACTAATGTACACATGGATAATGCCCCGACTGGCTGTTCTTCCAAGTCTTCGGTAAATATTCCTCCTTGCCTCCCTTCCCTCCCGTTTCTTGTAAATCACTCCCCACTCCCCTTCCTATCCCTCGGCTCGGGTACTAGGCGTGTCAAGCCCATCGCGTAACCTCTCCGGGACAGGTCTTGTGCAACCTGACACCCCTTCCTTGACCTTCGGGCATTGTCACCAAAGGCGGCGGCTCAGTCCGAGACCCTGTCTTTTCTTCCAAGTGCCCTGCCATATCGAATATTTGTAAAACCTGAAAATATGGGCAAAGAAAGCGGGGATTCTTTGGGTAACACGCTCGCTCCCCTGGTGGTTCACAAAAGTCTTCGGGTCTGGACGAGCCAGAGCGAGCGGCTGGCTGATGGCGCTTGGGGGGGGGCTTGAATATGCAATGTGGCTATCCGTCTGACTTTTGGGTGCTAGACGTTCTGTTCCTTGATAGGAGATCTATGAAGATGATATTTGTCTTAGATTCGTCACCGGGTGCCTGCCGAGAAGTTCTCTGTCTAAAGTGATGTTGAGTGAGAGCGGTAGGCGCCGTGAAACTACTCTATCTTCAGGCACTTCACATGAGGAGCAACAGGCTTCAACCTGGCTCACCTCAGCGGATCACAGACTCCTTTTCGACTTGGTCATATTGAGGCATAAAACTCGAAATGAGAGCTCATTTCCATCCAAGGCAATTTTATTCCAACGTTTCATAAGAAGAGAATTGAAACATTAATCCGCTATTTCATTCATAAAGCAAACAAACATGCAAAATGACGTTCAAGACTGCAGTGGCAGAAAGTGATTGAAGACAAATGAGCAATCTTGAGGAACAATAGGGGAACAAACATACAAACACCTCCTAGAATAGTTATCATCGGAAGTAAAATTAAGCTTCCGCCACCGCTGTTCACTTCCCCCAGCAGGTTCGGCGCGGGTCGTCCTCCACAGGGACCGACGAGTAAGTAGATGCAGTAGTATTAGGGACCTCCTCAAGGTCATAAACTGATTCCTCGTCCTCCTCGGTAATCTCTCCTTCAAAAGTGTAACCATGCTCTTTCAGATAAACCTCCATGTCCTCCCCATCACTATCGTCTTCATCGATCAGTTCTTTGCCGGCATAACCATGTTCTCCACCTCCACGCGGCTTCGTCCACCTCCTGAATCTCTTCTTGAACGGTCTAGTGTAACGCCTCGACGGCCTTCCCGACCTCCATCTTCTTCTTCTGCCTATATCTCTTATTGTACTCAGCCTTCTTTGCCTTGTGTGCGGCGAGTGCTAGGGGATCCTCCTTGACCTCCATCTTCTTCTTCTTCTGACTATATCTCTTATTGTTCTCAGCCTGCTTTGCCTTGTGTGCGGCGAGTGCTAGGGGATCCTCTTTGAGCTTGTCCATCCTGGCCTTGTACTCCCTACGTACCCTCGCCTTGTACTCGTCGTGTATTACAGGATCCGCCCTAACCTTGGCCATCTTGGCCTTATGTTGTATAAACATTTGAAGCCGCCGCTTCCGATACCTGGCTTCTTCTTTCTCCTTATATACTTTATATTTGACTGGGTCTTGCTTAATCCTAGCCCTTCTCTCCCTCCAACCTTGAGCATCAAGCTGAGATGCTTTCTCTTTCGCGAGAAAAGCTGTATACCCTGCTGGGTCGGTTTCCTTAAGGTTTTGGCGATGTTCTCTTCGTTTGGCGTTTATTTCCGCCTTCTGTTCATCGGTGTATGCCGCCCACCTCTCTTTCCGATATTGGACTTTGGCTTCCCTAGCACGTTCCTCTGTAAGACGTATGGAGGCTTCAAGTTCGGCTCCTGTGAGGCCAGACGAATACACTATAGGTAGTTTAAAACCTTCGTTCCAAACCAAATGGGAACATAATCCCCCGTATAGGATGGACGAAGCCCACTGGGTGTTTGTCATTGTAGGATTGACGATGCTTCGGTCTTTGTAAGCATAGAGGCTGAATGTTATGGCAGTCTCTAAGATATGGAAGAGGGCGCGAGCTGGGTTGTGGAGACGAGCTGGGAATGGACATGGTTTCTTCACCAATGTTTTTCTGTGGGTAATTGTATAACCCTTCGCAATGGCCGCGGCGGTATATTTCGAAAGCATCTTCCCTTGGCTGTAGTCGTTGAACCTGTCGTGTACGCCTATTGCCCTGTTTGTGCCCGAACCAACATAAACTAAGGGTAATTGTCCGTCGCATTGGAGGATCAAAAGGTAAACTGCCCAAGCATAGTTGTCGTGGGAGGAGAACTCCGGTAAGGATGTAAGGGCATTGGCGCGAATCGAAGGAAGGACACCGCGATGCTTGTTCTCCTCCTCCTTCTTCGTGCTCTTGCCCTTGCCCTTGCGATCAGAGGGGCTGGGCTCGGGCTCGTCATCGTCCGCGACAGAGACAACATCGGAGGGGCCAGGGCCGGCAGCAGGAGGGGCAGAGCCAGCGGCAGGAGCAGGGGCGGCGTGGGAGCCAGGCGTGGTGGGAGCTGGAGGGGGCTGTGTGTTCAGATTAGGAGGATTGGGGGCGTTAAGTAATGAGCAAAGCCCGGGTGCCCATTGCAATTCTAGGCTCAACATGGTTTCAACCAGTGTTTGTACAGAAGGCAACGCTTGGGCGATTTGCAATTTGCGGCCAGCAGCAATGGTACAATAGGCGCCGTATGCATTAAAAATATACAGTGACTCGGGGCTGGTATGTGACTTTGGGCTGGTATGTGACTCGGGGCTAGTATCTGTTTCCACTTCGTCGTCATCGTCGCTAATATCTAACAGGTCGTCATCGTCGCTGATATCCATATCCGACAAGTCGTCATCGTCGCTGATATCCATATCCGACAAGTCGTCATCGTCGCTGATATCCATATCCGACAAGTCGTCATCGTCGCTAATGTCCATGTCCGACAGGTCGTCATCGTCGTTGATGTCCATGTCTAACGGGTCGTCATCGTCGCTAATGTCTGACGGGTCGTCATGGAAGGTGGCCTCTGAGGGGTCGTCGTCGTAGCTGCTCATGGCTGTAGCCGCCTTTGCTCTCGTTGTCGCGACCATAGTTGCTTTCAAAGCTGAGAGTAACCAAGAAGGAAGGTAAAAGATCCAGCAGCGCCAACAGCAGCAACAACAACAGATTTTTCCATCCTTCCCAAAGGAAGGAACACTCGACAGCATCTCATTGTGTTTGGTCCTTCCTAAGGAAGGAATACTTCGTCTCTGTCGGATTATGGTTAGCTCCTTCCCAAAACGGACGTTGTAGAACGGCCGGGAGGCAAAATAAAAGGAAGGAACGAACCGTACATGTGGGTGGTTGTATTCGCAGCTAGTTGTCGAATGAGCAATCCAGAGGGAGTGAGCAAGGAATGAGCTAGACAAACACCACCCTTTGCACTTTTTTCCCATCAATGTTCCAAACCCATCACTCCAAAACCAACCACCTCTCCGCCACCGCCTTCGCCCCCTTCACATCTCCCAACAAAAAACACATACACCTCACATTATACGCCGCCTCCACCACCAGTGTCTCCTCCCATTTACTCCTCTTCTTCCCTTCATCCCCCTCCCCATCCATCATCCCCTCCCCTTTCTTATCTCTAACCCTCTCCGCCTCCTCCAACACCCGTCCATAAAACCCTCCCGCAAGATTCCCAAGTCCAATCAAACTATACGCCCTCCCCATATTAAAATGGGCCTCCATCTTCTGTCCCACCGTAACCGTCGGATCTTCCTCGGTACGATTGTGGTAGTACCTGAACAGGAAAGCGAACCCTTGCGTAAGCAGGTACTGGCGGTTGGTGGCTTGTCTTTTCAGGGCGTAGTGCACGTAGGCGAGGCCGATGGAGAGGTTGATTAGGGGATTGTCCGGGTCCAATGAGGCGGCGCGCGCAAAGTAGGAGAGCGCGTACGAGTAGGAGGTTGTGGTGAAGAGGATGTGGCCGTAGATTGTTAGGAGGGCTACGTCGAGGGTTATGTCGCCTGGGGGTGGGTATTGGGGGTTGGTGGTGGTGGTGTCGTTGGTTGATTGCTCGGAATCAGTGGGTGGTGGTGCGACGAGGTCACTCCCGCGGGATTGGGATTTGATGGGTGACTGCTGCTGTTGCTGCGACTTGGAAGGTGATCTTTGTGATGCCGGCGGGGGAAACTCGTCCTGGCCGTTCTGGCGCATAACAAGGGCATCCATCGTCTTGATCTGCCGGAGAATGAACTTTTGCGCTGGGCCCGAGGTGTACCAGCTCACGGGTGTTTGGCAGGTGCGACACATGGCGGCGAACATCCGGTACGAGTCGGTACCGGGGAGGTAGTCGCGCATGAAGTAGCGGGCGATGGCCACGCAGGTTTCTTCGTCGCCGGCGTACACGGCGCAGGATGCCCAGGCGACGTGGATGAGGTATGTCGAATCCGTGGCAGTCCAGACTATGGAGTCGCGGGCGGCGTGGCAGACGACGTAGGCCTCGCGGTGTTGGTTTTGTCTGACCAGGGCGAAGGCGAGAGAAAGGAAGATGTCGAGCCAGGCGGAGAAGAGGATGCCGCGATGAGAAGAAGGGAAGTTGAGGACGCGGACCTTCGAGGTAGCGGGGATGTTGTCAGCGCCATCGCCGTTCTCGGGGTTGAGGCCTTGCCGGAGACGCTCGGCCATGGCTGCCAGCTTCAAGTTCCTAGACGGAATGGCAGCACCACCGCCACCGGTACCACCAAGGCCCAGATACTTGACGTACTTGTCCCAGGGGTAGAATTCCTTGTAGGAGCGGAAGTCTTCGACGAGGTCCCTGGCGGCACGTGTCCAGTTCTGAATGGCTTCAGGGTCGTCGCTGTGGAAAGCCCGCTCTTGCAGCTCCTGCACAATTTCGTAGTTCTTGGTCGCCTCCCTAGTGCGTTCAAGATCCAACTGTTTGCGCTTCTCCGCGTTGATGAGACGGCGCGGGACATACTTCTTCGGGTTGTTAGGGTCTCTCGGCTTGTTGGGGTCTCTCGGCTTGCGCGGCTTTCTGGGACCGGTAGCTCTGCGACGCTTTCTCTTGGGGACCAGATTCCCTTCCTGGTCAAGGGTGTACTGGTTGGCCTCGAGGTTCATAGCATCTCTGACCAAAAGGAAAGCTTCTTCGCGACCTTCCGGGTCCGCCACGTGCTCGTACATGTTGGCGAGGCACACGCGAGCCTCAATGTTATCATCATCATCTTCGATGGCGGCGATGAAGCGCTCTTCGGCGGCCGACTTATTGCCCAAAGCCATGTGACACCGACCGAGACTAACGAGGATGTCGGCATCCATCGAGATATCGCCGGCCTGATCGGCAATCTTTTCGTACAACTCGAAGTACTGCAACGCCTTGGCCGGGGATTCGTTGTCCAGCAGGGCATTACCAATATCCTTCAAACAATCGGGGAAGTCGTAAAAGTCTTCAACCGCCGTTTCCGCCGTCGGATCCAACGATGTCAGGTGCCTCTCCGCCTCGTACATATCGCCCATCTTCATCCTAAACACATGCAACCTAGCCCTCAGATCCACCGGCAGCGCCCGTCCGTACTGCATCGGCGAGAACCGTCCCGGCTCATAATCCTCACACAACTCCCTCCTCTCCTCATCTTCATCCCACTCCCTATCCTCGCCCGGCCAGCGATCCCAAAACTCCTCGGCCCTGCGGCCCAACTTCCACCTCGCAACCCTCCTCAGCTCCGCCGCGCCTTGCTCCCACTGCTCCAAAATGGTAAAGAACTCGAGGTAAATTCTCAAATCACTCCACTCAAACCCGCCCTCCATGGCCTCATACACCTCATCACCCTGGCTCCACAGATACTCAATAATATGCCTATACGCCGCCTTGGCCGCCTCCGCATTCTTCCTCGGATCCCTCCCATCCAGCGCCGCCTCCGCGAGGTTTCTTACGGTTCGAATATTCAACGGCTGCACCTTCAGCGCTCTCAAATACTGCGCCAGCGCCAGATGGCTCTGGCCCAGCTGCATCAGCGCATCAGCTTTGCCCGTGCGCGCCTCCACGTTCTGCTTATCCGCCTGCAACGCCTGCGAGTAGCACATGACCGCCCGTTCCAGCGCCAGCTTCCGGCGCGGATCGGCCTCGTCCATCATGTCGACCCCGTACAGACAGTAGAGCGCCACGTTCATCCAGTGGCGCGCGTCCTTGGGGATCAACCAGGCGCCTGAGATCAAGCACATGGTTGCCGCTTCGCGGTTGTCGAGCTCCTCGTGGATCAACGACAGGAGGTTCCAGGCTTGGGGCGTGGCGGGACGCTGCCGGATGATCTCCTTGACCATGTTGATCGCTTCTTGGTACTCGCGGCGGTCGAAGGCTTTGCGGGCCGCGGCGATGCGGATTTGGATTTCCGGAGGAGGACGCGGAGGCTTGCGGGGGCCGAGTTTCCGGCGGGGCCTGGAGGGCTTGGGTGCTGGTGCTGAGGGAGCGATGCCGGGGGTGGTGCCATCGTTGAGGCTGTTGTTGATCGGTTTTGACATCGACTTCGAGACGCCAGGGAGGGTTGGGTAAGCGGCTGAGGGGAGGTCGGCACGGTGTTCAGCTAACCATGCATCGCGGACGGTTTCGAATTTATGGATTTCGGCGCGGATCTCTTCGGTATCAGAGTCTAGGAATTCCTCCTCGAGGTCGACATAGCCGTCCTGCATCTGTTCGTCGTCGAGATCGTAGTCGTCGAGGCCGAGCATTTGATCATCACCTCCGGCCATCAGCTCAGGGTCCAGTGGTATGTCGTCGTCGTACTGGTTGTAGAAATATGCGGCACTATAAACACCGGTTCGTCCTTCGCCAGCATCGTGAGCTGGCGAATGGTCGTCGATATCCATCCTGTCGTCCATCTTGAGCTATAGGCACCTTGCCTGATGTGATCCGTTGAAGATTATCTTTTATGTTTGGGATGCTGAATTCCCCAGGAGGGTGGCAAGGTAGGAATCGCCTGACGCCTCAGGTCTGATTCACCCAGAACGTCTCAATTCGCCAAATTCCCTGACTGTTACAGCAGACCGATTCCTCAGTTCCCAAAAGTCCCCAGCTTGGTAGACCCCATCGGCGACTGCACGTTCGATGGCAGATATTCGCGATATCGATGTGTGAACGAGCGGGTTGGTTGAGTGAAAGATATAAAATTCTGGCGGGTCTTAAGCTCCCGTTTTTCAAGAGGTCGAAGGGTGGACAAGGCCTGTGCTGAAAGACGCGGATTGTGCAGGGCTTTCCCGGAAGGTGGCTTATGAGTATGCGTAGAATCGTCAATGACTTTCGGTTTGGTCCAGGAAGTTTTTTGAGATGAAACAGTATACCAGGTTGAGATTGATATTTGGAGGTTGATGAGGCTGATGTACTGGTGAAGGTGACGGAGTGGTGAAAGACGAATTGACAAGTCGAAAATTGAGGTACCGGCCAATCAAAACAGGGCCACATCTTGTGGACCCACTTTAATATGGACCTCCTGGCAACCTCAAACCACCATCGTGAGCGAAGAATTGCCTTTCACCTGAGAGAAGCTCAGAATGTATCAGTGTAGAATAGTTCAAACTTCTCCACTAGCTTCACTACATGTACTTCGGGCTTGGGATCTGGGCTTTCCACTACCGTAAATCCCGTATCGCAACGACTGTCATCACCAAAACTTGGTCAACGTTCGCGTATTGTATTATCTTCACCTGGTTGCTCATGGTTATCCTCAAATGTGTTTGCGTGTTTGCTCAGGCCATGTGAAAATGAGTGGGAATCATTGCTGCCCACCAACTCGGCTCTACTCCAACAAGATCTGCCTCCTGTCCCCATATATAGGTAGCAAAACTATTGCATTGTGGACATTAAATCAGAACGAACGAAAGAAAGAAAAGAAGATCGGTTTGCCAGAGTAGCTCAAACCGGCTACATCATCCTATATCCCGACCGTGGTCTCGGCAAACTCCAACACTTCTGCCCTACGTAGTTGTTGACAGGCTTTGGTTAAGGTGCCTTGTTGTTGGCGAGTCCAGTAGGCGCCTACCCTAAGTTCATGGGTGCCTATCCTGGATCTCTATCGTAACAGCTGTTAATGCTAGATTTTCCCATCGTTTTTGGCCTCTGCACACGAGACTGTTAGCTTTCCATCCTCTCAAGTCCATACGGAATCGCAAGACTCACCCTTGACTTGTTCAAAGACCTTGAGCATCTTGCGTCTAGCGCCCAAAGCATTGACACCGCGCTCCTCCAGCTGCTTGTCGTCTAGCTCAATCAAGTCCGTCCACTTCATGTCCTTCAAGTTGTCTGTGTACTTGTGCAGACGCAGGCTCCGCAGCCAGCTAGGGATATCCTGCAGGAGAGTAGGGTCGGTAGGATCCTCGGGCGGCTTCGAGCTGCCTCTCCGACCACGCGGAGAGCGGCCACGATTGATCTCAGAATGGTCCGAAAGATAGCCCTCTGTGTGGTGACCGCCCAGGTTAAATTGACCCATCATTGGAACCAGTCCATTGTTGATCAAGCCGGGCGCGCCACCATCATACGCACTGAGGAAGCCATTGTTCTGCGGCGAGGTAAACTGCAGCGCGGGGCCGTAGTTGGGCACCGCAATACCAGGCGAAGTGGGGCGTGAACGATGACCGCCAAAGCCGCCAAGACCCTGTTGCAGACCCTGTTGCTGTTGCTGCTGAAGCGCCAAAACATGGTCGTGGCTCAAGACCTGCCCGTGCTCGTTGATCATGACCACATTGGTGCTCGGAATGCCCTGAGGGCCCGGTGAGAGGGGATGCTGGCCAGGTGCTCCGTCGTTGGAACGAGCACGGCGATAGCGGCGCGCGTCGTCCAAAGCAAAGCGATTGTTTACCGTCGAGAGTGCGGCTAGCTTCATCGCTGTCGCGTTGGCTACCATATCGGCGTTGTTTCCTTGCGTTTGGCCGAAAGTTGGAACCATGGGCGTGTTGACCATCGAGGCCCAGTTACCACTAGAAGTGTAAGGGGATAGCAGCGGGAGCTCGGTCAGCTGCGGCTCAGCCGCAGTAAGGGTCGTGCTCTGAATGTTTGTGTTACTGCTCAGCTGCGGAGGGCGAGGGGAGCGTAAACCTCCGGCCGACGGCGGGGGTTGCACAAACTGGCCCATCGGAGTCTGGCCGGTAGATGACTTGGGCCGAGAAGCGTCGCTGGGACCCCACGGAGAGGCCGGGTTTTGTCCATTGGTGTCATCCTTGGGGACGGAAACCGTGGGGGCAGCGAGGGAGTTGCGGTTGTCAACCAGGCTGTTACGGTTCGAAGGCGGAGGGTTGCCTGTCTGCTGCGTAAATTTGGCCTTCTCCGTAGCAATGGCTGCAACAGCATCCGGGAACATGGTATTGATGGTGGTCTGATCCAGACCCGAGTGTCTCTTGTTGGCACCGCCACTGGGGCGGGCAAGCGAGTTACGGGCCGATCCAACTTCCAGCTTGCCCATGGCATCACTCAAGCGGCTCGACATGGGATCTAGAGAGAATGAAGAAATGGTGTCAGCATGACATTTAACAGTAAAGCAATGGGGAAGTTGGACGAACCCTTGTCAAAGTTAGCAGGGGACAGAACTCCCGACATGGGGTGGTTCTTGCCCATCTGCTGGAGGACCTGAATGAAGAAACGGATCTGGACCTGAGTGGTCTGCTGAAGCAGAGCATAAAGGGCAGCTGTGCGCTCAGCTTCGCTCAGGACGCGGAACCACTGTTCAATAGCGCTGAGTTCATCCTTGAAGTCCTGGTCAAGCGTAGCGGCGGCCATCTCCTCGAGAGTGGTCTCATATTGATCAATGTCGGCAATCCACTGCTGGGCAAGCTTGTCTTGGGGATCCAGCTCGGCATTGCCCTGCACCTGGCCGGACTGCGGCTGGCCGTAAAAGTCGGACGACGGGCGAATTCGGCTTGCGGCGGCCTGGGCGCCGGTAAGAGCGGCCACATCAGCAGAGGCGCGAAGGCCGTGGTTGGAGCCAATGGCCCGGGAAGAGGGAGGCCTCAGAGAAGAGACATTGCTAGCCTCGGGGGTGCTGTTGCGGTTGCTCATAATGTTGGGCATATTGAGCATGATCGTGACCGAGCGTCGGGGAGGGACGAGGTCGCGAGTTGGGGAAAAGCTAGTCGGGAAAGGTGCCTGGAGAATGTAACCGAAGCGCTAGGGTCTCGAGGCAAAGCTGAAACAAGGCAGACGGCTATTGTGCAAGTTAGCTGGTGTCATGGCGATCGGTCATCCGACGAGCTTCCCGCCAAAAAAACGAGAAAAACTTTGTTGGGCCCGTCAATGACATATGTGTTTAAGGGACCTCGGGCAGGTATTTGGCACGTACCCTGATGTCCTCCTCCAGTTGCGTATGTGAAGTGATTGGAGAATTATTGCTTGGGATTAGGCAGAGTCGAGCGAGACTTTCGAAGTCGACGCGATCGAAGTGTGTGTGTGCGAAAAGAGGGCGTGTAGAATGGGCGCGAGACTTGCGAAAGCTCCTGCAGTAACCGGCTGGCCTCAAAGGAGTGTCGAAGATTGCGCAAAGAAGGATGACGTTTAGCGATGTCGGTTTTCTGTGTCGAACATTGGAAGTGAGCGATCGAGTCAGCGAAGGTCAGGCCAACAACCGAAGGGCGCTGCGCAATGCGGGGGAGTATGTTGTTTTGCGCGCGCAAAGGCCGAACAAAGATGATCAAATGTTGGAAAGGGAAGAATAGGATCAAGCGGAAGAGCGCGGGTGGTTAGGGCCTTGTGGCCATGGAAGGGTTGGAGCTGTTGAGGGGAGGGGAGCGAGGGGAGCGGGGAGGAGAAAGGAAGAAAGAAAGACGACGGGATAAGAACAATTGTTGGTTGGCGGGCAGACCGGGGCAGCTGAATGGAGGAGGGGAGAATGGAGGAGAGAAGTGGAAGAAATGTGATGTGTGATGAAGCTTCCAGACGTCGGCGCGGACAAGCAACATGCTGGAGACTGTTGCAGAATCACCAAAAGCGGCTAAACTCGCCCGGATCCGCTCGCCGGACGTAACACTCTCGTAGACTTTTTGCGACATTGTGGCCCCATTCTGTGATTCTCACACTCGAGCCGGCGGCCCCGTTCGTTGGTGGAGACTGGGTATAGCCTCATTCATGCCAGAAGCCGGCCACTGCCAAAGCCCACTCATGCTAGGGAGGATGCTGGCCATTGTTCGTTCCGTCGCTCGTCAAAGGACTCGGGAGTTTGCCCAAGTCGCGCAAGACACGGATACATATAGACTCGAACGGGGCCGGATCGGGTAGAGAGGTATGGGTTCGGAGTCGGGGGTCGGGGCCGGGAACAAAGTGCTTGCTTGAGACGGAGGCTGACAGACGGGAAACATCAGATGGAAACAGAAATAGAACTCACCCATTTAAACGATGGACGTATTGGTATTCAAGACAACAAGTGGAAGGAACCCCAAATGGTTATACTCCCCAGGTCCTGCCCTCTGTCCTCTGGTTGCCCTTTCAGCCTGTGCCAGCAGCAGTCGTGATGGTGATGGTGATGGTCTCTCTCACGCGACGGCGTGTCGGTCGTCAATCGCAAGAGTATCCAGTAGAACCTAACGCTGTGGCCGTGACTGAGCGGGTTGTGGTCGGTTTATTGGTTCGATAGCTGGCGGGGAGGAGCGAGGGGAGGAGGAGGAGGAACGGGACTCGGAACTTCCAAGTTGTTGTTGAAAGTGAGCTGGTCAAAGGAAGAGGAAGTGGAAGTGCAAGATTCCAGCACGGAGTTGAAGTCAACCGAGAAACCTCACGCATAGTCGCACACTGCAGTGAGGTGCCTCCGGCTGTCATTTGCCTGGGATGGTGGTGGTGGCTGCTACTGTTAGTGATGTGTTCTGCCAGTGGTGCGAATGCCATGTATTGTGGGCGCTACCACTAACATGAAGCTTGGCCAATAGGGACCGCCCAGGCGCTCGCCTTCCAGGGCAGTGTTCCGGTTTCGACGTTCTCACTGCAACCCAGCACAGGACAGGGCAGGACAGGGTGAGCCGGGGCCAAGACCTCCAACGGATGGGACGGAAAGCGAGACGAGGTGGGGCTAGAACATTCAGCCTCGAGCGAGTCTGTGACATTGGCTTGAGACCAAAAGGGGGCATGCCTTCCACCTGCAGCAACAGGTTGTTTGGGAAAACGAAAAACGCATAACGCAAAACGCCGGTGTCAATCCAGAACTTAGTGGGCCAAAGTCTGCTCGAGGATGAGCTCACAGCGTGCCACCTCTACCCATCTTCCCTATCTCCAATTGGTGTTATTTACAGCCAATTCTGTTAGACACTGACATTCCCCTTTTTTTCCAGGCCTAGTGTGGAGCCCCTTTTCGCTTAACAGGCGAACGCCCGACTTGTGGTCGTCCATGGCGTCTTAAAAGAGTTAGGGTTCAATTTGCTACCCATCATCGAATACGACATTCCCCAGAGATATACCATTACTCTCCTTTCACTCACAGACCAGGAGTGTCTTATTGATGAGAAACATGTCGATGTGTTTACTTTCCAGGGTAGTATCGCTCTAAAAATTCGAACTTTGCCTACCATCCGCTAATCCAAGAAAACACCCCGGGGAAACGAAACAACCAACCCAACGACATTCAAGTTCTACCAACAAAATCACCAACAAGTCTCACGAACCTTATCCCTCTCGATACAAACTGCAACATCTTGCGATTCTTCGCTATCCGCACGAGCCCTCTTTTGTAATTCAGCCCGAGCCCTCTTTGGTGATTCAATCCCATGGGCCTTCCTCCTCTTGACGCACACAGCAAGATCTTTAGGTTCCTCACTATCCGCCCGAGCCCTCTTTTGTTGGGTACGAAGAGGAGGAGGCGGTTGTGATTCAGCCCTCGAATTCGGCGGAGCCGCGATCCCTCCTCCATCAGCCGGTCCTGCTTGCTTCCCAAACTCCATCGCCTCAGGAAACGTAACCCTCAAGTCCTCCAACACCCTGAAGCTCTCCTGTACAACGATCAGGTTCCGATTTGGCTCGCCCAGAACCGGTCCGCGAACAAGAAAGAACTCCTCCACGACTTTCCTGAGCGCAGATTGTATCTCCTTGAGGACGGTTTGAAACGCGCTCCTGCACTTGTCCACCTCCCTTTCGATCTCCCAGTCGGTCAAACATATCGCCTTGAAGAGCTCTTCATCGCTACGTTTGTTAAACTTTCTCAATCTTGATACCAAAATTTTGCTTGGTTCGAGGACGGTAGGCAGCGTAAAGTATCTCTTAATGCCCTCGACGCCTTCTTGTATCCGATCGAACTCGGCAATTGGATCTTTTTGAGCTACGTGCTTGAGAGTCGTGCCTGTTGAAAAGGCGTTTCGACGGCGATTCGGCCTCTTTGGGGCACAATTTTCCCCGTCTGTGTTGACTGGACGCCCCTGTGCCTTTTCCACCTTAGTCACGGGCCGTGATGGGGGTCCAGTGCTAACTGGACGAGCCGTGGTCGGTGATGAGGGTATTTTGTTTGTCGGTTCCTTCCGCAGGCCGTGCTCAGGAGACAAGACCTTCGCTTCCATTGTCTATAAGTGACAAGTGTCAGCTAGCTTCTCTCCCTCGGAGTTCGGGGTATCAGAGGTCTCATACCGTTTGTTGTGGCATGGTGACTAGGGGTAGGTCAACGCTTGGGCGGTCGGAGGTGTGATTGCGGCAAGGAATCCATGTCATAACCCAATGTTTATGGGCATTGGTAGAATTCAAGTTACGAAGAGGGTCTTGATGCCGCAAGGGAGGCTTGAAAGAAATATAGGATCCCCGTCTTCCTGTCCCAAACTTGCACCCTGACAGTTCGTTGTTTGCCGATGAATTGCAGAAAGAACAACCTGTGCCTTGGATGACTTTATGGCATCAACGACGGGAAATCGCTCGGCGAAATACTAGTTTTCGCTATGGAAAGAGCGTAAGAGCCATCAGCACCTGCCACACCACACATCACTTCGTGTTCCAAACCAGCGTGGAACACAAGGCAAGCAATACCAAGGCAATGCAAGCAAGAGGTCTGATAGGGCAAGTCAAGGGTAAATTTGACGCAAGTCAAGGCAAGTAAGGGGGGTTACTTGCCTTGTTTACTTGCATATATGCATACCCTCTTTTTTTTTTCCCTCAGACATACCCATCCGGTACGTTCAGCGTACGTTCTAAGGTATAAATACGAGTGAAAATACAGGCATCAATCGTCGTATCGCTTCAAACTACATCTAACCGACTGAAACTTCGTATTCTATACCAAACTGTAGTATCAAGGGTACATTTCAGTGACTCATCAGTTCAGGCAAGTAAGCAAGGCAAGTCAACTTGAAGTAACAGGTTGAGACGAGTCAAGAAAGGCCTCATCCTAACAAGGCAAGGCAAGTGTAAGACTCCTTCCTTGCCTTGACTTGCCTTGTGTGCCACGCTGATCGAAACTTCCTGTCACAACCAAAAGTTTACATCAACAGACAACTGCTTTCTGTTCAGAACTTCAGATAATTGTACCCAGATTAAAAATTATACAATTTCAAAACCAACAAGTTCCGGGTTGCGCCCTCCAACGACTTACCATCCATAGAGGTACTTTCTACCGCCGTACCTTCAAAAGAGCCGGGCGACGAAAATGAAAAGGAAAGAAGCTCCTCATCAATATCCAAGCCGACGACTTACTATCCTTCCTTCCTTTCTTCATCGGAACCTGAACCTCCCTCTTAACCTGCCTCTTACTAACCTCTCTCTTCAACGAATGCAACGTATCCAACTCCTTCAAGCACGCATCAAGCTTAGGAAGGAGCTGCGTGTGCAATTGCGTCCTCGTCACTCCCTTTTCATCCGTCAGCGACCGTTGCACGAACCAAAGGTCTGAGTTGATTCTCTGAGCTCTCTTGAGCATCCAGACCGTTTGGTGCAGCTCTTCTTCGCCATTGCCCGACGACGGAGAGGAGGAGTGGTAGACGTGATGAAATTGCCGGATGTGGCGATGGATGTACTCCTTTACTCGGGCTTTGATGGGGGCGAGGTCCTGCTCGGGTATCACTGGGTCGTCGTCGGAGGTGTTGTCTTGGTTGCTTGTGAGAGAGTCGGGTTCTTGCGCACTGCTGCTTTGGCCAAAACCCTCGGGGTGCGCAACCACCGGTGTTTGAAGGGAATTATCGTGCTTCATTTTTTTTTTTTTTTTAGGTCCGACCTGCGGTTGGTAGTAGGTGACCGTTAAATTTCAGGGTGACTGACTGCCAGAGTCATCAAGCTAAGCTCGAAAGCGACAAACGAATATAAGAAAGAGAGAAAACCCGTTACCGCAAAAGAAAAAGGGGAAAAAACTGCTACCCAGGAAATTCACCGAAGAGGGCAGAGAGACGTCGTGGGATTTATACCTTGGATTCACGTCGTACAAGGCGGCAGCATTTCTGATCATTATGACGGCTCCATTCACAACCAAACCATTGTAGCGGCTCTCGTCGGTTCCCGAAGTATGCCGCCCTTTGATCCGAACAGCACTAAACAATGGATTTGTCAACCGCGCCCTATTGTTCACAGGCCTCATGGTCCTGCAAGGAACCATCTTCGTTGTCTCAGATGCTCGAAGCATGGACTGGAACCTGCCATCTGATGAGCTTCATCCGAGTTATCAACATCCCGCCTGTAAAAGCAAACGGTCAACACGGGAAATAAGCGTCTCCAAACGGAGCAACGGTAGCTGTCGACGCACGTGGTCCGACACTTTCATCCATCCGGTTCGACGTCCCCTCGTCATGGGGAATCCAGTGAGGGTCGAGAAGTCATCATGTTCAATACCATGAGCTATCACATTTTGGATAGTAACGGTCTTCGCTTCTGGACAAACACTGGCTTTGTCGTTGTTCCATTTTTGCAAAACCTACACCGTGCATCACTGTTCTCTTCCATAATGCGCACATTTCACTGCAACGGCCTCCGGAGCTTCACCACCATGGCCTCTCGTCATGATAGGTTGCCGGCATCAGTCGTGATGGCCGCGCCAAAATGATATCTCAAATCTCCCAGAGAGTTATAAACTCCCTCTGGTACTCGCCTTGTTCAGCTCCATATTGGCCCTCGTCGACATCGATCTAGAACACCCGTACGAGACAACAGCACTAAGGCGAGCAGACTCTCGAGCATCATCAAGACAATCCGAGCGCACCTACCCATAACGACAAAACCCACAGGTCTCATCACCTTCCAGACCCAACACACACACACAATGGAAGACCTCAAATCCCCAAACCTCTCCCCCCTCACCTCTCTCACCAACACCCCCCGACTCCTCAGCCCGGAGCCCCGTGTCGAGCACGAGGAAACCCCATCAGAAACCGCCCCGGACTTCGTCCCCATTCGCCGTCCCCGCCTCCATCCCCGCGTTCTCACCCTCTCCCACCTCCGCCTCCGCCGTCTCCGCCACCACCTCCCCCGCGACCTCGTCTCCATCTCCAAGCTCTGCCGGGATCTGCAGGAACGAGTAAACGATGTTCCCCTTCCCATCATGCCAACCGTCCCATCCGTCCCACATTTGCGCTCCGCGGGGCCCGTCACCGTCTACGAACAAGCAGTTGCCGCCGCCGCCGCCGCGACTGAAGACGCCGAAAGAGTCGCCGACATCAAAACCCAACTAGAACTACACGCCCACGAGCTAGAGGTCATGAGAGGCGCCGTGTTTAAGCGGTTCGAGGACTTATTTGATGAGGAGAGGGAGAAGGTCTTGAAGAAGCAGGTGGATTGCTGTTTCAGGGATTTGAAGGAGTTGCAGGTGGAGGTTAATCATAGGATTTGGAGTGGGCGGTTGAGGCAGCCATTGCACCAGTTGGGGAAGGTGCACGTGAGCTTGGGGGGTGGGGTTAGGGGGGAGGGGAAGGGCAAGGAGAAGGGGAAGGGGAAGGAGAGGAAGGATGAGAGGGAGGATGAGAGGGAGGATAAGAGGGAGGATGAGAGGGGAGGGGAAGGCGAGCCGAGTGTCCATGCTCGGGATGTGGCCATGGACATGGACCTCAACATGGGCGCCCAGTTCCAGTTCACCGAATGGCCAGAGTTCACCGACGACGAAATCATGGCCATGTTCAAAGAAATGGAGGAGGATTTATTGGACGAGCCAGTCGACTGGGAGGAGATTCTGAAAGCGGAAGCCAAGAGTGAGGAGGCGCAGTTGAGCAAGCCTGTTAAGAAGGAGTCGGAGGATGATCAGATGCAGTTGGACGACGCGGATGAAACGGAGACGGTTAGGGGGGACAACACCAAGGAAGAAGTCGACGGGGAGAGAATGGAGGATGTTGATATGAAGGAGCCCGAGGAGAGTATATGGAGCGAGGAATCCGGAGGAGTTGACCCGAGGGCATATTTGCTGACGGCGCACCCGTGCGATCCGGGTGCGGGTGCAAGCTGGCACTATACGTGGAATTGGAGGCAGTAAAGGGTGTTTTTTTTGCGGATGGAGGGAAGGTTTGCCAGGTATGTCTGGATCGGAGGGATTGCTAAAAAACCAGGGTGTGATGCACTTGGGAGTTGGGATTTACAAGGTAGAAGGGAAAATCTAGAGACGGGGGTTAGCAAATCTGAGAGGAGAGTGATCAATGAGATATGTTGGCAGATAGACAACACTTACTTGAACCAAAGGTCGCTTCGACTTTAACGGATGTGGGATATCTACCAGGTTCATCATCTAGAACTGCCAAGTATGTTTCGATTGCTTCAGCCATCCGTTCTACCGGATGATCTCAAGATGGACGGAATGTTTTGTCCAGTCATCCAAGGCAGTTCAGCCGTCCGAAGTCCGAAGTGTGACGTATGCGCCTCGAACATGTCATCTAAAGATTCAGGTTGTCAGTGTTTTGATCCAACGTTTTACCTAACTCAGGATTGATGCTCCATTCGCCAAAGCCCGACAAAACCCTTTCTGGCAGCTTCGAGTCCAATAACGAAATCCACTCGAACTTTGTTGTCGTCAAATCCGTGACCGGACCTTCAAAGAACAGTAGCGTCCAAAGTAAACAAGCAACACTGGAAGCCAACGTCTTCCCACAGAAAGGCTTTGAGAAGCACCTTACCACCCGCTCAGATCCTAGGACGCAAACCTGAGACGTCTGGAGCAGAACCGAACAATATCATGCCCGAGCCTCCTTGATTTCTGATCTTGAGCTGAGCCGTTGTTCACCTACCTTCCAACTCCATTTTGCCCATCGGTAGCCTGAAAGCCTCTATCTCCTTCACAACGACAGGTAGGTAAACAAAGCATCGCAAGGGTCTAAACGCAACAGATCCGCCGGCAGGTCGCTAACAATACTCCAGACCCATTTACCTTCGCATCTCGAACCCGTCAGAAGCATGTCCCGTCCCCGACCGCCTCGCCTCAAACTCACCCTCCTACCACCAACACCACCCACTACCCCCGACAAACAGCAGCGTCTTCCTCCGACCTCTCCCAACCAAACTGCTTGGACCCCACAAAAACCCAAAAGCGTCCGATTCGCTTTACCTCCTCAAACCCACAAATCCAAGACATCCTCGACATCCACGACATCCAAAACCCACCACAACCGCAAGCCCAAAACCAAAACCAAGAAAATCCCCACCAAACCCTACAGCGCTTCACTCAACCGGCTCATAGCGAGATATTACGCCCTCATCCAATCCCTCTGCGAGCCAGATCTCCCAAGCTCCAAGGTGGCTGATAACAAGCTCGCCTCAGAGACGAGGGGTAATCTCGCACCTCCTCCATCCCCCGTCTCCCCCGTCTCCCCCGTTCGAGACATCCAAATCCAAATCCAACAGCGCAAAACCCTTCAAGCCCTCAGGAACCACGCTCACGCCTCGATCTATAAGCCTTTGACAGCCATAGCGCCTGTACTTACACTCCCCTTCTTGCCGAGCCAGGAGGCGGAGAAGGAGGTGAGGAGGGTGTTGAAACGGGCGAAGAGAGGATTGAAGCTGTTGGAAGGGTTGGTTACGTCGCGGGGTTTAGAGTTGGAGTTGGATTTGGATTTGGATCAGAAGATGGGGATGGAAATGGATTTGGATCGAGAGCTTGCCAAGGTTGGGAGTGGTAATCGCATGGACCCCGATCTGGACGGTTCTGGTAGTGCCGACAAGCATGATTTTGGGACTGAATTACGACTCACCGGAGCTGCGGAGTCTCGGAGGGATTCTCAAGAAATGATGGCGAAGGAGAGGGAAATGGAGGCAATCCAGGAAGGTGTGGCGATGATGAGTCTCGAGGAGACGCGTGGACTTTCACATCCGCGTGTACCTGGTCGCAAGGCCGAGGGATTACCAAGCGCTGGACTCTGTGGGACCGGCGCTTATTGGGAGGGTTTCCAAGGAGAAGCGCACGATGACATCGTTGGTCGTGAGGAGCAGGCTCAAGATGAAGCGGCGCTGACTGACCTGAGCGGGTTGATGAGCATTTGAAGACACGGCCCCGATGATGCCGTCATTATTGGACGGTAGAAGGCCGAAAGGAGATGGCTAATTGACTTGCATCGAGGATTTATACGCTGAGAGGGCCGTGGAAGATCTGTACTCGTCAGAAAGACGGGGAGAGGATGGCGACGAGTGCGCAGATGAATCTCACACGACCACCAGGGCGAAGATGACGCCGGAGTCGGTATATGGCAATGGACAGGCGTATGGCTGTTGGGTGGTTCAAGGTCGTGAGCCCGCTTGAAGCGATTATCTTGAATCGGAAGTGCGGTTGGTAAACGGGGACTGAAAGGCTTGGTTCTTGATGGCAGGGAAAATGGTTGATTGTGGCAAAGCTATCCTTGACTTCTTTGCTGGGTGCGTAAATGATTCCATCGAGAACAAAGTTGAAGAAATCGGAGGCGAGGACGCGATCGACGAGTTCCAGGACCAGGATGAGGAGGACTTCAGCTCGCCACGGAGCGATTGGGTCAGTATCAAGTGCCTCGCTGAGCTCCAGGTCTAAATACTCAGAAATGGAAAATCGAGGTGGGATGCACCTTCCACACGTCTCAGGATGCTCTTTCCCATCGGGAATGGCTCGGGCCTCAGTGTCTGGGCGCATGCGAGATTGACGCCTGCAGGGAGCTGGGTGTCAAGGACGAACACATTCAAAGACAGTCGCTTTTGCTGGGATGCAAGCCTCATTGCTCACATACCACACATAGCTGAGCTTAACATAGCTTTAGCTAGCTGATGAAACTAGAGCTTTACCATCGATGACTTTCGCAAGCAGCCAATTCTTTGGAAGCAGAGAAGTGTAGTGTGTGGGGCCGCCCCGCCCCTTTTCTTTGTTTACTTTGGTATTACGTACGTACCTGGAGATGGGTTAGGGTTGTTAGCGTTGTCACCAACCTCACTTCAGTCTTTCTGGGTACTTACCACGTTGATTGTCCTTTTCATAAGAAAGAAAACCCAAGTGAATGGCTGTAAGGGCTTCGGTCGTTTCATTCCCGTGTTTCTCAGCCGGGTGAGAGAGGTGGAAGGGGTTCTTTTACGGCAGTGTCCGCCAGGACAATCCCAAGCACCATCACATGGTGGAACTCCGTCGTAGCAGTCATGGTAAATTTTCCGGAAGCCCACAAAGAGCCCCAGCACTGGAATGGATAAATATGGGTTCCCGATCGCCTGCTGAGACGGTGTCAAGCGGCTCGAAAAGGTAGGGTGTTGATATTGTGAACAAAGGCCAAATGATGATCGTGTGAGGCTGTGGATTGTTCGAGATCAGAGCGACGCTTGCTCGAAGTGACGATATCGGACCTGATCGTCTGCCATAACGTCAGATCGCTAACATTCCATCTTTGATGCTGTGCTGGGAAAGGCCAGTAGGCTATATGACGTGCGAGTTTGTTGTGGATTGACATTTGGGTTGTACTTACAGGGAAACAGATGGTTTGGAAGCTTCTTTGTCACCAATTCCATGGTTTCCACATGCGCCAAGATTGACATGATCACTACCATCCAGGCACCACCGCCTTGGGATAAACAAAAGTATCAAAACCGTCTTGTATTTTGCATTTCTTGCTATAATAAAGCACTGCTTGGGTAAAACCAGGCGCGTAAAACATTTACTGATCCGGGAAAAGCACGAAAACGACATCGACAGGCAAAGGGCAAACCGCTGGATCCAGGATTCCATGGAGGCAGGGGAAACCGGAAGAACCAAGGGGATGAAAACAGGGATCGCAAAAACGATGGGATGTCACCGTACTTTCATGCACGAAGGTCCCTAGAGTAAAGAGAACCAAAGTGTTTGGTAATAGTATGGCAGAGTGTTCTTCTTGGCACGATAAAATCCTTCAACAGAGAGGCGTAGGTATATGAGCCCAATGTTGTACACACTAATGCCGTTCGGTCCCCCGGGGAGATGGTCCAAAGCAAATGGGGAAAGGTCCAGGGTCCAAAGGTACCTCGGGAAGGGGGGTCCAAGAGAGGGGGAATTCTGTCAGGACGGGCAGGAAAGATATGTGGTCGGTCCTGGGATGCTCGGGGCATGGTTTCGGGAAGTGCTGGCTGGAAGGTATCCGGTATCTGGTACTGCGCGCACATCGGTCGTTCATGGAAATCGAGTCGGGGCAACTGATTGTCGTGTGCGCTCCGATTCCGAAGGCAGTCAGAGAGAAGAGCATTCCTGCTGTGACTGAATACCTAGAAAGTAAATCGCAACCCTTGAACATCACATTTTCACCGTATACGCCGTAAAATGGTCATCATGTTGTCTGTCCCGAATGAATATTTCGTCATTCAGAATGGTATTTCATTGACGCCCCGCAACAGATGTTGGGTAGAGGAAATCTAAGCAGTCTCGCGCTTGCCCTCCTTGAACTCCTTCTGTAGAATGTGTTAGCGAAACACGCTCTCTCGTAGTCTTGTCGCAAATCGGGATCGAGGCGTACCAGAGCCTTGGCGGTGCCGTGGAGAGCATGACGATGGTTGCGGCGGAACTTGGGGTCAGTGCCCTTGAGGGAAGGGTATCTGGAAGTCTTGGGCTTCTTGATACTGTTGTCGCGAAGAGAAATTCGTCAGCACTTCGGGCTTATTCGGGTATCCATCATCTCCTTCTCCTCGGTTTTCAAGTGGTGATGCTGGGGTGGTCGTACCCGTTGCGGTGAGCCTTCCGCGACTGGTTGTGCTGAGACGAGTTCTTGGACTCTGTTGAAAATGATCAGTATTCCATTATTTCGACATGACGATATTCTGACAGCGAGGGCGCAACATACTGGCCATTGCGACTGATTTCCGGCGTCAAACAAACAGACGATGTTCGGTAGGCTGCTGGGGTTGCAAGGTCAGACAAGCGAGTTTATTTCCTGCGCCAAATGTGGGAGAAATTTCCACTGCCCTAATTTGGTGGGAGTGGCTGGTGTGTGGCTGGAGCGGTAGTGCGCCACAGTTCGTTTGTCACTGCAACTTTGACCGTGACTTGAGTTTGGTGGAGCCGTCCAATGATTCTCTTGGCGCAACAACTCGGCTCTCAGCTTCAACTTTGCGCTGGACAACGAAATCACCAGCACTATTAACCATGAACAAAGTTCAACTCATAAAGGTCTTTTATCCAAAGGGGCATCTATCCACTCTATATAAACCAGGTCCAGCTGAAAGATGAAATTCAAGTACCAGAAGATTACCGAAATGTGAGTATGATTCTCCAAACATGACCGCCATCAAATGCAGCAGGAAATATAGTACAAGCAGAACGTTAAGGTCATGAAACGTGCTTTTGTGGTTCACGAAATGGAAGGGTGCGTCTACTTGGCAATGACCGGGGATGCAACCTTTGCCGCGGCAGCCAAAGCAGCGGCCTTGCCGAGCCGCTGCGACCGAAGCTTCGAAAGGAAGCGCATGAAGAGGATAAACATAAGCTCGACACTGTAATGCAGCATATCAGTATTTCGTTCTGACGAATATTGTGGAGAGTTTGCGCAACATACCGCTCCTTGGTCATCATCAAGATGCCTTGCACCAGGAAGCCCTTGAGAAGCTGGGGTCCGATACCCTTGAACAAGCTCAAAGCGCCCTCGTTCTTGACAATGAACTCCATAACCTCGACGAAGCTCTTGAAAGGCTTGCCGTTGCGAGCCGCAGGAGGCTTGGATTGCAGGCCGACCTTGGCGACAATGAGGGGCTGAGTGACGATGGTGGCAATCGACTTGGACAATGCGCCAAGAACTAAAGGAGACTTGTTAGCGAAGCATATCACAGAATCCTCCAGGATTCCAACTTACGGAAAGCCTCCCAGGGCTTAAGAGTGTTCTTTCCAGGGAAAAGAATATCCTTCAGCCTCTCGTACGCGCCATATGTGATGGCTGGGTTGACAACCAGAACCAAGCTAGCCTTCAAGCCTCTCCAAAGTCCGGTGATGCCATCCTCGCCCTCGACAACCTCCCGGGCGGTCTCGATCATGCCCTTCCTGTCCTCCTTGTTCTGCGTTTGCTGGCGGGTGGTGACGACCGCGACTGGGATGGTGAAAAGCTGGCCGAGCGCACCGGCAACGGCGCCAAGGGACAACTCAGCGGCGGTCGAGGGGTGCTCCGATTTTTGGTACTTGAGATAAAGCGTGCGGACAATCGAATACCAGTAGAAGTAGGCGAAGTTGCTCGAGGTGACACCCAGTAGCGCTCCGCCCATGCCAGCATAAAGACCCGCGACACCCTCGGCATCCTTGATCTTGGTGATGGCGTCCCATGTTCCCTTGTAGTGAACCTCACTGCTGGCCGTAGCCTCTTGCTTTTCGACGTCGGCGGACTTCTTGACTTGGACTTGAAGTTTTGTCTTGATGCTGTAGTTCTCACAAAGTCAGTGTCTGCTGGTTGAAAGAGCGCAAAGAAGGAAGGGTGTACACACAGATCAAGTGGGTATACAAGCACGTTGGCGAAAGCGGCACCAGCAGCGCCAGCCGTGGCCTTTCCCCAGGGGCCCAATTGGGCGGGTTTTGACTGTGCTGCCATTGTTGACTATTACTTGATATCTGGAAATGCTTCTAGACGCTCGAGGCGGGAGTTCGAGGTAATGCGCTCGGGTGGGAGTGGTTCGGACGGAAACGGTCGCTCGGTGTTGGTTGGCGCAATCGCTGGCTCAAGATCCCCGCTTATGTCAATGGTGTGTAGGACGGTTATAACTTTGGCAGATAGGTATGCGACAGCGCAAATGGCAAATGTGAACAAGAACAAAAGATGGGGTTTTTGCAATATCGAACAACACACACACACACGGGGAAGGAAATCGGTGACGACTAGCACGGACGGACGGGCGCTAGAAGGGGGGGCGGCCGGGCGGTTTTACAACGATTATTTCAGACCGTCCAAATGGCATGTCCCGAGGCCGGCGGTGGGACTCTTTTGGCGGTCTCGACGGGGCAACCTCACAAGGGAATCCAGTCCAGTTCGAAAGTGGAATGGAAAGCAACCACCAGGGACTTTTCAAAGGTCTTCCCCTCCCCAACCCGTGATGGACGATAACCGGATAACCACCGATAACCTCGGCAGTTCCCCAATTAATTTGGAGCAGCGCATAGGTAACTGTTGTTTCGTCGCTTTGCAGACGTTCGGCATCTTCCAGGGCCACATTGACCACACAGGGGCCTCGGCACGCGACTTTGGGGTTGCGTTTCCGCCCCCACGATTCCATTGCGTCGATAAAGATTCCCCGGTCCCCCAGCTTTTCGAGTCATTTCCTCCTGTCTTCTTTTATCAGATCTGATAAAGCGACAACCTGGGAGAAAGACAGCACAACTTTTCGACAACACATCCCATGATGTAGGGGCCAAGGGATATTTTATACGCGCTGTCAGCAACCGAACTCCATTGTCGCTCTCATTGGGCTCTTCGAATTAAGCAGTTATCAAGAGCGAACTCAACCACGATGATGTAGTGCCGAGGCATCATGGCGACCGTCTCCATCTGTGGACCTCGTATCTCGATGATCCAGTCAACCAGCGACAACCAGCCTCCCAAGATTTGAACTCGACATATTTCTGAAGGAGGAATTCTTGTCGCCGGGCACCACATATTATGGTCGTGGAAACTGGTCGATTTTATCAGCAGAATTGCGAGAGGAGGCTTGAAGGGCAAAACATACTTGGACTCCCGACGACAAGAACTCTGAGACACCCCGGAGCCATCTGAGGGGATCCCCACAAGCGGATTTGTTACGCCGGCGCGCTGAAACAACTTGCGAGTTGCAGAGTACTTTTGGAACAAGAGATCAGACTAGGTATCGCAGAGGGCATCGTGCTCTAAAAACTTCCTCGAGGCGTTGAGTCAATGACAGACTAAGGGCTCCTCTTCCAAAGCCGTCAGGTCTGTCGGCTTTCCTTCCTCAACCAGGTTCAAAGTTGAAAGAGGCGACGAGACCACAGCTTGGAGACTTTGAAACGAAGGCTGCCGTGGTTATAACCCTGCCAGACCATTTTTCCGCTGCCACGGCACAACGTTTAAAGCGGCTCTTCCCGCTCTCCGGCAACACATCCGAGGATCGTGTTCGGCGAGTCCGAAGGTGCTGATAGAGAAAGATTTGCGCATTGGATGGTTGGTGGTCAGCGGTCTGCTCCAAGACATACGAGTGACGATCACTGTGCAACCAGCAACATGATTCTTGATCTTTAAGAGTCCCAAGCCATTGGCATAAGGCTGTGTAGGTGTATGCCTTTGACATACAACGGCGTCCCCGGGTGGCTGAGTAGCCAAGGTAGGTGAAGTTGTTCACCGTTCTCACCGTTTCGGCATCCATACCACTATGATTCTTGTGCGAACCGTAAATCCTTCGGGGTGCTATTGCATCTCCAGCTTCCCTTGGCGCTGGTCCGATCCCTCGGCGGTCGGGAAACCCGAAGCCCCCCATGTCCCAAATGCCTGCCCGTGGAGGCTCTCTCGGCGCCGCCAACCGGGCAAGCTCGCAAGGAGCACCCGGCAAGCAGGCTGAAGAGAACCTCGTTGGCCCAACGCATGCCGAGGCCGCTAAAGGCGCTAAAGGCCGCGATGCCCCACCATGGCCTCATGGCATGCGAGGCCCGGGCTCCAGGGCGCAGGAACAGCAGATCCCATCATCCCGTCATCTGGCGGGGCTCTTGCATCGGTATCCCGCTGTCCCGTTCTTGGTGTCAGTACCTTATCGGCCGATGCGGGGTACCGTTGGTGATGTTGACAGCGTTTGACAGCAGCGATACGGCACTGTAGACTTACCTAAGTAAGTACCTCAACCCTGGACTGTGCTATAGAAATTGTTAGGTAAGAAACGCCGGGCAAAACTCGGAAAAGGGAAATTGACAACTATCACAAGGTCTGATATTGACCGCTTTTGGAGTTGAGAAGAATCTTGGTAGTAACTTAAGATATTCGACTTTTTCCATTCCACTTCCAAGTTACAAGCTGTTCAAAACGACCCTGGGGGGTTTCGAACTGACTCGTCCGCCATATCTGCATTACTCATCCAAACTCCTTTCACCACCCTCCCAACCCCCGACTCCGTCACTCCGACCCCGTCTCCAGCTCCAACTCATGATTCACCAGTAACATCGCCAACCTGGACGTGCCAAGGTTCCACTGATAGAAAAGGAAGGGTTCTCTTTTCCCAGATAGGCCGGTAGGGCTTCCCCTGTCTCACCTGCCACGCCGTCCTGCAGCACAACGGCATCCACTCCGACTTGAGAAGGGAGTTCGGAATTTGCCAGAATCTCCACAGACACCTACTGCCACTGCTGGCACTGCTGGCACTACCGCGGAATTACTGCACCGCCCTGGCTCAAGTTCCGCTTACTACATCAAGCAGGACGACCCGTCGGTGGCCCCTTTTGGTAAGTAGACAGAAGAACGGGCCGTTTACATCTTCGGCTTCTACGGCCAAAAAGTAAACATCCCGGTGTGCTGGAGTCGATGCGGAAGACGGATGGACACTCGCTGCAGCCAAGAATCACATCAAGGCGGCGTCCCCAGCTCCAGCAAGTGAAAGCTCGATACGCGAGGTCGCTGTCTGGGGTTCCCGTTCCTTTTCGCGAATTATAGTACGATATTGGGCAATCAAGCCTCTTTATTCGTCGTCTTCTATTCTGTCCTTGATTCGAGTCATCTTAACAAGAGGAATAGAACTAGTCTAACTAGTCTATCCATACCTATCCGTGTCATCCATTCATTCACACTTGTTTTCTGTTTGGATCCCAGTCGGCATTATATATACTCAACACCCATATTTCACAACTACGGTACCAGGAGAGGACTCAAGGACTGAGCATTACAAAGTATGCATACAAGTTTTACACATTCATCCTTCCCCAAGTGTCACGATGGAGGCTAGAGCTTTGGTAATGCTTGATACCCCGATACCATGTCTCTATAGAGCTATACATCTAACTTTTGCAAGGAACACGAGCGTCGTCTCGCCGAATCGCATGGCCAAGAAGCACTCAAACATGCCATTGCCGCCGCCGAGATTTACATGCGCGCGGCCGAGAAAGCCGCCAACCCCAAAGATCGCAACCGCCTACAGCGCAAATGTAGCGACCTCATAGCCCTTGGTGAACGCCTCAAAGCCAATGCCAAATCCGCCACCACTTCTGCCCGCCCACCCGTGCCCGAATCGACACGGACCCTGACCATTGCCGAGAAAACTCTTATTCTGAAGTCGTCCAAGTTGCATGGCAATATCTTCCCACCATGGGAGAAGACGCCAGGTCCGGATGAGTTTGCCACTTCAAAGGCACCTGATGGGTGCTATACGTATGTTATGTCAAGTATGGGATTTAAAATGACCTTGCCTAACTTGTTCCACAGGGACCATTCGCCGTTCACCCTCTCTCCTGAGCAACAAGATATATTTGCCGGTTGGAAGAGACCGCATGAGATTTTCGTGCATGTGCCGGAACGGGGGTCAGATATCTTCATGACTGCTGCGGAAAGCATTGACCTCGGTCAGGATTTGGCAACCGACTGTTCGGTTGTAGCAAGCTTGTGTGCTGCTATCCGGCAATTCGGCCCAAGAACAGGCTCGGTAAGGACACAAGATGACCTTTCTGTGACAAATGCGCAGTTACACTAACACAAACCAGTTGCTTTCCTCACTCATGTACCCTTATGACGAGGACGCTAAACGGCCAGCCGTCTCACAAAACGGCAAGTACATCTTCCGCATGTACTTCAATGGATGTTGGCGCAAGGTGCTCATAGACGACCGTCTCCCGACCTCTTCCTCCGAGCGCACGCTTTATGTGGTGGACCGGCGCAATCATCATCTCATCTGGCCGGCACTGATCGAGAAAGCCTATTTGAAGATTCGAGGCGGCTATGACTTTCCCGGAAGCAACTCTGGAACAGACTTGCACGCTCTTACCGGTTGGATTCCGGAGCAAATCTTTCTTCAAAAGTGAGAGACACTCCTTGTAACCTTTGTCTCCAGACAAGAATGGCTAATGACATTGACAGCGATGATATTGAACTGAACGAGACATGGAACCGGATCAAGTCAGCGTACGATCAGGGCAATGCGCTAGTGACTCTCGGTACCGGAAAACTCTCTCGTGAAGAAGAGCAAACTCTCGGCCTGGTCAGAGAGCACGACTACGCAGTACTTGACTTGAGGAATGACGGCAACAACCGTCTTTTTCTAGTGAAGAACCCATGGCGCGACAGCTTGGTTTGGACCGGCGTAGGATCAACTGCTACTCTAAGCACCGACAGAAGTGAAACCCCTGAAGAGAGCATGTCCAACACCTTCTGGATGACCTTTGAGGATGTCCTCCAACACTTCGACTCACTCTACGTCAACTGGAGTCCCTCCCTCTTCCGATTCCGTCAAGACTACCATTTCACATGGACGATCCCTCCCAAAGCCGAAGAGCTTGTCTTCACCCAAAACCCACAATACAGCGTTCTCTCCCCCACGGGCAGCCCAGTCTGGGTCCTCCTCAACCGACACTGGCAAGACTCGGAACTCGACATCCTCCGCGAACGCAAGCAAGAACACGGCTTCCACCAGCCGCTAAAATCCCTCGGCTACATGTCCCTCTCCCTCTTCACCTCCCACCCACCCGGCACGCGCATCCCCCTTTCCGAAGGCTCCCACCATGCGCTACACCAGGGCCCCTACGTCGACAGCCCCAACACCCTCCTCCGCTACTCTCCGACCCCGGGTGTCGCCCAAACCCTGGTCATCGCTCAATCCGACCTACCGCTCCCCTCTTACTCCTTCACCTTATCCTTCTTCTCCAACTCGCCCCTTACAATCTCCCCAGCCTCCGACCCGCTTCCCTACAACGAAACGATAACAGGCGCCTGGACCCGCCGCACGGCCGGCGGCTCGACTGTCTACCCATCCTATGTGACCAACCCGCAATACGCCCTCACCCTCACCCGCCCTTCTCCTCTGTCTCTGGTCCTCAGCACCGAGCGAGCGGATAACCTCCCCGTGCACATCGCCGTTCTTTACTCCAACGGCGGACAACGCGTCACGGCCGTTGTGGGAAGGGATCTGATTTGTTCGAGCGCTGAGTATCAGAGGGGGTGCACTTTTGCTTCTACGCTGCCTTCTTCTAACACCAGTGCCAACACCAACACCAACACCTCATCTACGACGTCCAGTTCCAATCACGGCGGACTCATAGACCCGGGCACCTACACCATCGTCCTCTCCACCTACGAACCCGGCCAAACAGGCCGGTACTCCCTCCGCGTCAGCGCCGCTTGTCCTTTTACCATCAACCCGATCTTATCCGATGCCGCAGGCCGACTTCGCACGCCCGCTCCCCCCCTCCCTACCACTTCTGGTCACAACAACGGCAACAGCACCAACGGTGAAGCACGGGTCGTCCGCGCGCGGGTCGATGTCATAAGGTTAACGAGGGCTAGCGTGCTAGCTAGATCAGTAAAGACACAATCCACAACAATGGTTCGCGTAGCCCTCGAACTAGGCACCATCGAGGGTCGAAAGCGAGTTTTAGTCAGTACCGCTTCGGGAGGTGGCGGGGAGCTAGCAGCTAGTTTGAGTTCTCTCAGTCTTTCAGACAGACTCGGAGGGATCGGAGGTGGACATGATGGGCATGGAACAGAAGGATCGGAAGGGTATACCACCAAGGGGGAATTCGCAGATGCCAGTCTGGGTTTAAGAACCAGAGAGGTGGATTTGGATCCGGATGTGATTAGGAGTTATGGGGGGTTGTGGTTGGTTGTTGAGCAGATTGGTGGTGGTGGTGGTGGTGGTGGTGGGAATCAAGGTCAAATAACTGAGGAAGGAGAAGGAGGAGGAGTGCATGTGGAGGTGTTGAGTGATGGGGTGGTGAATATTGGGGCTTGGGAGGTTGCGGATGAGGATTGATGACTACCTCTAGGGAGGGAGACTTGCTGAGATTGGGAGGTATTTAGTTTGATGATATATTTGGCGGTTATCTTCTGTAAACACCACGCTCTAGAACTTGTTGTAAAACAGAGTTGTGCTTTCTCTTCTGTGGTGATTAGCGGTTACGATCTCCATGTGTGTGCGACATTCAGAACTTGAACGGCATTCATCATTCCTCGAGCATTTTGATATTAAGCGTTGGCTTCCGCACATGGATACGGAATCGTTTATTAAATTTTTTTGTGGTTTTATTTTTTGGGGGTCTAACATTTCTCCCTACAATTATCAAACACGGATATAAAATCCTAGAGCCACTGTGGCATCCCAGATCCTTCAAGACCTGCTACCCTTTCTGGGTAGCAGGGTCGGAACTGGTAACTTCTACGTAGCGAAACAAGCAAGAACGATGACATGAAGATCCTTCTCCTTCTACCAAGACTTCGTCCTCCAAATAGGTTCCGGATGTTTTCTTGACATCGCCATGCTTCCTCCGCTAAAGTGACTATATCTTTCTCTGCTCTCCTCGCCTTGGGCGCTCATATGCTATTGATCCATATGTTGATCAAACAAAATTTAATACTGGGGGTTCCGCTTATAACAAACGCTCGTGTGGAAATATATGGCCACATCAAACAATGTGCTCGACATGCCCATTGATCCTATTGTGACCGTTTTGATGTCCGTTTTGGTGGCAATGCTCCTCCTTCTGGCGGCGATTATTTTGATCATTGTCGATATTATTGCCGCCGCCTCCGTCGTCCTCCTCGATCATCCATGTGAGGCCGTTGGCTTGCTCCTCTAGCGGGAACACCTCGCGCGCGTACTCCTCCAATTCTCTTGGGCCTTCCCACAGCTCTAGGGGGACTGCATGTTCGAGCTCAGAGGTTGGATCTTCGCCTACTTGTTGTTCACATGATGTTTTCCCCCCACCGCTCGTGAAAGTGAGCAGTGAACTGGTATGAAAGCTTCATGAATATTTGGTGTGCCGCCAGGTACCGAACAAGCAATATGTTGTAACACAACAAAGAAGAAAGGGTCGACGGTTTTGTGGGTGTCAGTAAAGCCCTCGCTTTCTTTGATGTGGTTCTTCTTGCTGGCGGGATAACCAGTTTCGAGATAGTTCCATTTCTCGAAGTTGTCGTCGGGGAGAGCAATCTCGCAAATATGCACAATACTCAAAACAAGCAAACCACATCTCATCTGAGGGTATAGGATCAAAGCAGATCCTAAAGCTCTTCCTCCTCCTCAGCCTCCTGGAAGCCATTCTGGAAAGAGGAATGGCCATTGCTGGAACCCAAGGGAGAAATCTGAGTGGAATGCGGAACGTATTGCATGGTGGCTGGTTCAAAATCGACGTCCATCAAGTCATCCGTAGAGTTGGATGCAGCGTTAGGCACGGTACCTGTTCAAAGTTGGTCCGCGTTAGTATGACAAGACATCAGACCCTCAAGAGAATTGGGTTTACTCACCTCCAGTGGAATGCGGGACCGAGGTCTGATTGTTGAAACCGCCCTCGTTGACCGTGACTGTGGAGTTCTCAGTGAGAGCAGGGATAGCGGATTGCGCTCCTCCAAAGTTTGCCGTGGACGGCGTGATAGATACTGCCGCAGAAGCACCTTGATGGGGACCGTGCAGGCTGGAACCGGTATTGGTGACTTGTTGCAAGACGCCTGGAGCATCCCCGCTAGCAGAATTGACATAAAGCTTTGCGGCCTTATCTTTCTTCAACTTTTCGGCGTTGGCCTTTTTGATGGCAATCAGCTTTGCCATTTCTGCGAGAGCTGCCTCTTCCTCCTCGATCTCGCGAAGGAGCTGCTGCTCTCGCTCTTCACGTTCACGAAGGAGCTGCTTCTCTCGCTCCTCGCGTTCACGAAGGAGCTGCTGCTCTCGCTCCTCACGTTCACGAAGGAGCGCAGCATGCTCGAGCTCTTGAGCATTGACAGTCTTGGAGTCAACTGGTGCCGGTTTGTCCGAGACCTTAACGTCGACTTCATCAATAGCCTTGATCTCGGCCTTCACTTCCTCCTTGGGGTTGGCCTCTTCCTTCTGCTTTGCCTGTGCCTTCCGGTTGATGTCGATCTTGCAGCCGAGAACGCCGACGGAGGAGGAGTACTTGTCATGAGGCGTGATCTCTGCCTCTCCTTTTCCCCTCGCCTTTTCGGCCTCAGCCTCGGTCTGGACATCGGCCTCTTTCTTCATGTTGGCCTTGTGGTCGGTCTTGTTGTTGTCGCCGTTGACATGAAGACTCTCTCGATTCTTGGTGCCAGATTTGCTGCTGGTGGGATGGGCGAGGGCCTTTGCAAGAGTAGAGGCCAAAGAAGCAACTGGTTTGGCAGTTGAGGCAGTCGAAGAGGATGTCGTAGATGTAGCAGGCTCAGTGTTTGGGTTGGCCTCGTGGTCGGCCTTGTTGTCAACAGTGATACTGGGCTCACCCTGAGGGCGACTGGTGGCCGCACTCGGGACCTCTGTGCACTGCTTTGGGGCGCCGTCTTGTAACTTGGATAAGCTCGGCTTCTGTAGCTCACTTGTCTTCTTCTTCTCCTCATATTCTTCCTGGTAATACCTGACCTCGCCAACTGGGGCTGGGGAATCGTCGTTGAAGAAGGCAAACACGGCATCATCCTCTTTTTGACTCGCAAATCTGCTCATCCTGAGACCTCCTCCCCTTCCTCTTCCCCCGTGGAGGGTCAGTTGCCGCTGGGGTGTCATGGCTCCAGCCGCATGCCGAGACTCCTCAATGGACGTGGAACCCCTTGTCACAGGGGTTTGAGACTTTGATAATCCAGACGCGAGGGCGGTGGCTTTGGGGGTAGCTATAATGAATGGTTAGGGACACACGTCATATGTAGAAGAGTTGATTGATAAACATACCTTGCGGGGCAAACATAGAGCTCCCAATACCGGATGGGGATGCTGATGGAGTGAACTCGCCATTGTCGGAAGGGGGCGCCACGATGGGGATAGCAAATGGGCGAGACTTGGTGTTCTGAGGAGTATATGAGGGCGTAGAAGGAAGATGGCGTCCGCTCTGCTCCTGCTCGAAGGGCGCGGGCTGGTGAGCAGCGCGAGAGGTAGCGCGCTGGAGAAGAGAGCCTCCGCGGCCCCCTCCACCTCGACCGCCACGAACAGAAGGGGTGTGAGGAGAATCTCCACGATCGCGACCACCTCTGCCTCTGCCGCGAGCTGAGGGGCGGCCCTTCTGACGGTTGCCACCTTTCGTAGCTTCTGCTTGAAAGGCGCGCGCCTCCTCCAGTGGAGTCATGGTTGCTGTGTGGTGAGGAAGGGCACAGAAAGACTGTTGTAGTCGAATGATCGAGGACGGATGTTGTCAAGGTGAGTAGGAAGAGGGGAAGATTGTCCACAGTATCGTGACAAGCTACTCGCGATAGAAAAGGGAGTGTTGTCTTGTTACTAATGACAGCAGCCTTCCAAAGAGTACTCTCGAAGATAAGGGAAGATGTTGACCACGGCAGTGGAAGAAAGTCAAGCACCCGGAAGAAGATCAGGCCCCAAGGGGGTGTACGTTCTCAGTGGGAAACTCAAGTCTTGGTGTCCCGTGTTAGGGTACGCGTTTTGCTTTGGGTCACTGAGACGGGAAGGCGCACTGTGAGTGAGTGATTGTGCTTTCCATTATCAGAGGGTGTTCCTTCCTCAAGTTCCACTCGTCATCGGGGGTCTGAAATTTTTTAGGGGTGTGTCGAGACAGGTTGTAAGCAAGCATCATACATGCCGTATGGATACATGAAATATGACAGGCTTCAAAGCTATCGTTTATAAAGCAAAAGACAGGCCTTGGAAGTAGCGGTTGGATGGGCATGTATGGTCTTTCATGGGCAGAGTATCAGCTCCAGGAAGCATGGTGCATTTTCCACCTGCCCTGGTGATCCACCCTCAACTCACTCGAGCTTCAAAGGAGCAAACAATTCATCCGATATTTGGGGAGCCAGGTGTATCGAAGCTGCCTGGCCATTCTCGAGTCATCTAAGCGGTATAAGGAGCAAACAATCCATCCGATGAGTATTTGGGAAGCCAGATGTATCAAGGCTGCCTGGCCATTGTCGAGTCATCTAAGCGGTATGAGGGTTTTTACCGGGAAAATCCAGACAGAGCATCGTAAGAGTGAGTCTAACCAGCAACGTATCCAGAGAAATGTCTCCCCGAAACCATGCCGGTCGGACTTCAACAAGTTTCTGTTTGTGCTGCCTCCCACCACTAGGAGCTCTTCGTCTTCTTGCTTCCGATCTTGGTTGGAACCGCCTCAATATTGGTCTCCAAGAACTTTCCCGAACCGGCCTCCTGAAGCCAGGCTACCTCAATGGGAGCCACATGTTCCCTCACAAAGTCCACGAGGCCCTTCGCCTGCGGCGCGTCCGCTCTCAAAGCAACGCTCGACACCCTCGGAATACCCAGAGCTGTTGCTAGCCTTTCCTCGCAGGACTTGGAAAATCCAACCAGCCTAATCTTCTCCTCCTTTGACTGAGACTTGGAGGCCACCGCGACCATTTGAGGGAAATGACAGTTGAACGCTGAGGACTGGCCTGAGCGAGCCACAAAGATGATGCTGTATGGAGCCTTCTTGCTACCACTTGACACTTTCTCGTCATGCTCGCCACCTTTGGCTTCCTCCGTCTCCTCACTGATAGCGACAGCTGACAGATCCTGCAAATTTCGGGAAATAGTTGAAAAGCCGACATCAACATAGGCAGCTAGCTCTGGAGCGGGAGGCACTTGAGGAGTTTTGGCATCTCCTTGTTGTTCGGTCAGCTTCCGCTTCCGCTTGCCCTTGGATGGGGTTACGAAGGTTCTTCGGTATTGGCCTAGAGGAGACAGGAGGCTATATCTTGACGGTTAGAAAATGATCATAGCTGCAAAGTATGTTGGTAGAGTAGAAAGAGGAGCATTAGGGGACGGTTTGGTTGACTTACTGACAAAGGAGTTCAAGGATGGCGTCCTGATCCTCTTGGCTGATTTGGGGCCTGGACAAAACGTGTGAGTAAGCAAATGTCATTTAGGAATTTCAGCAAATCTGTGTATGGGAAAGAAACATACCATTCAACAGCGGAAAAGGGAGTGTCCAAACGGTGGACAATCTTTTTTCGGTCCATTGTCGTTTCTCAGGAAAGGCAAACTGCCTAGTTGCGCGATCGCGAACTTGGTATGCTGTATGAAAGCAAGGAAACTGTGAATTCGAGCTTCTTATTTAAAGGAGTCGCCTTGAATAATCAAGGGGTGTTGTGAAAGTAGATATCGAGCCTGGTAGTGAGTGCTATGTTACTTGACATCCGTCAATGCGACAGTGATCAGTGAAATCTTTTTTACGTATTTTTCTGTATATACCGAATCGTGCTGAAGGAACGTAACGGTAAGCGCGCGTAATTTGCGACCCTGTAAGATTACCGCCGAGAGATCGGTATCTTGACGTACCCGTGGGGCTGGGTGGAAAGTTTTAGTCGGCCCTGTCCGTCGTCCCGCAGGTCCCGTCGGTTTTTAAAGTTCCGCACCGTGATCATCCAAAGTGGACACACCTGGGTCGGGTGGTCAGCTATGCTACGGTACAGTGGGTCACCAAAAAAAACGCCCAATTGTTTTTTTCCCACCAAAAAAGGCCTAAACTCAACTCGAGAAACCATTAACCAACTACGCTGTCTTGATGCAAATATTCTACTAAAATTCAAGTAGAGAGATCTTTGAACGGGGATCCTAGTTATCATTATCCAAAGGAATTCCTTTAAAGGGGGCGTGGGATCATAAGGGCCAAAGTCACTTTTCAAAAACCGATCGAATTTCTACCCACTATAATGCGCTATAAGCTCACTATAACCAAATTTCTTTTTCTTGCTTACCTTTGGACCATTGTCATCCCACCACCAAAAGGAAGAATTTAATGCCAACGTCATTTTTAAGAATTATGATTATTTACCTCTTTCCATCTTGAGTGCATTCGCTTTTGAAAGGTGGTTGAACTGGAAAACCAAGGAGTGACAGAGTTGAATTTTGGCCCTTTTTGCGGGTAAAAAAATCATTAGGCGTTTTTTTTGGAGAGGCACTGTACATGTTCTGCACCACGCCACCGGTATTTTCACAAATGTGCGGTGTCTGTCTGACAGACAGCACGGGTGCAAGTTTGACAGAGCCGCTCGGCTTTGGCGCGGAAGCTTAAGATACTTTAGCTGAGACAGGGGCGTGGAATCGTACATACATGTGTGATCCGCGATCTCAGATCCACGATCCATCCGTCTCCACCACCACTCTTGACGGTGGGAGCATGTCCGGTTCATGGACCAGGGACAGGCCACATATTTTCGGTTCTAATTAGGGATACCTACATTGATCAATCAGAAACCCGTAGGTTGCAAAGCATGGAAGGTCAGGGCTTCGAGAGTGACGGCTCGGCTGAATGTTGGAGAAATTCCTTGAGAACGAAACAGTAGGTAGATTATAGGCATGTTTGAAGTCGCTTCGGAAGCCAAGGCCCACGGATTACTTCTTCATCGAGACCTGTGTGGCGGCACGGCTTGCTGCGGTTTCACATCGACCCGAGTTAGACGAGAGGAATCGAAGGCCATTTGAAGCAAAGCAATTTGGCAACGGTTATCACTGAGGGTTATTTTCACTCCCTGGGGTGTTCAACCACACGGATATCAACGTCATTCCAGCACATTACGGTCTTTTACGGCCGGTGGTCATCGCAGGGCGCAGCTGCGTAGAGAAACTCGGAAATGCCCTGTAAATACTGCGTAATACCCCGCCATCCGTCTCAAAATACCCTACCTGCCCGGGCGGAGTCACGGCGGGTGTACCCCGGCACCTGCCAGCCCTGCCTTGACGCGCCCCCGCAGGAACCACCTGGCACACTCTTGACTTTCTTCAGTTAAATTCCTCTTCCCACTTTGACAGCTCGCTTCTTCCCTTGGAGTGGTATCGATCTTTCCGCCCGTCCACAAACACCCGCACTGCGCTTGGCCTTTGGATGCTCGTTGCGACTTGATCCCTGCCCGTTTTGTGTACTTCGATACCTTCCACTTGAAACCTCATATCTGCTGCTATTGTCAGACAACTTCGAACGCGACCTCTTCTTAATTCTACTTCACTGTAGTGGTAGTTCGTTCTGGTTGACGTCAATCTTCCCTTCGCCTGTTGATCCACCTCGCGGCTCTTCCGTCCTGTGTACGACACGCTTCAAAGTCGACACCACCCATCACCTGGCAACCTCGACGAGGGCAGTCTCAACTTGCCAACAAAACCGGTGACGGGCAGCAGCAAAGCACCACTTGTCGGTACGTATCCTCCTTCATTCGATCCTTGCTCTGGTCCCTCCATCCCACTACCCTCCAGGCGTTGTGGCTGGGCTGGTCATCGTCAATCCTTCCCCCATCACACTCGCAGTCCTTTTGATACTCCGAGGCTGCCTACAATACACTGCCAAGGCCGACAACATACATCAGAGTTGTAGGCAACCCCTGATGAATATCGGGCAATAAGTGCAACTGGTGATTGGGTGTCTGTTAGTGCACATTCACATGAACCTGCCAAACCTGACCCCCCCCTGTTTGACAACCAACCGGGCTACCATCTTTAGTCCTGGCAACCCTGCTGCCTGCCTGCCTGCCTGCTACGCTCTACTCTAGCCCAAAGTGCAAAGTCGGGCACCTTGGCTGGGTGGAACAAGCCGTCCCACCGGCTCGGGCGGTACCTACCATTCACTCCTCCACTGTAGCAGCCCCGGAGCCGCCTCCCCCACCTGCCCTGCAAGGTAGCTCCCATCATTCCATCATTGAACCCCTCCCGATCCTGTTTACCCACACCCCCTGGCTCCCCTCCCCCGCCAGTACCTTTTTCTTCCACCACGACTACCTCGACCCGACCTGACAACTTGGATCTGACATCGATTCATCTATCCACCCGTCCCGACAGACACTGACCCGCCATCTGTTTAGTCACATCAACGAACCACGCGCAACCAGAGCACGGGACTAGCGTGCTTCCAATCCAGGCATTTCCCCTCTGCTTTCTTTGCACCACAACAAGCACCACCAGCAAGCACCACGTACTACCACTTGAACAAAGAGTCGCGTCTTCCAATCTGGTCGTCCCGTCTCTCTCTCTCCCCTTTGCCCACCACCCATCCGTGGCCCGGTAACACACAAGTAACATACTTTGCTTTGCATAGCCTCTTCATCACACGCCCCGCCTCGAGGGCTCCTTGGAGTGGAAGCACCTTGGTGTTTTAACATCATTGACAGGCAGCCTTACGCCTTTTCCCACCACATTCCGATATTTATCGACTCGCACTTCCATTCCGTCGCCATCCATCTTCATTGATCTCCCAGCCGGCGTGCCCTATCCCCAGGTCGTCCTTCCTGAAGCTGCCGCATTCTTCAGCTTCGGATTGCCCGCTTCGGCAGCCATCCGTGCTTCTCTAGCCCGTTGCATTCATATCTCCAAGCAACGAGACTCGTTCATCCATACATGCTAAAGATTAGGGTATCTAGAAGCCACCGCCGAGCTTCCTCGACCGGAGCCCAGCAATCGGAGCCGACCACCACCACCCGCAGCTCTCCTCTGCGTAATACAGATGGCTCAAGACCAAGATCCGGCAGCCGATGAGTCCCTAGAACGTGCTATTTCATCTGAGCCTAGCTCAACAAAGGGTTCGAATCCTTACATGGATACCGATCTGCCCTCACCCAAGCGCAGGCGTACTTCTCGCAGCGGCCCATCTCGAAGCCGATCCATCGATTCGCCCTCCTCCGTGAGGCTCTCGTACGATTCTCCGGGCATCTCATCTGCCAACCCGGTACCTGAAACCAAGACAGATCCTGATACTATGGATACCAGCAGTGGGACAGAGCCGCCTACTCCGCCAAATGCTCCTCGTCCCGCCACCCCGGAGCCAAAAGCTACACAGGCCGAGCCTTCATCCGTGTCACGTTCCAATCGAGTCACTATAAACGTGCGGACCCCTTCTCGCCCTCTCGAAACAATACCTTCTTCGCCTACCTCGGCCTCTCTGCAGAATCCCGGAGAACCATTGCCGTCGGTCGATAACGTACAAGCAAGCGTGGAGACGCCCGAGGTCGACATGACCCGGGATGATGCCATCCAGGATGCTCTTCCCTCCCCGATCTCAGATGCTAGTAGCCCTGTGATTGAGGTTGCGATGGAGAAGGAGACTGACAACGCCTTTACTGTGGAGGCGAAGCTTGTCGTGGAAGAGCCCGTCACGGATATGTTGCCCGACTTCCCATTCCACGAAGACCACGAGACCTATCGTGACACAGTTGAAAAACTGGCACCCCTTTTAGGTAATTATTCTTGAATGATTCGCTCTCACATCAACTAAGTCATGGATGCTAATAATTATACAGATGAACAAGTTGGCCGAAACGTCGCCCTGTGGATTGGGGACTTTCTTAATCATATGAGAAATGTCCCAATTTCTACAGCCACCGGCTGGTACACGCGATACACTCTCCTTTGGCATTCGCTTCCTACACTAGCTTCAGCATGGCACGACCGGCGGCACTTATACTCGAGCGTCAAGGCTATCAAACGTGAGCCGTTTGCCCTTTATCAGCAATTTGCGAGGCTCACTGCGTTCTTCGTCGAACTCGATGTTCACCGCCTTAAGGAATGCGCAACTGTGGAAGAACGGGAGCAGGTGCAACTTGTTTCACTCAGCTACATGCACGTCCTTGCTGCACTCATCAACCTCGAGGGGTTTTACCAACAACAAGACGATGAAGGGTGGAGTTACGCCTTGGAAGCTTCTCAGATCGTGGATGCGTTCCTCAATTATGACGGCAGCCCTGCTCCTACATCCTTCCACGTTGGACGCTTTACTCAACTCGTGTCCGAGTTGTTGCCGAAGAACCCCAGATTCATCAACGAATTGGCATGTGTGAGCTTTCTCTCCTCGACTATGACACGAAAAGTTTCCATCAGGTCAGAAAACACAACCTATCTGAACCACGACCCTGCCGCGAGCATTATTTCCTCGGGATATCTCGTCTACAAAGCTCTCTCGCCGAAGCTGGAGGCCATCATCACTGGCGATGACCAGAAGCATCTCCTTTGGGAACCCACACTACGCCACCTCTCCTCACTGACATATATCTACCATCATTGTCTCGCGGCCGATGGTACCATTCCCATGCCTCTGATACAACATCAACGACAAGGCTC